CGGCGGTCGATAGTTACTAAACCGTTTGAAAAACAAAACTATGACTCATCACTTTCTATTACGTAAAATTATTTTTACTTAAACATACTTTTTTCTTAAGTTTTTTAAATGGAACACCTTGTATATTGTGTGCTAGTTGAATTGCTCATCAAGTTTCCTTTAATTAATGATGAGTATATCATATGTCTAACTTTAATAGTTTTCCTGATATTTAGAATTAAAAAGAAATGTGTAATAAAATGTGTCAAAAACGACATTTTTGCTGATTTTGCCTTGAAACTAAGTCACACAATAGTCAAAGCCAGTAGGTAGATGATAGTATTCAAAGATATTAGATACACTATACAGGCTGTTTATAAAGCTTAGTTACTTTTGATGTTTTTCAAATGGCTTTTTCTTAAGTTTTTTAAATGGAACACTCTGTATTTTAATAATAATAATAATAATAGTTTATTGGCATAACAATACAATATAGGTTATACATTAAAGTAACTAAGTATAGAGTTTGCCAAAGGGTATTTCCATCAGTAAGCCAAATTATGGCGTCCTGGTCTTCCTGGAAATCCCATACACAAAAAAAAAGAAATATATAAAAAAAAAACAAAATAAAGTAATAACAAATCAAAATTAAATTCAACCTGAAACAATTATCGTGGCCGATAAGTAAAAAACGAAAAAAATATAAAAAATGAAGAGCCTAAACAAATAAAAATTAATAAATGTCCCTAACAAACTAAAAAGAAAAAATATATATATATACACTAATTCGAGTTGAAGGTAGAACGACGCGCTAGTCATTAAGCAATTTAAGACGCAGAGACTCTTTAAAAGTGCGAAACGATGGTTGAGCAAAAAGCAGACTGTACTTATTCAAAATACATGCCGCGTTATAACTAAAAGACCTCTTGAACAATTGGGTACGGTGACGAGGAATATCAATGAGGTCCTTACGCCGTACATTAATATTATGAATGTCCGTTCTGTAAGTAATTTTGTTGGTGAGGTAAGGTGGTAGCTTACTTGACACAACTTTCAAAATTCAATTCCATCTATAAAGATATGGGCCATATTGCTGACAAGCGCTTTGGATTCCCTACCCCCGATTACCATATAGATCGATTTATTCCCATTTAACAAAAGACCATGTTTCTTAGTAATATTTAAAAATTTATTTAGATCATTGTTTACATCTGCAACACACTCTAGCACATTATTTGAGCTAAAGCTGTGGTAAAGTTGTGTGTCATCCGCATAGATATGAAATTTTGAGCAAAAGCGGTCAAAGATCAACATTTGAGACGTATAGATAGTGAACAAAAGGGGACCCAATGTAGAGCCCTGCGGCACACCAGACCTCAATACGGCAGGATCCGACGTATATTGTACACGTATATTGTGTGCTAGTTGAATTGCTCATCAAGTTTCCTTTAATTAATGATGAGTATGTCATATGTCTAACTTTAATAGTTTTCCTGATATTTAGAATTAAAAAAAAATGTATAATAAAATATGTTAAAAACGACATTTTTGCTGATTTTGCCTTGAAACTACGTCAGACAACAATCAAAGCCAGTAGTTAGATGATAGTAATCAAAGATATTAGATACACTATACAGGCTGTTTATAAAGCTTAGTTACTTTTGATGTTTTTCAAATGGCTTTTTTTTAAGTTTTCTAAATGGAACACCCTGTATATTGTGTGCTAGTTGAATTGCTCATCAAGTTCCCTTTAATTAATGATGGGTATGTCATATGCCTAACTTTAATAGTATTCCTGATATTTAAAATTTAAAGAAAAACGTGTAATAAAATATGTCAAAAACGACATTTTTGCTGATTTTGCCTTGAAACTACGTCAGACAATGGTCAAAGCCAGTAGGTAGATGATAGTATTCAAAGATATTAGATACACTATACAGGCTGTTTATAAAGCTTAGTTACGTTTGATGTTTTTCAAATGGCTTTTTCTTAAGTTTTTTAAATTGAACACCCTGTATATTGTGTGTTGGTTGAATTGCCCATCAAGTTCCCTTTAATTAATGATAAGTATGTCATATGTCTAACTTTAATAGTTTTCCTGATATTTAGAATTTAAAGAAAAATGTGTAATAAAATGTCATTATTGTACTTAAAAAAGTGACAGAATGTAATATATTCTGTCCTTTTTTTTTGTTCTTTCTTTTTGTTTGTCTGTCATTTCTAAATCAGTAATATTATATTAAAATACAACTTTAAAAAAAAAAATTTAATAATTAAATAATCAAAACGTGATAAAAAATACAATTAAATGGCAGAACAATAAATCCCTTTTTTAATTACTAAATTATTTGAAGGAAATGCAGCAACAAACTATAAACAATTACTAAACGTTGCTCAACAAGTACGTATTAATTTAATTAATATTTAGAAGTTGTTCAAAATGCCGCCCATTTTCTCTTCTACAAGCATTAATGCGCTGTATAAAAGATTTTGAGGTATCTCTTAACATGTGCATCTTATTTTCTCTAAAGTTGTAAATTATATGGCAGAACAATTGCATATTTTATTACTTACATCTTTTTATGGCAGCAAAATTATTTTAAATTATAAAATATTAATCAAATAATAAAAGGAAGAACAAAAACACTCGTTGTATAGCGTATCTAATATCTTTGGATACTATCATTTACCTACAGGCTTTGACTATTATCTGACATAGCTTCAAGACAAAATTGGAAAAAATGTCGTTTTTACATCGTGTTTAAAAAGATGCTGCAATGGACACATTTTGGAAAAATAATTGAATATCTTAAAAACTATGAACATTATGAGTTAGTAACACACACGGCTGTATAAACAAGTTTACCTATTCATAACATGATAAAATATACAGGATGTTCCATTTAAAAAAATTTACATACTCTCCGTTACGTCTACATGGAACACCCTGTATAAGTGAAAATAATTTTATGTAGTAGAAAGTGGTGAGTCAAACAACTTTTGTAGAAAACATTTTTTTCTTTCTCAAACGGTTTAACAACTATCTCACCCTGTATAATAATACTCAGAATGGTGTGGATGTAATTGATAGAATAAGGCAGTGGCCATTGGTTTTGTTCTTCGGCATACTGAATGTATCAATTTCCAACAACCTCAAACGGTTTCGACTGGTAGTCAAAGGTGCAATTACCTTTGGCAAATCTGTTTGGAGTATACAAATCCATGTTGCATCGACTGCGCAGAGAATTTTGTTTATGATGTTTGACCATCTAACTTTTGTGCATGGACTGTATGCAGGATGTTTCTAAATTGATGCGAAAGATTTCAAGAGGTGATTTTTCAGCGAAAATTAAGGGGTGTCTTTCAAATAACTTTTTCTCCTCCCAGTTATAGCCCTCTAAAATTAAGGGAAGAAATCTGCCACTTTCTTATCTATAAAATAATGCTGAGATCAATATGACACAAAATAAGACGGACTAACAGCAGAATACAATAAATTTAATGTTTTTTGTGTTATTGTGGCAGAAATAAGCATCAAACTTTGGATCTCAGGGACCCAACCCGTCGAACAGTGTGATTTTTAGCCACCCGTTAACTGCAGGATTAAAAAAACCTCACTTTGTCATCGCGAATCAATATGACAGAAGCGATAAAACGTTAATAATCAAGCGGTTTCAACATAACCAAATGAAATCATAGATTCTCCGTTCTAAGTTTAGCCGGGGTTGCTGGTGATCGAAGAGCAACCCCTGCTAAACTTTGAGCGGAGAATCTATGATCTCATCTGGTTATGATGAAAATATACGATTTTGAATATAATTGATGAGTCCAAAAGTTATTATATGCTGCAGTTGATAAGTTTTGGAGTTATTATTCGTGTGGCATGAATTGGAATTATCAGGCGAAATCATATATTTTCACAATAATCAGATGAGATTGCAGATTCTCCGTTTTAAGTTTATTCGAGGTTGAAAAATTATCATACGCTGCAGTTGATAACTTTTGGGTCTATATGGCATAAATTGGAAAGCCATATATTTTCACCATAATTAGATGAAATCTAAATTTAGCCAAATATGTTGAGCAAAAAACATTTCAAGTTCTCAAGTTGAAAAAAAAAACATAATTCTCGAAATAATCGTTGTTGATGTTTTTAAATAATACAATATGTAATAAATGGAACATAAAAACCATAGGAAGCAAGAATTAGTAATAAAAAATAGTTGATAACGAGCCTAAAAAGCATAATCGATAAACAATTTGAACGATTTTCTAACAATTGTATTGTTACATACCAAATTCGTTGTTAAAATCGTGCATAAAATAAAATTATAATTCCTATTGTTTTGCGGTCAAAATTTCCATTAAGCATTTCTAAACATAAACATCGCCTATATTCGAAAATTGTCTACTATATATTTACGCGATAAAATTCGAAAACAACCGTTGTTTTTGTTGTTATCACACATGGAGTGAGTAAACAACACCCGAAAGCCACGAAAATTAGATAACCAAGATAAACACAAACAATGTGTGTTTAGATGAGTGTATTGTGAAAAGAGAAAGAATTTAGATCGTGTAAAATGGATTACAAGCTCGCACGTGTCTCCTTGCTAATTTTCTCGCGGCGCAATATTTTTACAACTTCAAACGTGTGTACTGCGTTCTACAAAAACGAGAACGCGACGTAAAATCGGTTTTATAATAAAAAAAACTTGAAAAGTTTAATTGCAATCTTACGAAATTTTTTAATTTGTTTGTAAATAATCTTATCAAATACTCCATGCAGTTATATTTTCAAATTATGTAACGAGTTACTACGCCTTTACGTTTTTACTACGTTTCTATCATTATCTCCATAATTTATTGCGCATCAAAAAAATTCTATTCAATTTACAATTTTTATAACAAATTTTGTTTGAAAACTTGACATTGATTTTAAAACAATCACCGATTTCTATCTAATTAAAAAAAATATTTATCAATCATCTTAATCTTATTTATTTATTTTTTTTTTTTAGAATGTCAATAAAAAACACTCTCAATTTGGGTGATAACACTCATTCCGTTCCTTTGGAATTATTTGCGTTGAATAGAAGAAGATTGGTCGATCGATTGAGATCCGTGGGCGTTGAAAAATGTTTGGTTTTGCTACAAGGAGGTGATGAGGTTCCGTTTAACGATACTGACGTCACCGTTAACGTTTTTCGACAGGTATAGTTGCCAAAAAAAAGTAAATACAAAAAAAATAGCCTCAAAGTCTCAAAACTTCTTGATGGTGACGTTGTAAAAACCTGTTACTCAACGGTCTCCGTTCAGCGACTTTCTAACTCTGCGCGCAACCTTTCTTTTTAAGCTTGGCACGAAGTACAAAATACAGAACAATGACCGTGAGGTTGTATCTGGGTTACTCAAAAAAAATAAATAAATAAAAAAAGAATCAAGTTATAAAAAATTTCTTTTCGAATTAAATTTAAATAAACATATCATAACATTCTTAATTTTAATTAGATTGAGTATATGCAACCCAATATACATTAATTTTAGGAATCATATTTTATGTGGGCATTTGGAGTTCTTGAGCCAGGAGTTTATGGAACCGTCGATATCTCCACGGGAAAATCAACCCTTTTTATTCCCCGCCTCCCCGAAAGTTACGCAATTTGGATGGGACCTTTATTAACACTACAAGATTTCAAAAATAAATACCAAGTCGATGAATGCTTCTATCTCGACGAGATAGTTCAAAAAATTCAAGAAAAACAACCCGATCAACTCTTAACTTTGGTAATAACTCACACAAAAATAAAAAAAATTTAACTTTTAATCACATTTTCTAGAAAGGAATTAATTCTGATAGCGGTTTCGAAGCGGTTGAAGCAAAATTCGATGGGATTGATAAATTTAAAGTAAACAACACGATTCTTTTTAATGAAATCGCTGAATTGTATGTAATTTTTTATATTAAAAGACCACAAATTTAATAATATAATTAATTTGAATTAATTTTTAGGCGTGTTTTTAAAACAAATCTTGAATTAGAAGTTCTTCGTTACGTAGCAAAAGCTTCGTCGGAAGCTCACCGCAAAGTAATGCGTTATGTAAAGCCGGGTCGAAGTGAATATCAATGTGAATCACAATTTATGAATCATTGTTACGCCGAAAGAGGTTGCAGACATGTTTCGTACACTTGTATTTGCGGTGCGGGTCAAAATGGCGCAATTTTGCATTATGGTCATGCTGCCGCCCCCAATGATGCTTTCATTAAAGACGGCGATATGTGTTTATTCGATATGGGTGGAAATTATTTTGGTTATGCGGCGGATATTACATGTTCTTATCCAGCCAATGGGAAGTTTACTCCCGATCAAAAATTAATTTATGAAGCCGTTTTAAAAGCCAATAAAGCTGTTCAAGGAGCTGCGAAACCCGGTGTTTCTTGGGTCGATATGCATTTATTATCCAGCCGCACGCTTTTGGAAGCGTTGAAAACGGGGGGAATTTTAAAAGGCGATGTCGATGAAATGATGAAACATTCTTTGGGTTATTATTTTCAACCCCACGGTTTGGGACATCTTCTAGGTTTGGACGTTCACGACGTCGGGGGTTATTTACCCGGCCAACCCGAACGCCCGACCCAAACGGGAATTAATAAATTAAGATTCGCCAGGATTTTGCAAAAAGGAATGTTTGTCACAATCGAGCCGGGTTGTTATTTCATCGACCCACTTTTAGATCAAATCTTGGCGGACTCCAAATTATCGCAATTTGTCGTTCCGGAAGTTTTAAACCGCTTCCGTGGTTTTGGCGGCGTCAGAATTGAAGACGACGTTTATATCGGCGAAAATGGAGTTGAAGATTATACTCGCGTCCCGAGAACGTTTGTTAATTAATTAAGTCTAATTATTTAAAATGATTTTTTTTATTGTTTTAGGGTTGAAGAAATCGAGAGATGGATGGCTGGGCTTGATGATGACAAATATTGATTGTCTTATTCAAAGTACACTGTGTTAATTAATTATCGTACCCGAAGTCATCATTGCAAGTATGCAACCAAATACGCAAATCGCGTATAGCAATACCAATATTGTAATATTGGTTGTATATTTGCAATGATGAAGTCGGGGACGATAATTAATTAACACATTGTATATTCTGTATTAATCTTTATATGCTTTTAATAAATTTAATGCATTGATGGTTGTAGATTTTTTTTAACAATTACTATACAATTACTACTAATACAGGGTGTTTATCAAAAAAGTGCATCTTCGAAAAATCATAACTTTTTACTTATTTAAAACTCTTAATCTTCCTATAAGAGATAGAGGAAAAATGATATCGGAGTCTAGGTTCGATTTTAATAAGGAACTTAATGGCGAAAACCGCATATCGATATCTTTTACGGTTTCAGAGATACAGGGTGTTTATCAAAAAATTCATAACTTTTTACTTATTGAAAACTCTTAATCTTCCTATAAGAGATAGAGTAAAAATGATATCGGTGTCTAAGGCTCGATTTTAATAAGGAACTTAATGGCGAAAACCGCATATCGATATCTCTTACGGTTTCAGAGATACAGGGTGTTTATCAAAAAATTCATAACTTTTTACTTATTGAAAACTCTTAATCTTCCTATAAGAGATAGAGTAAAAATGATATCGGTGTCTGAGGCTCGATTTTAATAAGGAACTTAATGGTGAAAACCGCATATCGATATCTCTTACGGTTTCAGAGATACAAGGTGTTTATCAAAAAAGTGCATTTTCGAATTTTCTTATTGAAAACTCTTACTCTTCCTATAAGAGATACAGGAAAAATGATATCGGAGTCTATGCTCGATTTTTATAAGGAACTTAATGGTGAAAACCGCATATCGATATCTCTTACGGTTTCAGAGATACAGGGTGTTTATCAAAAAATTCATAACTTTTTACTTATTGAAAACTCTTAATCGTCCTATAAGAGATAGAGTAAAAATGATATCGGTGTCTAAGGCTCGATTTTAATAAGGAACTTAATGGCGAAAACCGCATATCGATATCTCTTTCCGTTTCAGAGATACAGGGTATTCATCAAAAAAAGTCATAACTTTTTACTTATTGAAAACTCTTAATCTTCCTATAAGAGATAGAGTAAAAATGATATCGGTGTCTAAGGCTCGATTTTAATAAGGAACTTAATGGCGAAAACCGCATATCGATATCTCTTACGGTTTCAGAGATACAGGGTGTTTATCAAAAAATTCATAACTTTTTACTTATTGAAAACTCTTAATCTTCCTATAAGAGATAGAGTAAAAATGATATCGGTGTCTAAAGCTCGATTTTAATAAGGAGCTTAATGGTGAAAACCGCATATCGATATCTCTTACGGTTTCAGAGATACAAGGTGTTTATCAAAAAAGTGCATCTTCGAATTTTCTTATTGAAAACTCTTACTCTTCCTATAAGATATGCAGGAAAAATGATATCGGAGTCTAGACTCGATTTTTATAAGGAACTTAATGGCGAAAACCGCATATCGATATCTCTTTCCGTTTCAAAGATACAGGGTATTCATCAAAAAAAGTCATAACTTTGTACTTATTGAAAACTCTTAATGTTCCTATAAGAGATAGAGGAGAAATGATATGGGTGTCTAAGGCTCTATTTTAATAAAGAACTTAATGGCGAAAACCGCATATCGATATCTCTTACCGTTTTAGAGATACAGGGTATTCATCAAAGAAAGTCTTAATGGGAAAATAAATAATATGGGAAAAATTACTTTGGTTATGCGGCGGATATTACATGTTCTTACTCAGCAAATGGGAAGTTTACTCCCGATCAAAAATTAATTTATGAAGCCGTTTTAAAAGCCAATAAAGCTGTTAAGGAGCTGCGAAACCGGGTGTTTCTTGGGTCGATATTGATGGCTGTAGATTTTTTTTAATAATTAAAATTGCACTGTTAGATTATAGATGGCGAGAAATGTTATTGATTAACAAATAAAGCGGCTATTCAGTAAGAGATAGCGCTAATTTTGATTATTACATTAAAAATAAAGTAGAATGTGGTGAATAAAACTAGAAATATGTACAGATAAGATTAATGAAAATTGCTTCGTGGTTTTTTTGGAAGGATATTAATTAATTAAATTAAAAAATGACATTTAGGTGTCCGTTGACATTTTGAATCGAATCAACCAATCAGAAACATCTCAACCGGGAGTAGTTTTATTTTGTATTGTTTGTGGTGATTCAGAGGTTGTGTGGTTTGTATCCGGGCGGAGTAAAGTCGCTTTCGGTAAGAAAAAAGGAGAGAAGTCTCGAGGGCGGTGAACCGGATACAGCACCCAAGGTAATCATTTTCTTTTGTAGTTAAAAATATTGATAAAAAGTGACAAAATCTTTTCTAGTTTTCGATTAATATCAAATTAAGCGATGTCTTCAACGGAATTTAACGTGGGTCTCTCCGAGCGCAACGTTCGTAAATCATTGAGGCCTCCGGGTGGTTATTCAAATATATTTGGGTTTGGTGGAAATGAAGAAGAAACGCCTCAGGTTAATCCCAGGAATCAAACATCCGAGATAAAAAGTTGCTTGCAATTTGATGACACACCGTCTGAAAGTCAGAAGATAAAGGATGAGCAAAAGGGCGAAAATGAAAAGAAGGGTGAAGAGAACAAGACTGAAACACCTAATAAAGGCACGCAACGTGTTCGTGTTCCACCAGGAGGGTTTTCTTCTGGTTTGTGGTAAAAACGATTTTTTTGCTTGAAATATTGATTAAATAAAATTACTTTTTATATACCATTTTTTGGATGATAAATTTTTTTTGATATGAATAAAGGATTATGCTGTGTAATTCGTGTTTTATTCTAATAAAACGCACAAAATGTATTATTTAATGTACTTTATTTGATCACCGATTTGGATTTTCTGGTTAATAATAAACAACTTCAAAAAAAATCCATGCCACAATTAAAAAATTGCATTCTTCGCCATTTTTTTTCGTTTAATGATGGAATGACACATTTAAATAGACAAAGATATGTTTTATACATACACCATATCAAAAAACGTTTCATCAAATATTCTTTATTTACTTATTTGTTGAAATGTAAATCTCCCCCTTTATCTTTATCTGAACATGTATTGGGAGAAAATTGGACTTTTCACCCTCAAAACACCTAAATAATGCTTGTACTTTTCGCTTGAAAGTTTTAATTCCGAAAGAGAACGTTTAAAATACAAATAAATTGAAAAAGGGAAACGCGCATCGTAAGTCTTGTTCTTGGAAATGTATTATTAATTATTGTTCGTTAATAAAAATTTGTATATTAGAAGACAATAGATTAATAAATAAAAAAAAAACAAATATGAGTCGAAGAAAACATTCATACGCAATGAGAATATTGATTAATTTCCTACACCCAATAATACAAGGTGTTTCAACAACAAAAGATTCAAGATTAAATGAATTAATATGAAAACATTAAAATAAAAGCAAACGCAAATGGAAATGCAGTTAAAAAAAAACTTTCGGTAACTAATCTCAAATACAAGGCCGGGAGTGCGACCCTCTCTAAAAAATAGTAAACCTATTCATTATCATTATTTTTTAATATAATTATTGAACGAATATAGGATTTTTAAATAGACTTTTTTGTTTAGACAAAAAACATAACCTACGCTCCTTACTTAACTAAGTTTCTCATTTTATTTATTCGATATACAAATTACGAAAATTATCGAGCAACTTCCCTTTGATTATTTAAACATCTTGAAAATTCATCACAAAATTTGTTTAATTGTTTCCGTCTTTAAAACTAAATTAAAAAAATAAAATAAATCAGTTAAAAAAACATTATTGCACCGAAAATAAAAAAAAAGAAACACTAAACATTAACAAAAATTTCATATCGTTAATTATTACCATAAATACAATGCGATAAAAAATTAATAACTGAAAAAAAAGAAAAAAAATTATTTAAGCAACAATTTCAATAAGTCGATTGCAACACGATCACTTGTAATTGTAATTGGAGATTCTTTTGCGAACGCAACAAGAATTTCCAATAATTTCATTATTGCCCATGTGACGGAGTTGTTTTAATTCCATTGATATTAGCGATGGTGCTGCCGTTCACTAAGTAGAATAGGTCGATGTGAAAAGTTGCTTAAATAAACTTTAAATTTTATATCGACCACTATATCTTAATCGTTTATTACTATTATATTAAAAAAACACGTAAAAAAACAAAATTAAACCGAAAACGCAAATATTGCGATCACCTCGTATATAGATTGTCAGTCATTAATAGGAAAAAAGTTAAAAAAAAAACGCAAGGTCCAACGCGTTTTTTTTTTTCATTATTAATTTCTTTTTTTTCTTTAATATTTACACTAAATACTAGCAGGTGGTTTCGAGTACCGAACACTGACAGATGTTGAGGCAGAGTGTCGAGATACCGTCGCAGGCGGGTAACGATCGAGTTTTTGATGGGGGTCGAGGTCGCGATCGTGGCGAACTTTGAGCGCTGCTGCACTGCCGCTGATTTTGCTGTTGCTGCTCCGCCCTGGTACACAAAAGACCCTTGGTGAGCGCCCGAAGTGTTGTCCGGTGCGACGGAGACGTCGCGGACCGACCCGATATGGGTTGGCCCGCCGCCCCAAGCTAGAGAAGTTTTTCACCCGTCGAACTTGATGTTCCCGAACTTATCGTGTACTCTTCTGGACCAAGCAACTGTCAGTTGACCAATTCAACATTTACGAATTGTTTCAGTCTTTCCAAATAGGCTGTGTATAATTCTACATCATTATGTCCGGCTCCCTATATACACATACAATATATTTATATATTAATTTCAAATAAAAAGGATAGATGTTACAATTTAAGGCTGAGGAATTAAGCCCTGCTAAGTGTGAAGAGAATTTTTTCATATTTTGAAATCGAAAATTATTTTTAGTGTAGGTAAAATAACCTTTTTGTTCATGATACGGAAAAATTTTATTAAGAAAAGTTGTTCAAAATGCGAAATTATGGTCCTATACAAAATTTCAGAAGGATTTATCTACTTTGGTTGAACCATCACATTTTAGTTTAAATAACATAAATATTGTATAATTTTATTTTATTTATAAAAAATCTAACGTAAACATAAATGTCGTTTATTCAACCTAAATTCTTTAAAGCTGTTCTGAATCAATGCTTTTTTTTCACTCTGATCTAATCTAAAATATGGTGGTTTAATCAATGTATTTGGATTTTTCTGAAATTTTGCATAGTGGCTTAATTTCTCATTCTGAACAACTTTTCTTAATAAAATTTTGTCGTATCATGAACAAAAAGCTTACTTTACCTGAACTAAAAATAGTTTTCGCTTCATTGTCGAGGCCGAGTTGATTTTGAAAATATGAAAATATACTTAAAATTCTCTCCACGCCAAGCTGAGGTCAATTCCCCATCCTTAAAATAAAATTCAAAAATTTTTAGACACTGTATTTATACCGGGTGAGGCATTTTAATAAAATTCTAACAGTAACAGTATACAGGATGCGTCTGAAGATATCGTCATGAGCCGAAACACGTCGATTTTTATTTTTTGTTAATCCAAATAATTTAGCATAAAAAATTGTTTATCACTTTTAATTTTTTTGGAAAATGAGTCAACTTTGTTTTTTTAGTTGAACACCTTAGATATAACATTTTCTGATAGCGCTAAAAAAATACCAATCCTATGATACCTCGCAATCAAATATTGGTTAATAAGTTTTTATGATGACAAATAAATATCAAACAGTAATAGGTTATAAAAGTTTGGAACCAGTAAAAATAGATAGCAAAGAAATATAAAACGGACAAGGAAGTTGGTTGAAATATGGACAAAAGAAATTGAAAAGATGAGCCTAGAATTGAACGTAAATAAATGTAAAATCGTGATAATAAATAAAAAGGAAATAAGAAATAACCCGAAAGAAATATTTATTAAGTCTCTTTACTAGAACGTCGTACTTGTTAAAATAATTGTTGATGATTATTAATAATGTTTGACTGTTATTAAGCAAGAGTATCAGAGGCAAATAAGAAAAAACACGTAATTAATATTTTTAAACGTACTATAAGGATACTTAACATCGCCAAAATCGACACGGTAGTTTTTAAAATATTCCAAAAAACTAGGGGTAGTTGGAAAACTCTTTAAAAATGAATATCAGCTTACATTGACCACATTTCGACAGCTATTTTCGTCTTCAGGCTACAAGTGAATATATAGGGTGTGTCAAATGTCTGGAATATAGCCAACAACTTCGCCATTTGTGGTTTTAAAGAAAAATGTTTCAAATACAAGTTTCTTTATTAATCATGGCGCATTTTTTGGCGATATTTGCTTCTTTGTATTGTTTTTTTTTGCTTCGTTGCTATGGCAACCAACATTGTTATTTTAAATGGGATGCATATGTTTTTTTCGCATACATTTGCGATGAACATATCAAATCATATGGTTTTGTAAGAAAAAAACCGAGAAAAAATGCGTTTTCTGAAGATATTATCAGCAAATTACAATCAATGTAGTTAAAAAATGACAGTTTCAAGAATTATGAATAACTAATAATGTATGGGTACACACATTTAATGTAGTTTCATCATTGGTAGCTGTCTTTGGCCGTTCACTTTTGGAAGATTTTTAACACTTCCGGTATTAAAGAATTTTTTTAATATTTTGGATACTGTAGTGTACAAACTTCATTAATATTTGGATTTTTTGTTCGCTTAATTGCACCATATTTGTTTAAACTGTTAATTTTTTAACATTTAAAGCTATCAACGGCGTTATTTCGGCGCCTGCTTTGATGATTTGATAAGTTCATCGCGTAGAGGGATTTATACTCTATCAAAATATGCATCCCGTTTAAAATAACATTCGCCGTAAAATTTGCCACAATTAATAAAAAAAAATTTATTTGAAACATTTTACTTTAAAATCACAAATGGCGAAGTTATTGGCTATATTCCAGACATATATATATTTCGCCCCGATTTCTAACCCTTATAACTCGCCCCAGGGGCTTTATTAGCACGTATAAAAAAATCGCTGTACCAAATTGCAACAAAATCGGCGAGGGACAGTCCCAACACTTTCCTACAAAGCAGCGCGGGCCGCCATTTTCTACAATTTTTATTAATTAATATCATAAAAACTAATTAACCAATTTTCGATTGGGAGGTATCATTGGATTCGTATTTTTTAGCTCTATCAGAAAATGTAAAAACATACAGTTGATCCATTTTCGGCCGTTTTGAAATTAAAGCGCCCTCTATGTGAGTCACTGTATACAGATGTCCCATATCTTCCTTATCACAGCATTATATGATTGAAGTATTCTGAAGCGATTTTTCTAATAAAAATATTTCGAACTGTTTAAAGTCGTCCAATAGCGATTCCATAGGTGTCTGGGTAGAAAAATGGCTTTAGAATAATGTATTCTTCAAGTGTATAATGCTCTGCTCTGGAAGATATGGGACAACCTATATGGAAAGAATGATATTAATAATGGGAAATATTGTTGGAATTACTTACTTCAACCCAAAGTGGTTCAACAGCTTTTGGACACCTTTCAAAGATAGTGAGGCCATGGGAAAAGTCAATGACTTCATCTTCAGTACCATGAATAACAAGAGTAGGTGAAGTGACTTTTGGAACCTTGTCGATACTAAAGAAACAGAAAATGAATTTGTGTGAAATAATGAATGATGATTTGTGTATTAACCTGGGGAAGGCGTCAAAAAACCACGTCCTTTTTGTATTGGGAAAGGCGACACGCATTCCAGACATAAGTGGTGAATGAAGTATGACAGCACCAACTTCATAACGGGCAGCCAAATCGACTGTGGGTACAGTACCTATACTCTGGCCATAAAGTATGATATTTTCGGGGCTAATGCCGTATCTTGTGCGTAAGGCAAGCCACGCGGCATCTATGTCAGCGTAAAGATTTTTCTCGGATGGTTTACCCGCACTGACGCCGTAACCAGAATAATCGTAGCTGAATATATTGCAATTGATACGTGAACCGAGCCCGAGGTAGAAGCTGCTCATTTGACCGAGATCGACAGCGTTTCCATGCGAAAATAGTATCGTAAATCTGGCAGTGTTACTACAGCGAACATAAAGGCAACCGATACGATTACCTCGATTAGTCCTAGTATAAAAACCTTCAACTTTTTCTTTTTCTTGGTCAGTGTATTGCCATTCGGCACGATCCGTTAAATTTAAAGCGTATTTACCAGTCCCGTCGGCCAAAAAATCGTACGTAGGTTCCGGTGGTAAAAAGGCCAATTTAGCCGCTATTCTACTCGGACATGGTGGACAGCAAAACAGACAACAAAATTCACTTAAGCTAAGTCCGTTCATTTTCGTCTTATATAGTGGACCCAACTTAACACTTAAAATAATACGACTTGACGTACATTGTTGACAACGCTAAATTAGAGTGTGTATATGTGTGTGTTACCTCTCTGAAGTTTGCGGCTTACAACGCCATCTACACACAAATAACCTTTATAAACAACACCCGTTTGTTATTGCAATTATATTTATTAGATTACTATTTATATTTTTAATCACCTCTCATTTCCTTATCTTATACTTTCTATCTTATTTAGTTTCATTTTATTACTTATTTTTTCCTCCCTACATTACATGAAGTTGGTTACAAACAAAACAAAAATATTTTTTTTCGACTTTCATTTTCGAAATTATATTCTAAATTAAAATTAATTATTAAATATAGTATCGTTAAATTTTGTTATAAAAGAACCTTTTTGTATTAATCATTCGATATGAGTTATTAAAAAAGCACGCGAAATGCTTAAAAATTCTTATTAATCAAATTAATATTTGGCAATCAATCATTATTGAAATTATTACTCATTTTCTGTTCGATTAATAAAAAAAAATGTTGCAACGTTTATTTTTGGAGCCTTTATCATTGCTGCTTTTATCATTCGTGTGTCGACACATGTTTCTAATTTATTTAATAACAAACAACTAAAATGTATTGTTAGCGATAAAAAAGATTAACAAGCAATTTTTATCAGTTTTTTAAATTTAAATTGTAAAAAATTTAACGACGCAGGTTTCTGTACTATTAATTAATAGTGTTAAGTTTTGCTCATAGATGCCGTTTTGACGTGTGCGGTTAAAAATAAGAAACAAACTTCACGTTTGTAGTTTTGAAACGGCTAAGTTCGTACAGTTTAGGAAGTACTCCATTTTAGTAATGTGGGTACAAGTGTAATTCGGCCACATTTTATTATTAACCGATCATTTTAAACGTTAAGAGCACGAATAAAGCGTTTATCATTTAGAATGTGTGATTTTCCAGTGGACCTTCTAGTGAAACAAACGGTCAGAAGCGTGATCTTCGATCCCGCTACGATGGGAACACTATCATCGAAAATGCAACATTTTCATGCGAACGCCAACGGGCCGGCTTTTAGAGCTTTACCATCGGAAACGGCATTTTATAATGTCCTAAAGTGTCCCGAAACGGTTAAGTATTTGAGTGAACATCCCAGTGATTACATCCACAAGATTTTTGAGAATGTAAGATGTGTTGTTTGGTTATTCTACTATAGTTGGTCTCTGTTTTATCGGCTATTATTCTTCTTTTTTTAAATTTAAATTAAATGTATATTTTCCTTTTAAATCTTTAGGATGTTTATAAACAAAGTTTAGCTTTAGCTAAAACTGATAACGAATTAAAAGAGATTAAAAATCAAATATTATACAAATTCATCAAAGAGTTGAAAGAATGTAGAACAGAATCAGCTGTTGAATGGGCAGCTTTTCAACATTACATGCTTTATGTGTATCGAAAATTTATTACATCAAATCCAACTAGTTGTAAAGAACCCATTCCTTCAGTGTTAATGAAAAAATTTTATGAACATTCAATGAGGTAAGTATAAAACAAATTTTTTTTTAAATTTTTATTTCATTTTCCATCTTACAGCTTATCACATGAAGATAAATTACAATTTTTTATACGACTAGTTATGTTGTTACGGGAATATGTAACAGTAGCGAGGGAAAACTATGAGAATTTAAACACTAAAGGAGACTCATTAATGTATATTCAATGTAACTATCAAATTTATTATAATTTACAAAAACTAACTAACACAAATCATTCATTTTCAGCTTTGTTAAACTATTACAACTCCTTCTGTTCTGCAGCAACTAGAATAATGTCTTTATTTGTACATTTCGACGAATTTTTAATTCAACATTTCGATATGAGATGGTTTCGTTTACATCAAAAGCTATTTTTTAAATACTTTTATGCAGCTAAGTCTGTTAAAGCAAAAATAGCTTTTGTAAATGAGGTAAAAATTATTATTAAGAAGGTGGTGTACATTACAAATTAATACAAATTTATAAATAACAAAAATTATACTCAAGTCCGGCCAAATATTCTTAGGATTTGCACAAAGAGGACCTATAGCTTACATAGCGCTTGAAAAGTTTTTTAAAAAATTATACAGGCTGGTCAGAAATTTGCGCCGAATCACGAAAAGTCGAAATTTTCATTTTTTTAAATGGCAACCCCAATTTTTTTTCTTCACCAACGTATTGTATGCTGAAAAATAAAGGAACTTTGTTAATACATCTCTATATCTAAAATGTATGATTTGCGTAGAAACTTGAAAAAGAGACGCTAAAATCCTAAAAACACGATTTCGTGTATATATGGCAAACTACTGGCACTATTTTTGTAAAAATTTGCATACAGGGTTTATCCGAGGTGCTCGTTTCAGCTAAAATATTTTCAGTTTTCTCCAACTTCCGGTTATACCGGATATGGAACCCAACTTCGTTATTTTGAATGGAATTCACCAATTTTTATTGAATATTCGAGATCCTTGCTAAATTTCAATATAATTTGATATAAGTCATCATATATCTAGAGTGCACCATTTTTGAATTATTTTAGTATGTTCGAAAAAAAATAATTTTTCGAAATTACACTCAAGTCCAACCAAAGAGAGGTCCCATAGCTTACATAGCGCTTGAAAAGTTTTTTAAAAATTATACAGGTTGGTCAGAAATTGGCGCCGAATCACGAAAAATCAAAAACTTCATTTTTTTTTAATTTCAACCCCAATTTTTTTCTTCACCAGCGTATTGTACGCTGAAAAATAAGGCAACTTTGTCATTACAACTCTATATCTAAAATGTATGGTTTTCGTAGAAATTTGAAAAAATTAAATTTTCTTAGTTATTAGTAAATTTAAAATTATCTGTATTATATATCAAAGCTATTTCAGGCGAAATCGTTCTTTATATATCTCGGTAAAGATATAAAGTCTCTTATAAGAAGACATTTACCCTCAAACCGCCGAGGTCAGTTACAGGCGAGACTCTAAAATCCTAAAAACACGATTTTGTGTATATATGGCAAACTACTAGCACTATTTTTGTAAAAATTTGCATACAGGGTTTATCCGAGGTGCTCGTTTCAATTAAAATATTTTCAGTTTTCTCCAACTTCCGGTTATACCGGAAATGGACCCCAACTTCGTTATTTTAAACGGAAGGCATCAATTTTTATTGAATTTTCGAGATCCTCGCTAAATTTCAATTTAATTTGATATAAGTCATCATATATCTAGAGTGCATCATTTTTGAATTATTTTAGTTTTTTCGAAAAAAAATAATTTTTCGAAATTACACTCAAGTCCGGCCAAATATTCTTAGGATTTGCACAGAGAGGACCTATAGCTTACATAGCGCTGAAAAGTTTTTTTAAAAAATTATACAGGTGGTCAGAAATTTGCGCCAAATCTCGAAAAGACAAAAACTTAATTTTTTTAAATGGCAACCCCAATTTTTTTCTTCACCAGCGTATTGTACGCTGAAAAATAAAGGAACTTTGTCATTACAACTATATATTTAAAATGTATGATTTTCGTAGAAACTTGAAAGAGACGCTAAAATCCTAAAAACACGATTTCGTGTATATATGGCAAACTACTAGCACTATTTTTGTGAAAATTTGCATACAGAGTTTACCAGAGGTGCTCGTTTCAACTAAAATATTTTCAGTTTTCTCCAACTTCCGGTTATACCGGAAATGGACCTCAACTTCGTTATTTTGAACGGAATGCACCAATTTTTATTGAATTTTCGAGATCCGTGCTAAATTTCAATATAATTTGATATAAGTCATCATATGTCTAGAATGCACCATTTTTTAATTATTTTAGTTTTTTCGAAAAAAAATAATTTTTCGAAATTACACTCAAGTCCGGCCAAATATTCTTAGGATTTGCACAGAGAGGACCCATAGCTTACACAGCGCTTGAAAAGTTTTTTAAAAAATTATACAGGTGGTCAGAAATTTACGCCGAATCTCGAAAAGTCAAAAACTTAATTTTTTTAATTTCAACCCAAATTTTTTTCTTCACCAGCGCTGAAAAATAAGGGAACTTTGTTAATACATCCCTATTTCTAAAATGTATGGATTTCGTAGAAGTTTCAAAAAAATGAAATTTTCTTGATTATTAGTAAATTTAAAATTATTTGTTGGCTTTGGTTTGAAGCAACCATAGGGTTTTAAAAAACATAACTTCATCTTTATTCTTACTCATTGGCACAATGTTTAATTAAGTTGAATAAAACTCAAGAAGATGAAGATTTTTTAGAAAAAGTTAATTTGATTGGATGAGGCAAAATCTCACAAGAATGGATGCTACTGATGCTGGAATTTAAATGTTTTTGCTGCCATAAAAAATGATGGTGTGATGATGCACTTTTATAACGAAAATTTGAATGGTAAGCTTATTGGAAATTGTAGGGTAAATTTTATTTCTAATTCTTGTTCCTTATTTCAGGCGAAATTTTTACAAAATTATCTGCAACCGCTAAATTTAAACAGGAATCAGCACCATGGAGCTCCACCTTATGGTAGTGCGCTTATATAGAGGATTTCCCAAAAGTAACGGATAAATTCGTTAAAATAATTAAGAACAGTTTATGAAAAAATCGCTGAGATGGGTCTAAAGATTAAAATTTTTTTTAATTGTTTGGTATAGATTTTAAATTTTTTCCGCCATTTTTAAACGAGTAATGACGTCATCGATATTTTTTTCAATTAGCAATGCCGCATTTCTAATACGGGATATGAAAGAAGACTTTATTCTGGATCTAGTACAGTCAATATTAATATTGGTAACATAAGAAAATTTTTGAGAAAAATTATCTTAAAGTTTCATGATTTTCCATCCATTTGAGATTGAAAAATAACAACCAACTGTTTCAGATATCAAAAATTCATCATTTTATTAAAAAATATCTCAAACCAAAGCCAACTAATAGTTTTAAATTTACTAATAATCAAGAATATTTATTTTATTTCAAGTTTTTACGGAAACCATAGACATTTCGAGAGTCGACGCAAATTTCTGAGCACTCTGTATAATTTTAAAAAAATTTTTAAGGGTTATGTAAGCTATGGATGCAAACCTTGAGAATATTTAGCTGGACTCGAGTGTAATTTCGAAAAATTATTTTTAATCGAAATTTTCGAAAATCTGAAATAATTAAAAAATGGTGTACTCTAGACGTATGATGATTTATATCAAATTGTATTGAAATTTAGCGGGGATCTCGAAAATTCAATAAAAATTGGTACATTCCATTTAAAATAACGAAGTTGGGGTCCATTTCACAAAAATAGTGTCAGATCATGTATAAAATTTTTTTAATTTGCAGTGTACGCCACATTTATTTAAAAAAAAATTATAAATATAATAAAAAAAATCTTTTTTTAAGCAAAATGAAATAAATGTTCCTGAAAATCTTATAATTGGGTTTCGAAATTTTGTGCAAGATATGGTAATGACAGATCGTATTTGGGAGAGACAGTTAAAAAAATATAAAAATAATACAAACGGAATGATTGATGAAAAACTTGAGAAGGAAATAAGAAGAATAATGAAAACAAATTTTTGGATTAGTCGTACACTTAATAATTACAATAAAGATCATAATAGTCAACAATGTCCAGAGTTAGTCCCCTTTTTCCCTGTGGTTATGGACGATACAAAAAACCTCGCGGATCGTTTAATACGTACAGATGGTGTTTGCATATGCGAAGACTGTATGTTTGCGAAGTTTGATCACAACGTCATGAATAATATGACCCAAAACGACAGTGATCACATCGTTTTATGTTATTTATGTAACGAATCGGTTTATTTGGACAACTTAGGGACACATCTCATTCAAGAATTTGAAGAAATCGAACGAATAGAAACAAATAAAATGTTCAAATGTAATTTTACAACCATTTTTTTGTTATTTTGTTGTCATTATTTTGTGTTTTTTTAGTACAAACCGGTTCACCATCAATGAAAAAATCGTTAATAAAAAAACCGTCATCGAAATTATGCAAAATTCTTTCAGACACAGTAGTTAAAAAAGATACAAATTTATTTAAGATAAATGAAGATTGTTTTAGTTTAAAAAGTGAAAATAGTTTGCTGAAAGAACCGATTTCGAAGCGATTACTTGAATGCCCTGTTAGAGGAGAGTCAGAGTCGATAGTTAGATTGGCAAACGATTACGGAAAATGCGCGAAAACATCATCACCCGATCGCCTATTGCTCAAACATAAAGTAGAGAAAGAATCCATTAAAATCGGCACCCCATTTAATGAAAACGGCGCGAAAACTGTTATTAAAAGCACGTTGGAGAAAAAGAGCGACGAGAAAAACGGGATTAAAGATAAAGATGGTTATAACTTGAAATTTAACGTCAATAATTTACCTCAAAGAAATTTCCTGGGAAATTCTAATAAGTAGGAAAACAATTTTTTATTTTTGTTGCTTAATATAATTAGTTTATACTTTTTTTTATTTTTATTTTTGGGTTAGGTCGTCTTCGTTAAATTCAACAAGCAATAAATTGAGTAATGATGGTTGTGTTGGTCACGCGTGTGGACATAAATGTAAAAAAGAGGATTCAACAGCAAATGGGGGTAATTATTAAAATATTGTAGTTGTAAATACATTAGTGGGGAATTTATTTTAGACACAACGGATTCAACGAGAGATAAAAAGTGTGATTGCGCCTATTGCGAAGTTTTCGGAACGGTAATAATCTCAATTTCTTAGATTTATTTAATTTATATGTTTGAATTTTAAGAATGTTCCAACTCACGCCCATAAAACCAGCGAAACGCGAGATCGCCTTCGAAATCGTTTAACACGGCGAAAAGAACGAATAAACGAAGTGTTAAAGAACAAATCCTCATCAATTCCAACAAGCTCCCAAGCCGCTTCAACGAACGGGAAGTTGGAATCGGGCGGGAAATCAACATCATCGTCATCATCATCGCTAGTGCCTAATAAATCGAACGAATCAATTCCACAACCAGTTCTAAAACAAGAAATTGAAGGGAAAAATATCGAAAAATCAATGAAGGATAAAGATAAAAATGATGATGATTTAGATCGAATTTTAGATTTTATTCAAGGCAAGCCAGTCGATAAAGTAGCGCTGGCGGAGAAAAAAGCGGCGAAAAAAGCCCGGCAAAAGCAGAAAAAAGAAGAGGAAAGGTTAAAACGGGAAACGGAGGAGGAACAAAAAAGGTTGGAAGAGCAGAGGAGGTTAGAAATGAAACGGAAAGAAGAGGAAAAATTAAAAGCGTTGGCAACAAAACAACAAAATTCAAACCACTCGAAGAAAAATAAAAAAAATAATAAAAATAGTAAAAACAAAATTGACGAACAAAAGCATCAAAAACAACAAATAAAGCAAGAATTAATGGAAGAAACGATACCTGCGATGGTTACAATAAAGCGCGTCGTTGAGAATAATAGTTCATTACCAACCGTTACTATTACATTAAAAGGATCAACACCAGATCAAGATAAGTTGTTGTATACTTTAGTAAATGGCCATGCTAGCGATTACTCAAATGGGAAAGGTGATAAGAAAAAAGATAAAAAGAAACAAGAGCAACTTAAAAGCGATAAAATGAAAAATGAAAAAATTAAAATTGAAACTCAACCGAAAAGTAAAAACAAAAAAAATAAAAACAATAACAACATCGGAAAATCCGAATCAAACAACATAATTAACGGAAACATCACAACAAAAGAATTAAAAGTTACTTTAACGGTGGATAAAAGTTTCCATAAGGGTAAAGAAATAATTGAAAATAATATCAATAATACAAATAACGGGAGTAATTCAAAAAAGAATAAAAACGCTAAAGAAATGAAAAAAGAATCGATAAAAACAAACATATCTCAAATAAAAGCGGAAAATCCCGTTGAAATTGATATTCCATCATTAAAACTTCCACCGGGGATTACAATAACTAAAGTATCGGGTCCTTTAACGAATAAAAATAACTCAAATTCTTCATCGTCATCCTCAACATCATCAACAAATTCCTACCAAAATGTTCCTGTTAATAAATCGGGTGTAATCGTTGTTGACACAGAAAAATTAATCCAACAATCTTCCACATCAAATCCAAGCAAAAAAAGTAAAAAAAAGAAAAAGAAAAACATCGCAGAAGAAAATAAATTAAAAACGGGTGATGCTAAAGGTAATATGGTTACGTTACGTAACCCAATTTTTCATACGTTACAAACAAAATTAGTCGATAAAGTTGATCCAATTATTTCGTGTAACGAACAAGCGTCAATAACAAAGGGGGAAAATGGTATGGTTACAATTAGAAGACCAAATTATATGAGTCCGATTGATTATGGGAAAGAAACTCCAATTTCCGAATATTTAGGCAAATTAAAACCGGTTATGAATTACGAATTACCACCAAATAAAAAAGATATCGATTTAAAGAAGAATCCAACCATCGATTGTAACGGAATTAAAAGTGAAAATAGATCAAGATTAAGTACACACGATATTTTATGGGGATTACCCGGAATTGAAATAACTAAAGTGAATAAAAACGCGGTTAATAATGATGATAGTAAAAAAAATTCTTGTCATCAAGCTGCGGATGTATCAATTATTCCAACAAGTTCAAACAATAACGGTGAAAAATTTAATTTAGATAGAGACGACTGGCCTTTTGAAAGCGTTTTTGCGCCAAAAGATATTCTCGAAGATGATTTAGACGCGGACGAAAGAGAGTTGGAAGCGTTTAAACGTTTTTGTCAACAATCGATTCCACCGAAACACAAGGAAAAAGTCGCTCATTTAAACGTTAAGGATATTGTGCTTAAAAAAAAGAATGATGTCACGTACTCTTAAAGAAAATTATTTTAAAACAATAAATAAAGCGCGTGTACATAAAACAATTTTCACTTGGTAGGAAATCCGAATCGAAAGCGTTCTTTTTTTAGATAATATTTATTTTTGTTGTAAAATTTTTTTTGTCCCCGAAAACGTCGTAGGTCAAAACATTTGGCAGCTTCACGTTTTAACTTGCCATTTTGATGCAAAATTATTTTTTTGTGAGGAAGCTGTCAGTCGACGTGTGACCAGCAATATTTCGTTTTTCACTGCATAAAATAAAAAGAATGTGTATTGTAAAACGTTTGTAAACCTTTTTTTAGATAGTACACGAAAGTGAATATGTAAAAATGATTTTTTTTATTTTACCTCTTATTCTTATCTTTATCCTCTTTCATGATTAAATTGAAGCTTAAATAATAATAATAGTTTTATCACCTACATTTATAAAGTTAAATTACAACGATTGTATAAATATTTGATTTTATCATACACATCCTTTGAAACCTTACTGCCACTCAAAACGTCATTGGTGCCAGCCATAATTATGGCATAGTCATTTTGATTATAGTTAAAAAAAAAATTTTCAGCACCTTCTAGAACATCACAAACTTTATCATTATGTTTGAAAACTCTTAGAATGTTGTAAAAGCATCACTTTTGATTTACGTGGTTCTTGCACTATTTCTTATGGAGGTGTTAACAATTGTTCTACGACTTTTTTAGGAGTTTGAGATGAGCACAGTACATGCTCTAAGCGATGATTTGTAGAACCAATAGGTGTTTTTGGAACAGCCGTAGAAACAACTTTACTATTTGCGATTTTTGTATTTTTTTTTTAGATATTTTCGGAGTTACTGTTATTTTTTGTTTGGTTTCTTGTAGCTTACAATTAACATTACTGTTTTTATTTATATTCTTATTATTTTTTAGCAACTTGGTCAAACGAACAGCCAAGAAATTAATGGTCCAAAAAAATGACAGAGCTCGGGAATGGAAAGTTCCACGAAAACTAAAATATGCCTATGGACATTATGGGTCATTTGGCTATCCGTCGGTGTATCCTGTTTCAAAATCGGTCCGGTAGATCCTGAGATCAATCAAACCACGGAAAAGGTGCAACCGCCAAACTTCAAAATAGTATAACTTTTGATCGCCGCTTTCAAATTTTTTTCTGACCGTTACGTAGTGATCCTGAGGGCTCTTCGCGTGTTTTAGAAAAAGAAAAAAAATTTTTTTTTTCAAAAATGCGGCTTGAGCTGGACCAAAAAATCCACAGAGCACAGAAACGGAAAATTCCACGAAGACTAAAATATGCCTATGGACATCATGGGTGCTTTGGCTATCTGTCGGTGTATCCCGTTTCAAAATCGGCCCGGTAGATCCTGAGATCATGCAAACCACGGAAGAGGTGCATCCGCCAAACTTCAAAATCATATAACTTTTGATCGCCGCTTTCAAATTTTTTTCTGACCGTTGCGTAGTGCTCCTGAGAACTCCCCGCATTTTCTAGAATAAGAAAAAAAATTTTTTCAAAAATGCGACTTGAGCTGGAATAAAAAATCCACAGAGCTCAGAAACGGAAAATTCCGCGAAGACTAAAATATGCCTATGGACATCATGGGTGCTTTGGCTATCTGTCGGTGTATCCCGTTTCAAAATCGGCCCGGTAGATCCTGAGATCATGCAAACCACGGAAGAGGTGCATCCGCCAAACTTCAAAATCGTATAACTTTTGATCGCCGCCTTCAAATTTTTTTCTGACCGTTACGTAGTGTTCCTGAGAATCCCCCACATGTTCTAGAATAAAAAATAAATTTTTTTTTTTCAAAAAGGCGACTTGAGCTGGACCAAAAAATCCACAGAACTCAGAAACGGAAAATTCCACGAAGACTAAAATATGCCTATGGACATCATGGGTGCTTTGGCTATCTGTCGGTGTATCCCGTTTCAAAATCGGCCCGGTAGATCTTGAGATCATGCAAACCACGGAAGAGGTGCATTCGCCAAACTTCAAAATCGTATTACTTTTGATCGCCGCTTTCAAATTTTTTTCTGACCGTTACGTAGTGTTCCTGAGAATCCCCACATGTTCGAGAATAAGAAAAAAAATTTTTCTTTCAAAAAGGCGACTTGAGCTGGATCAAAAAATCCACAAAGCTCAGAAACGGAAAATTCCTCGAAGACTAAAATATGCATATGGACATCATGGGTGCTTTGGCTATCCGTCGGTGTATCCCGTTTCAAAATTGGCCGGGTAGATCCTGAGATCATGCAAACCACGGAAGAGGTGCATCCGCCAAACTTCAAAATCGTATAACTTTTGATCGCCGAGTTCAAATTTTTTTCTGACCGTTACGTTGTGATCCTGAGGGCCCTCCGCAAGTTCTAAAATAAGAAATTTTTTTTTTCAAAAAGGCGACTTGAGCTGGATCAAAAAAACCCCAGAGCTCGGACACGTAAAATTCCATAAAAACTAAAATATACCTATTGACATCATGGGTCCTTTGGCTATCCGTCGGTGTATCCCATTTATAAATCGACCCGCTAGATCCTGAGATCATTCAAACCACGGAAAAAGTGCATCCGCCAAACTTCAAAATCGCATAACTTTTGATCGGCGCCTTCAAATTCTCTTCTGACCATTACGTAGTGATCCTAAGAAATAAATAGTATAGAGAATATGGTAGTATGATATTGGGTATGATATAAAAACTATGAGACAACATTATTGAAATTTCCAGGAAAAGTTATCATAAACGTTGAGCCAAGCTCCAAACCTTTATGTTCCCAATGCAGTACTTAATCAATAGATGGCAGTGTTAATTGTATATTGGCAGTTTAAAGTTAACCTAAAATTCAAGCATAAAGTTTCATAAACATGGATATTTTAGAATTTCAGGATATAAAAACAATCCCAGATATTATTCACCCCTATACTTCAACTTTACGCAATAATTCAATCCCCATTATAATTGATAACGGGTCGTATCAATGTCGAGTTGGTTGGGGAAACCAATCTAAGCCTCTATTAATATTTAAGAACTTATTGGCTAAACCACGAAAAGAGAGATCTAAAAAGGAATCAGAAGCCCACACCCCTCAGCTACAAGTTGGAAATGATATAGTTAATATTGAGGCTTTACGGTTTCAATTAAAGACACAATTTGACCGGAATGTTGTAACCCATTTCGAGGCACAAGAAAGACTCTTTGACTATACCTTTAAACATTTAGGTATTGACACAGAGCGGTGTGTTGGACATCCCATTGTAATAACAGAAGCTTTTTTAAATCCAAATTCGCAACGACAATGTAAGGAATAAATAAGTATCTTGATAATTAATAAAATGCATATTTCAGTGATGTCGGAGTTATTATTTGAATGTTATGATGTCCCAGGAATTGTTTATGGCGTGGATGCGCTTTATGCCTATCAATGTTCTCAAAAGCCACAAAAAGAAAACGCCTTAATTATTAATATGGGGTACCACACAATCCATGTAATTCCAATTCTAAATAATACAACAATTTTTGAACACACCAGACGCATTAACACTGGGGGTTATCATGTTGTGTCATTCCTACATCGAATATTACAACTAAAATACCCAGCTCATACAAATGCAATTACTTTAAGCAGAGCTGAAGAGTTACTCCACAGTATTTGTTTGGTTGCTATTAATTATAAAGAAGAGTTACAAAGGTGGTTAGATAGTGATTATTATGAAGCAAACACTAAAATTATTCAATTACCTTATTCAGCTAATGTTACAACATCAGCACAAACATGTAAGTATTAAAATTAATAAGTAATTGTAGTAAGTAATTGTGTTGTTCCAATTAAAAAAAACATAAAAATGTAACTTTGTTTTTGTATTTGAACACAATTGTTTTTGAAAACAAATATAACAAGACAAAAAATAAAAAGTCTGCCAAAAAAGTTAATTTTATAATTTCATTATTATGTAGGCTAATATCTCACAGCCACAGTAATAAACATTATTATTTATAAATTGTAGTAGAACAACAAAAAGAACGAAAACGCGAGTTAGCACGCCGATTAACAGAAATAAATGCGCGAAAACGCGAAGAACGTTTAGCAGAAGATGAGGAAAAATTACAACAATTACTTGAAATTCAAGAACTCGATTCGGTTTCGGAACAATCGAAAGCGATGATCGAGTTTGAAATAAAAAGTGCGGAAGATTTGCGTAAAAATATCTCGGTTCTTCAAGCTAGAATAATAAAAACGAAGCAAAAAATTAATGCCGCGCAGTGCGGCGATGATCTTGACGAGCCGCAAGCGAAACAATTAAAGATAAATAAAGTCGTTTTTGATAGTGAAAAGGCAATGATGGCTTACGTTCAAAACGCGAAGAAAAAACGGCAGGAAATTTTGAATAAAAAAGCTGCTAGGAAACAAAAAAAACAAGATATGGCGAAAAGAAGAACTGCAGCCGGCCAAGAACGTATGAGAATAATATCGCAATTAGCGCGGAAAGAAAAGGGGAATGATGATTTTGGATTAAGAGATGAAGATTGGGATATTTATAAAACGATAAGCAGAGATGGTGGCGATTCCGATAGCGATGCCGAAAACGAAAAATTACTTGAATTAGAAGACATTATTAGAGTACATGATCCTAACGATGATGAAGATTCAATGACCCCAGGCGAAGCGCATCAATTACATATTGGAGTTGAAAGATATCGAGCTCCCGAACTTTTATTTAAACCATACATGCTTGGAAGTTCAGAAGCTGGCCTCTCAGAAGTAATCGGATACGTCTTATCATTATTTGGAACCAATGATCAATTGAAATTAGCCGGAAACGTAATGATAGTAGGAAGTTTAGCCAATTTACCAGGCCTAAAAGAGCGAATACAAATTGATTTAACCGCGATTAGACCCTTTCGATCATTTAGTAAAGTTTCGATACTTTCAAATTGCGGTTTAGCGGCGTGGCATGGAGCACAGAAGTTTTCCCAATCAACTCATTTTAAGAAGTGTTTGATTACGAAGAAAAATTATGAAGAATATGGTGGGGAATATTTAAAATGTCATTTAGCGTCTAATTTATATTTAGCTACACCTAAAGAACAAAGTCCTGAAGTTGATAATAGTTAAAATGAATGTCATTTAATTTTATATAATAAAAATAATATTTAAAACATAACATTTTTTTTTTCTGAACATTTCTGCGTAAAATATGTAAATTTGAAAATTTTCAAGTATGCGGGTTTAAAAAAATTTTAAATTTCAAATTGTATGTTGAAAATTTTAAAAAATAGTATTAAGAAAAGTTGTTGCTTTCTTGATTCTTAACAAGTTTTATTTGAAAAATTTTTTGATACGAACGAATATATATATTTTTATACCAGTGTAGAGCACAACCTGGTGATGATATCAAAATTTTAATTAAAACAATTGGTTTTAAACGATATTGTAAGCAAATTTTATATGAAACTTGTTTCGATAAAAATAATATGCTCTGAAATCCTTGATATACATTAAATTGTATTGTTCAGTGGGAAATTAAATGTCAAGTATTTTAAAAAATAGTATTAAGAAAAGTTGTTACTTTCTTGATTCTTAACAAGTTTTATTTGAAAAAATTTTTGATACGAGTTATAATTATTAAGATAACCTCAAATATATATATTTTTATACCAGTGTAGAGCACAACCTGGTAATGATATCAAAATTTTAATTAAAACAATTAGTTTTAATCGATATTGTAAGCAAATTTTATATGAAACATGTTTCGATAAAAATAATATGCTTCGAAATCCTTGATACACATTAAATTGTATTGTTCAGTGGGAATTTAAATGTTGAGTATTTTAAAAAATATCATTAAGAAAAGTTGTTACTTTCTTGATTCTTAACAAGTTTTATTTGAAAAATTTTTTGATACGGACGAATATATATATTTTTACACCAGTGTAGAGCACAATCTGGTGATGATATCAAAATTTTAATTAAAACAATTAGTTTTAATCGATATTGTAAGCAAATTTTATATGAAACATGTTTCGATAAAAATAATATGTTTCGAAATCCTTGATACACATTAAATTGTACTGTTCAGTGGGAAATCAAAATGTTGAAAATTTCCAAAAAAAGTATTAAGAAAAGTTGTTACTTTGTTGATTCTTAATAAGTTTTATTTGAAAAATTTTTTGATAGAGTCATTTTTTTGACTTGATAATTTTTTGAAAAAAAAAAATTACATACCTATATATTTCTTAAATCTTCCTAAATACACTCGCACATCAAACAAAAATTTATTCAGTAACAGGCGTATCCCCTCTTGCACATGTTGTGAGGTGAAGGAGGGAACAAAAACTAAAAAATTATAAAAAGTTGATTTTGTCGAATATAAATAAATTTAAAAACTTATTTAAAGTATGATTAAATTTGGAATTCGTAGAACGTTGAGTTCTTTAATTTTGTAATCGTTTTATACAATTTAAAATAAATTCTTGATAAATAAATCTTTTTTTTAATTTTAGTTGATTTTTAATGAATAAAATATGTCGAATTTTTAATCGGAATTAAAAAAAAATCGTGACAACCGAATCGTTTTTAAGAATTTTCCCAAAATTATCAACAAAGAAAATTCGATAACTGAAGAATGCAATTAATTAAGTTTATCAAAAATCTTAGAACTGTATCAATTTTTAAGCGAATTCGTACCTGGTACGGATATGAATAAGATGATACGCATTTCTATTTTACGTAATAGAGAAAAAATATTACTAAAGCAGCGGTTTTTATTATTATCAGCTTTTAATGACTAATCGAGTCTTAAAATAATAAAAAAAATTTTTTTTGAATTAAAAATATACAAAAAAGTCGCAATAACAAAGAGGGTTTTTGTTTTGAAAGACAACAAAAACCTACTCGTAGTCGAGTTTATTTGTGTAACATTCTGGCCAATAATAATTGGTGATCTCTACAAAGCGTGTTTGCATCTTTGATTCTTGTAGAGGTGGGGGTCAAACACGCCAAACGGCAAGGAATCGTACTCGATATACCTTTGCAAAGCGTGCTTTCGAATAGTGTAATCGACGATGTGCGTTTGTAACGTTTAAAGTGTGCGGAAAAAGTGTGGGCACATTGTCATAATTATTTTTCGGCTTTTTAGTGAGGTGAGATTATTTTTAACTCCCCCTTTAATTTTTGTTATTCATTTCAGATTTTTTTATTCGAAAATTTTGCGAAATTTTCGTTTCTATTTATCAGATGGTTATTTTATTTCAATCTTGATTAAGATTGTTTAGATTTAGATAGTGTTATGGGAAATGAGTAGGTTTTGAAGGCAAAATCTGTATTTAATAATTACATATATTCTATTTCTATCTGGTTAACGTTTGTGGGAAAATTTATTTTGCAATTGCGACATTACGCCTTTGCTAAGATTTCTTTCTATTTTTTTTTATTTTCTCATTCGTTAGCATTTACTATTAATTGCTTAAGAGTTAAGTTGAAATTGCGTTATTTTCTCTTTGGTGCTTAATAGATGTTATAGATTCTTCTTTTATTGCTCAAATCCGAGTAATTGGGTTGTTACGCGCCGCCTACTTCTAAATAAATCAGGAAAAAAACGAAAGGAAATTTAAATTTACCACTTTACCCTACATGCTCATGATATCGTTAAGTAATTACCATCGCAAATTGGTGTTTTAGATAAAAGATCATCTCTTAAACTGCTTTAACAAATATATTAAAAGGAAATAAAAATTTAATGGGGATACTAATATTTAGTTTTACGCCTGATGATTTTTTCTGATTATGATGTTGTTGCCCTGAATTTAATGCAACATGTGAGTCACGTAAATAAGCAAAGCTTCCTACATATTTATACTTCTAACTGTAAACTGAGTAAAATTGTATTTCGCAAAATTTAACTTTTGAAGGTTCACAAAAATATTCTACCTGGTTCTGAGTCAGAGATAATTCATCATCACAAACTGGATCTTTCCTTTTACTCAAAACAAAAAATTTTTTTATATTAAAAAATTATTATTTATGCAGCAATGATCAAGAATGAGGCTCTTTAAAAGAAGGTGTTCTGATCCGAACCCACAACTGGTTAGTCTTTCACCTCTAACAGACTCTTCTGATAACATCTCCAACAAAATAGACAAAGATCCCAATGAATCTAAATCGAGTAAGTAAATAAATAATTCTTTTTATAGCAACTAAATAAAAAATTTTTATTTAAAAGATCTATCCACGTGGGGTAAAAAAGTGGGTGAAAAATGGGATAAAATAAAGCGGAGCGATTCCTCTGAAATCCTCGGTTCAACCCCGGGAAAGAAAGCGCAACCAAAAAGCCCGCAACCAATGTTTAAAAAAATTTCGCGGGTTGAATCGTTAAAAAGTTTTTTTTCGCGCTCCGAAAAATCCTCCGAGAAATTATCCGACAATGAAGCCGATCACAATAAAAGCGACTCCGAAGTGCACCAATACCTCGTTGGTGTCCGAAAAAATTATAAACGAACAATCCGAACCAAAAAGCGATACAAGTCCATCGTGGACAATTTAGAATTAACCGAACAACAACTCAAAGATTATTTGGCCCTAATGAGACCAAATCGCGAAGAACTCGAGCAACTCCTCAAAGAGTTTTGCGGCGAAGAAACCAAAGACACAAAACCGAACAAGCTTCCTTCAGTAACCGAAGGAAAATCGAATCACAAACACAGAAGATTTAAAGTAAGAAATTTATTTTCAATCCGATCTTCCTCGAAATCCGACGACGAAAACGACAAAAAAAGCAGGTCTAATTCAACGAGCAGCTTAAACAGTCTCAGCGACTTAATAACGCAATCGAAAAAGACTTTATCTTTAACAGAAATTTCATCTGTTTTGACTTCGATGATCAAATCCGACGAAAGTGGTTATGGCAGCGATTCAACAAGAACCACAAACTCACTTCGAGGATCGATTAAATCGCAATCAAGTGATACCGCAGATCCTTTAACTGAAAATCAAAAAGTAAAATCAGAAACGCAAAGCATCAAAAGGCAAAGAAGTAACAGCAACGATCTCGATCAAACCGCTTCTAGAAAGAAACCCGTCAAATACAACGGGGAAAACGGCGAAACCAAAATGGATATTGATGAAAAGCTCGATAAATTAACTTTGGATGGGAATTCTCCAAAAACACCAAAGTCTAATGTAAACAAAGTTAGAAGCAGCTTTCGCACCCGTTTAGCATCAGACAAAGATTTTAAATGCGTCAACATCGTATTGGGCCCAAAAGATGAAATTGGGGTTATGATTGCCCCAACTAACCTTGATAACTCAAACATAACAGCTTATATTATAACTGAAGTATTCAAAAATTCTTTAGCAGAAAGGTAAATACAAACACTTAAAAAAATTAATTTATTAATTAAATCTTTTTAGGACTGGAAATCTTTTTGTAGGCGATGAATTAGTAAAGATAAACGGAAAAAGGCTCCGAGGAACTTCGCCGAGCTCAGCAAGAACATCATTAGCTTCATTAGTGGGTAAAGTAGAAATTGTGTTGACAAGGGCAAAACCCCGGGAAATTAAAAAACCCCCCGAGTACTTCAAAAAGTATACAAGTTTCTCTGAAATACCAAAGTATACAGTACAACCTTTAACCCCAAACAAAACCCCTCTATTTCGAAAACCATCAATTTTGTACAAAACCCCGATTAAAAACGATGCGAAATACAAGAACGTTATGGAAGAAGATGAATCGAGGGTTACTTTTAGTAACGAAACGCCGAAAACAATTCCCTTAAGAAAATCGCAATCGATTAAATCGATTGGGAACAAAGAATTATCTGGAATGTTAAAATTTTCGTATCAAAATGAGCGAAAAGGAACCGCCCCAATTGGTATTCCAAATTCATACCGAAATAGATATCATATTTTAAACGTCAATTTCAAAAAGGGACCCGGAATGAAATCTTTAGGGTTTTCTATTGTTGGTGGGATTGATTCTCCTAGAGGTCCAATGGGGATTTATGTAAAATCTATTTTTCAACAAGGACAAGCTGCTGAAGGGGGAATTTTACGAGAAGGTACTTAATAAAATTGTTCACATCATCTTAATTTCTTTATTTTATTTTTTTAGGAGATGAAATTCTTTCTGTTAATAATAACACTTTTAAGGGTGTTACCCATAACGGAGCTATAGCAGTATTTAAAAACATTAAATGTGGCGAAGTAATCATAGAAATATCCAGACGTGACAACACCACTAAAAGGGCTGAATCTATATAAATAATAAATTTATTTTATAATTAAAATTAACTTTAAGTTGCGTTTTTAGATTTTGTGCTGGTTAAAAAAGCAGGTTGAAAAGTTTTATTTGTTCTGTGATAGTTTTGATTTTTTTGTTGGTCAAATAACCAGCACATTAATCTCATATAATCAAAAAAAGACTTAAAAGAATTTCTTTTGTGTATCATTTAAGTTGACTATTGTGATAATTTCGTTAATTAGACCAAATACTAATCACATTATTTGTTAAATTTCTATAGAATTATTTAAATAAGTTAAATAAATATGTTATGAAAATATTAATTTGTTAAAACCAAAAAAAAAATTATAATAAAACTAACTTAACTTAATCTCACTTTTTTTTAAATTAATTTAAATTAAATTAGTGCCATCTATGATAAAAAAACTCGAAACTGAAATGAAATTAAATCAAACTATTACATATAGATGTCGCATTCCCAACTGTCAAACATTTTTAATATGTGAATAACACGACAAAATGTAAATATTTCACGTTGTTTCAATACTAAAAGTGCCTATATATTGTGAAATTTACTTTATTATGCGTGTAACCTCGCAAATTTTAGCCATGTCTAAAACATTCAGTTATTTCGCATATGGAAGCAATTTACTTTCAAAACGTATTCACATCAACAATCCAAGTGCGGTGTTAGTTGGACCTGGCAAGCTGTTGGTAAATAAAAAATCACTGCTACGGATAAACATACATATTTAACTTAATTCTGTTTTAAGGATCACAGATTGGATTTTTTAACTTACTCAAAAAGATGGGGAGGAGCTTCAGCTACAATTGTCCCAATGAAGAACTCTCATGTTTGGGGAGCTATTTGGGAAATAGATAATGACCACATGAAGTGTTTGGATAAGTATACTTTTTTTTGTATGAGTATTTATTTTTGCTACATTTTTATTTATTCTTTTAGCCAAGAAGGTGTTCAAGACAACCTTTATTTTGCAAAAACAGTAGAAATTGTTCTTCCTAATGGTGAAAAGAGAACCTGTAGGGTTTATCAACAAACAGCAACTCCTGAACATGTAGATGATATAAAAGAGCTTCCAAAGGATCGTCAACCTTCCACTGTTTATTTAACTACAATTATCTTAGGTGCTGAAGAGTCTTGTTTACCAGATGATTATAGAGAATATTTAAAATCCATTCCAGATAATGGGTATAAAGGGAAAGTTGATATTGGGCTTGATCTTAAAATAGTAGATTAATTATTTTTAAAATTGCCTCAAAATACCTAATTAGTCTACTTTAAAAAATTCTGATCAAGTTTGTTGTAATCACTAAATATTTCTGTATAATATATGTGAATTTGAAAATTTTTGAGTTTTAAAAAATTTTGAAGAAATTAAAATATTGAAAATTTAAAAAAATAGTATTAAGAGAAGTTGTTACATTCTTGATTCTTAATAAGTTTTATTTGAAAATTTTTTTGATATGAACGGATATATATATTTTTATACCAGTGTAGAGGACAACCTGGTGATGATGTCAAAATTTTAATTAAAACAATTAATTTTAAACGATATTGTAAACAAATTTTATATGAAACATATTTTGATTAAAATAATAATATGCTTCGAAATAATTAATATACATTAAATTGTATTATTCAGTGGGAAATTAAATGTTGAGAATTTTAAAAAATAGTATTAAGAAAAGTTGTTACTTTTTTGATTCTTAATAAGTTTTATTTGAAAATTTTTTTGATATGAACGAATATATATATTTTTATACCAGTGTAGAGGACAACCTGGTGATGAAATCAAAATTTTAATTAAAACAATTAGTTTTAAACGATATTGTAAACAAATTTTATATGAAACTTGTTTCGATTAAAATAATAATATGCTTCAAAATCCTTGATATACATTAAATTGTATTGTTGAGTGGGAAATTAAATGTTGAGTATTTTAAAAAATAGTATTAAGAAAAGTTGTTACTTTTTTGATTTTTAATAAGTTTTATTTGAACAATTTTTTGATATGAACGAATATATATATTTTTATACCAGTGTAGAGCACAACCTGGTGATGATATCGAAATTTTGATTAAAAGAATTAGTTTTAAACGATATTGTAAGCAAATTTTATATGAAACATGTTTCGATTAAAATAATTTGTTTCGAAATTCTTGATATACATTAAATTGTATTATTCAGTGGGAAATTAAATGTTGAGAATTTAAAAAAATAGTATTAAGAAAAGTTGTTGCTTTCTTGATTCTTAATAAGTTTTATTTGAACAAATTTTTGATACGAGTTATAATTATTAAGATAACCTCAAATATATATATTTTTGTACCAGTATAGAGCACACCCTGGTGACGATATCAAAATTTTAATTAAAACAATTAGTTTTAAACCATATTTTAAGCAAATTCTGTATGAAACATGTTTCGATAAAGATAATATGCTCCAAAATCCTTGATATACATTAAATTTTATTATTCAGTGGGAAATTAAATGTTGAGTATTTTAAAAAATAGTATTAAGAAAAGTTGTTGCTTTCTTGATTCTTAACAAGTTTTATTTAAAAAAAATTTTGATAGAAGTTATAATTATTAAGATAACCTCAAATATATATTTTTTTATACCAGTGTAGAACACAACCTGGTGATGATATCAAAATTTTAATTGAAAAAATTAGTTTTAAACCATATTTTAAGCACTTTTTATATGAAACATGTTTCGATAAAAATAATATGTTTCGAATCCTTGATATACATTAAATTGTACTATTCAGTGGGAAATTGAATGTTGATTATTTTAAAAAATACTATTAAGAAAAGTTGTTACTTTCTTGATTCTTAATAAGTTTTATTTGAAAAATTTTTTGATACGAGCATTTACAAATAATCGAGTACATTTTTCATTTAACTCGCAATAAAAAGAAAACTGCGGATCCGAAAATTTTCAAATTAACATATGTTATGTAGAAATGTTCAGTGATTACAACAAACTTTGCCGCAATTTTTTTTATTAAACGATTACAAAAATTTTAAAGTGAGTTTTGGCACGGATAGTAATTAGTCTGGTAACTAATTAATAGTATATACAGTAGTGTATAATCTGAAAGATTCTTATTTTAGTTTTACTTTAATAACGCCAGCCATAAAAGCCTGTGAACTTATATAAATATTGATATATAAATGTTATTTTTGACTTATTGGAATTATATTAATAATAAATTATAGAAAATAATGTTTGTTTTATTTACCTTTTTATGTTAACGGGAAACTTGTCGTCATATTATTATCTTATCTTCTAAATTCAGCTTTTAGTTGTGCAAATGATATTCCAGGACTTTGCCAGCCCATAATTTTACGATTCTTTGTCACAAAGGACAGACTGTTTAGACTCAAACGCCTTTATTATTATTCTTAGCAAGCATTTTCGGACCGTTCTTTATATAAAGTTTTCTTCATAATTTTTGGTGGAGAATCATCTCTTTAAATATATAGACGCAATTTCCAGGCACTCTCTATAGGGATATTATTACTGGGAGTAGGTGCCTCTTTGCAGAAAAATAGGCAGAATTCGAAATAGCAAAGCTAGTGTCAAAAGTGCTGATAAGTTTTAGGTGCTTAATCAGACAAAATCAGATATTTCAAAATTTGATTATATAATATCCAATATATTGCTCAACATAGCGATTTAGTAGACCTTAACAAATATTTCTGGTACTGATTCTTGAAACTGCTGCGTTCAATGACCCCAAGTATAGAATAAAGTAAATTTGAATAATTAAGTAAATTTTTTGAGAAATTTGTTGAATTTTTTGTTATTTTCATTAAATTCTTATCTCTGGGTCTTATCTTGAAATTGTTTTATACAAAAATACTTATAAAACTTGATTATTGTTATATCTGATTATCAGAAATGTGAAATTAAAAATCGTATTTTTTATTGGTGTGAAGTTGGTTATTCAAAAAAAACTTTTTGACATAACTCTTTATTCCTGTTTTATAATTAAGCTAAATAATAAAAAAATTCATGAAATTAATTGATTTTTGGTATAAAACGTTAAAAGGAACTAATAAAAATGATAATTGAAAAGAATTTTTATCAATTACCGAAACAAATAAAGTACCAACTTTTGAACTTTGATGTACCTTTGTTTCTAACCGAATATGCTATTAAAAAAGTTCACATTCGTTAAAACGTTGTCGTCTAAAATAATAAGGCACGGTGTTTACACATTTTGAAAATTTATTGTTTGGTAAACAATTCCAGCAGCGGTTTTGAAAAACAAATAGTAGCCATCGCTGTTTTTTATGTGTATATTGTATACCCAATAGGTAGTGCCAACACGTCCTCAAGTAGTGAATCGGTTTTCCTCGCTTAAATCAATAGCAAAACCCTATCCTATAATAAAACATTATTTTATTTTCGAAAACGAACGTTTAATTGTTGTTAAATTAAGTATCGTGTGCGGAACATGCGGACGTCATTCGGATAAAACCCCATATAGTATTTACGGCGACAATAAACCATCAAGATAAATATAGGTTATGTGTATCCTACTTTATGGAAAATGTTGTTTTCAATAACCGCGACTCGTTTTACGTACCAATTATCCAGTGATAAACGAAAAATTCATTAATTATTAAATAACATTTCATTCCAACTCCCTTTTTCTTAAAACAATTCACCAACAGAGATGGCATCTTTCGATCACGAAGACAAATCCAGGTAAATTCATTAATACAACATAAAATTATTATTAATTCATTCATTCATTAATGTTTTAGTTGGTATTTTGGTCCAATGAGTAGACAAGAGGCTAATGATTTATTGGAAGCTGAGAAAGAGAGTGGTGTTTTTTTGATACGTGACAGCACCTCTTGTGTGGGTGATTTTGTTCTTTGTGTTAAAGAAAATAGTAAAGTGAGCCATTATATTATCAATAAAACGCAAAGGAATGACCAAGAAGCCTACAGAATTGGCGACCAAACGTTCGATGATTTACCACGTCTCCTCAACTTTTATAAATTACATTATTTAGACACAGCCCCCTTAATTCGACCAGCTAATAAAAAACAAGAAAAAGTTAGAGGAAAATATGATTTTGATGGACAAGTATAAAACAATCATTTCATTTAATCCCTCATTTAACTTTCTTAAATTATTTTTAGGACGCCGATGATCTTCCATTTAAAAAAGGTGAAATTTTAACTATTATTAAAAAGGATGAGGAGCAATGGTGGACTGCTAAAAATTCTAAAGGTGAAAGAGGATCAATTCCTGTACCATATGTTGAAAAGGTAATAACACAAATAATTTCATTTAAATCATTAACTCACTTTATATAAAATTATAGGTAGATGACACACTAAATGAATTTCCAAGACCCCCATCCGGTGGCTCAATGCCAGCACCCCCCATGGATACAGGAATGAAAAAGAATCAAATGAATGTAAATTAAAAAAAAAATTATTAATTTTAATAATAATTAATTATTAATTTTAGCGTAAATTGCCAGCCATGGCAAGAGTGAAACAAAGTAGAGTTCCAAATGCTTATGACAAAACAGCTTTGAGATTAGAAGTTGGTGACATCATAAAAGTGACTAAGATTAGCATAAACGGTCAATGGGAGGGTGAGCTAAAAGGAAGGGTGGGTCATTTTCCCTTTACACACGTCGAATTTATCGACACTGAGGAAAGTTAGTGTTGATATTAAGATCAACAAGAGAAAAAAATTGAAATTAAAAAATATTATTAATTAATAACAATAAAATAAATATTGATATTTGCGTAATTGTATAGTTTTTTCAATTAACGATTGATGATGATGCTGATAGTGGATTGATGATGTATTTATTATTATAATTGGCACTAGCGTCTAATATCTACTTGCTTAGTATTTATGGTAGAGTACGGAGAATAAAGATATGATGGAATTTTTGTTTTAAAAGTGTATTTTTCTTAATTACATATCATATTTAACTAAATCACATTTGTTTTTTAATTTTATCTTTCCCCTTGAAAACAAAAAAAAATTCAATTTAAATTCTTAATCTCAGAATTTTTGCATATCTACATTCCTTTCAAAATATTCACATTAATCATAAATTTAATGGAAATGAGGTGTTTTGAGTATGCGAAAATACGTGGCTCATTAAAAATTTAAATAATAGTTTGGAATTGGTGCCAAAAGTCAAGGTCAATAATTAACCGTTCAATAAAAAAAATAGCGGCAAAGTTTATTGTAATCACTACACATTTCTGCGTAATATATGGGAATTTGAAAATTTTTGATAATGCGGTTTATAAAAAAATTTTTAATCGGAAATTAAAATATTAAAAATTTAAAAAAATAGTATTAAGAAAAGTTGTTACTTTGTTGATTCTTAATAAGTTTTATTTGAAAAATTTTTTGATACGAGTTATAATTATTAAGATAACCACAAATATATATATTTTTATACTAGTGTAGAGCACAACCTGGTGATGATATCAACATTTTAATTAACACAATTAGTTTTAAATGATATTGTAAACAATTGTATATTCGATAAAAATAATATGTTTCCAAATCCTTGATATACATTAAATTGTATCGTTCAGTGGGAAATTAAATGTTGAGTATTTAAAAAAATAGTATTAAGAAAAGTTGTTACTTTTTTGATTCTTAATAAGTTTTATTTGAAAATTTTTTTGATATGAACGAATATATATATTTTTATACCAGTGTAGAGCACAACCTGGTGATGATATCAAAATTTTAATTAAAACAATTAGTTTTAAACGATATTGTAAGCAAATTTTATATGAAACATGTTTCGGTAAAAATAATAATATACTTTAAATCCTCGATATACATTAAATTGTATTGTTCAGTGGGAAATTAAATATTCAGTATTTTAAAAAATAGTATTAAGAAAAATTGTTACTTTCTTGATTCTTAATAAGTTTTATTTGAAAAAATTTTTGATACGAGTTATTATTATTAAGATAACCTCAAATATATATATTTTTATACCAGTGTAGAGCAAAAATTAAATATCAAAATTTTAATTAAAACAATTAGTTTTAAATGATATTGTAAACATATTTTATATTCGATAAAAATAATATGTTTCGAAATCCTTGATATACATTAAATTGTATTATTCAGTGAGAAATTAAAGTTGAGTATTTTAAAAAATAGTATTAAGAAAAGTTGTTACTTTTTTGATTCTTAATAAGTTTTATTTGAAAAATTTTTTGATACGAACGAATATATATATTTTTATACAAGTGTAGAGCACAACCTGGTGATGATATCAAAATTTTAATTAAAATAATTAATTTTAAACGATATTGTAAGCAAATTTTATATGAAACTTGTTTCGATAAAAATAATATGCTTCGAAATCCTTGATATACATTAAATTATATTATTCAGTGGGAAATTAAATTTTGAGTATTTTAAAAAATAGTATTAAGAAAAGTTGTTACTTTCTTGATTCTTAATAAGTTTTATTTGAAAAAATTTTTGATACGAGCAAAAATTAAATTGATGTTCCTTGACTTTTGGCACTGATACCAAATACTTTTGAACCATCCTATACATTGTGTACCGGGTTACCTAAATTTATACACAGCTGATTAATTTTATAAAAATTTTGGTTTTTAAAAAACTTAATTATTATAGTCAAAATTTTCTTGTTTTTCTTTTTTATGACTTTACTTTTTCAAATTTTTTCGTATTTCCACCTGTTTTATACTATTTAGTGACAAAGTACAAAGTCCAAACCACTCCACGATTATTGTTAAATCGTAATCAAATGTATCGATATTGTGATAGTTAACGAATAGGTTTCTGTGTGTATATAAGTTTTAATACCAAAGATTTGGATTTGATCAATTACTTGCGAAAATAAGGTCATAAGGTCGTTATTTTTAATACAATTTTCTTAATCAACAAACCAAAACTATAAGTTATAATATATCAGCGTGCATTAAATTTCGTTGCAATCGTTTTGGTGCATTCCGATAAAGAAGATGTTTCGAATTGGAAGAACTTTAGTACAGTGCAACAAAAATTTACAAAACCAAAATTTCCTTCGGTAAGCATCTAATTACTTTGTCATAATTAACCTCGTTTTTCATGGATTACTTGCATAATTTTTTACGTTTAATAAACAAAAAATCAATAAATCGTGGAAATGAACTTTGAATTTTGTATCTTGACCATAACAGTTTACATAACTTTATTTTAGACTTATATCAACAAGTTCGGTACAATGCAAAACCGTCCAAAATACTGGAAAAAAAGCTCCAGCTGCGGGAGAAGAGAATTATTCTTTCGTTATGAATCTCTATCGCGGGCAACTCGAGGGAAAACAAGTTTTTCCTTTTCCTAAACCTCTTACTGCTGAACAAGAAGAGACCGTTCGAATGCTTGTTGATCCTGTTTCAAAATTTTTTGAGGTACTTTTCATTTTATTTCTAAATTAATTAATTTAAAACAACTCTAATTAATAGGAAGTAAACGACCCAGCTAAGAACGATGCTTTAGAAAGAGTTGAAGAAAACACATTAAAAGGTTTATGGGAATTGGGAGCTTTTGCTTTGCAAGTTCCTCAAGAACTCGGTGGTTTAGGGCTTTGCAACACTCAATACACAAGATTAGTAGAGATTGTTGGAGCTCATGATTTGGGTGTTGGAATTACGTTAGGCGCGCATCAATCGATTGGATTCAAAGGAATTTTACTTTATGGTACTGATGCTCAAAAGAAAAAATATTTTCCCAGGGTGTCAGGTGGCGAATTTGCGGCATTTTGTCTTACTGAGCCTTCATCTGGTTCTGATGCTGGTTCAATTCGATCGCGAGCGGTTTTATCGCCCGATGGTAAACATTACATATTAAATGGATCCAAAATTTGGATTAGTAACGGAGGATTAGCCGAAATTATGACCGTTTTTGCGCAAACTCCAGTTGATGATCCGAAAAATCCAGGAAAAACTAGAGATAAAGTAACAAGTTTTATTGTTGAAAGATCATTCGGTGGCGTAACTAACGGCCCACCAGAAAAGAAGATGGGTATTAAAGCATCAAATACCGCCGAAGTTTATTACGACAATGTTAAGATTCCAATTGAAAACGTTTTGGGGGGAGTTGGAAATGGATTTAAGGTAGCTATGAATATCTTAAATAATGGTCGATTTGGAATGGCCGGCGCTTTAACAGGAACAATGAGAACTTGTATAGCTAAAGCAACAGAATTTGCAACACAAAGAGTACAATTTGGCGAAAAACTAAGCAAATTTCAAGGTATTCAAGAAAAATTAGCTCGAATGGCTGCGTTGCAATACGTCACAGAATCAATGGCATACATGATTTCTGGTAACATGGATTCGGGGTCACAACATTACCATTTAGAAGCTGCTATTTCGAAAGTATTTGCTGCAGAAGCTGCTTGGAACGTTTGCGACGAAGCGATTCAAATAATGGGCGGCATGGGATTCATGAAAGAAACCGGTTTAGAAAGAATCCTTCGTGATTTAAGAATATTTAGGATTTTCGAAGGTACAAATGATATTTTGAGGTTATTTGTCGCTTTAACGGGAATTCAATACGCCGGGGCTCATCTTCGCGAACTTCAAAATGCTTTTAAGAACCCCACAGCTAATTTAGGCCTCATTTTCGAAGAGGCTTCCAAAAGAGTCGGTCGTAAAGTTGGTTTAGCTTCGCCTCCTTCAATGGAACATCACGTTCATCGAAGTTTATCGCCCTCCGCCAGACAAATTTCGAAATGTATCGACGATTTTGGTCAATCGGTTGAAGTTGTACTTATTAAATACGGAAAAAGCATAGTTAACGAGCAATATATATTGAACCGATTGGCAAATGCGACGATTGATATTTATGCCAGCATGGTTATTTTATCAAGAGCTACAAACGCACTTAATAACAATCTTCCAAGCGCACAACACGAAAAACTTATGGTTGAATCTTGGATCGTTGGAGCTTCCCAAAGAATTACAGAAAATTTGAAGGAAATTTCTACTGGAAGAAATTTGGACAATTACACCAAAATGAGCAAAATCGCCGCCAATATTTGCCAATCAAACGGCGTTGTTCAACAAAATCCTTTAAATTTTTAACAACACATTAAAATTATTTATTTTTATATAATGAAAATTTTTTGTTTTGAATGTGTGTGAAAAATTCTTTATACTTCTTAAAAAAATTATCTTTTATAAATAAATTGCAACAAACCTATTTTAACTTTTATTTTAATCCCTTAAATATTGATGGGACACGAGGTTGATGAATCTCAGGCTGTTTTGAAGCAAACTTTCTTGTCAGTCCTACTAAGAACATTCGTGACAACCAAAACTTTGAATTCAAGACCACCTTTTGTCGATCTTGCTGCTTCTCATTCTTGCTTCGATCTTAGCGAGGAAGAAAAACAAGAGTTTCGATAAAAATAATAATATGATTCGAAATTGTATTATTGACTGGGAAATTAAATGTTGAGTATTTTAAAAAATAGTATTAAGAAAAGTTGCTACATTCTTGATTTTTAACAAGTTTTATTTGAAATTTTTTTTGATACGAACGAATATATATATTTTTATACCAGTGTAGAGCACAACCTGGTGATGATATCAAAATTTTAATTAAAACAATTAGTTGTAAACGATATTGTAAGCAAATTTTATATGAAATATGTTTCAATAAAAATAATATGCTCCGAAATCTTTGATATACATTAAATTGTATTATTCAGTGGGAAATTAAATGTTGAGTATTTTAAAAAATAGTATTAAGAAAAGTTGTTACTTTTTTGATTCTTAATAAGTTTTAATTGAAAATTTTTTTGATACGAACGAATATATATATATTTATACCAGTGTAGAGCACAACCTGGTGATGATATCAAAATTTTAATTAAAACAATTAGTTGTAAACGATATTGTAAGCAAATTTTATATGAAACATGTTTCGATAAAAATAATATGCTCCGAAATCCTTGATATACATTAAATTGTATTATTCAGTGGGAAATTAAATGTTGAGTATTTTAAAAAATAGTATTAAGAAAAGTTGTTACTTTCTTGATTCTTAACAAGTTTTATTTGAAAATTTTTTTGATACGAACGAATATATATATTTTTATACCAGTGTAGAGCACAACCTGGTGATGATATCAAAATTTTAATTAAAACAATAAGTTGTAAACGATATTGTAAGCAAATTTTATATGAAACATGTTTCGATACAAATAATATGCTTCAAAATCCTTGATATGCATTAAATTGTATTGTTCAGTGGGAAATTAATTGTTGAATATTTAAAAAAATAGTATTAAGAAAAGTTGTTACTTTCTTGATTCTTAACAAGTTTTATTTGAAATTTTTTTTGATACGAACGAATGTATATATTTTTATACCAGTGTACAGCACAACCTGGTGATGATATCAAAATTTTAATTAAAACAATTAGTTGTAAACGATATTGTAAGCAAATTTTATATGAAACATGTTTCGATAAAAATAATATGCTTCAAAATCCTTGATATACATTAAATTATATTATTCAGTGGGAAATTAAAGTTGAGTATTTTAAAAAATAGTATTAAGAAAAGTTGTTACTTTTTTGATTCTTAACAAATTTTAATTGAAAAATTTTTTTACACGAGTTATAATTATTAAGATAACCTCAAATATATGTATTTTTATACCAGTGTAGAGCACAACCTGGTGGTGATATCAAAATTGTAATTAAAACAATTAGTTTTAAATGATATTGTAAGCAAATTTTATATGAAACATGTTTCGATAAAAATAATAATGTTACAAGTCCAAATAATCATTTAATTTTTTATAGTCAAAATAAATATAAAGATTTTTGATGAAAATATGTTATTAATGAATATTTATAGACTATTAATATTAAAAATACAGATATTTCCCAGCTTTATTTGTGAGGTAAGATGCGAATTATTAATTATTTCAATTTATTTTTATTTGAAGTTAAAAATTAAACATTTTCGGCTATTCCACGGTTAAGTCATTTTGGACTTATGTCCCTTCAGCTCTCATGTACAGCATTATTTCGTATAATCCAGTACTTACAAGACTATGTTTTACTCAAAGTCTCTTGAAATCCAAGCGGGGCGCCAATCTTATAACAAACTTTTTGTTATTTTTTTCGTATGGAATTAATAAATTGCGTTACAGTTTGATATTAAATTTTATTTCTAACAAAACTTTTTGACAATAACATACAGTAGTCTAAAAAAAAATAACCAAATTTAATATAACGAATAAATAATCAGAAACGATTTATTTCATTATTGCATTAATTTATGGTAACAAATAAGTGTGACCTGTATTATTTGTATTAGAAATGACCGGAGGGGAATGAGTGCCGGCTGTTCTTGAAGGTTTATGCATCATAGCTGTAATTTCTGTTAACAAAAACCTAGTAATTCTAATAACAGCGATATGAGCGGCGTATTGCAATATCAAAGCCCCAAAACCTTTATACAACCCAAAAATGCCTTCTTTAGCTAAACAACTTTCATAACAATCAACCGGGCCGTGATAATTCGTTAAGATTGGTAAAACTGAGCTACCATCATCTAAATTATCAACTATAGTGCGAGTTCCTTGCAAATGTAAACGATGCAAAATCGTTTCGAACGGATAAAAAGCAACGTCGCTAGCGATCGTTGCAATCAAACTCGCATTAAAATCAATTTCTTTCATCGCGTTAGTATTGGGCAAATTTCGAGGTAAAGCACCGGTCGCTTCATGGCGATGTTTAAAATTCCTATGCATTAAGCGAGAAATCAATCCTTCCAAACCTAAAGAAAAAAAATATCGCGCTAAACCCAAAGTTACTGTTGGAAGAACTAAAGCCCAAACTGGCAGCATTCGTCCTTTTGGGCCACCCCCCCAATTTAATAGTCGCATAAAACCTTCTCTGAATACATCCAAAATTCCAGGTTTTTCACTAGCTATATCACTTTGAACTGTTTCTACTAAAGATGCTGAGTAAAATGGTGTTACTATTGCTAAACTTAATCTAGAAAAAATAAAAAATAACTATAAATTAAGAAATGATGAACAGATTAGTTCTTACCCTTTTAACAGTGTGTGTTGTAAAAATTGAGTTACAGTACTATACCAAGTAATTTCCCTAAAAAAATTGATCAAAAATAAAAATATACCACAAAGAATAAAACATTTACTTAGGCCATGGTGTAACTTTTGAAATAAGATCTTCAACGCCTAAGGATAACCCTCGAATCAGCAAGGTAGATCCCAAACCTTTCCAAAGTGTTGTTATACCTTGATGTTGATGCAAGTGCATGATGACAGGAACTAAAGTTATTGGTACAACATGGATTTTCCTCGAATTGTAATGGACCTGAAAGAAATTAACTAAATTAAAATTAGTTAAAAAATAAGATTTTTAACTTACTTGACATTGTCTTCTAAGAACAACAAAAGGATGGCAAAGAAGATTTTCAGCGATTAAACTAACAACAGAGACTCCTTGCCCTACATATTTTTGTAAAGCAGCGTCGTCGTCGTTTATTTTGGGGTTTGCTGTAGGAATAGGTAATGGGACTCCAGCTGCCAAATTCGGGTCCCACATCACGTCTTCGTTTAAATTGTAAAAATTTCGGGCGTTAAACTCCCGCAATCCTGCCATTTGAGTCGTTTTTTATTGTTTTCTAACCTCACTTTTGACGTTCCGCGATTTCGGCATTTGGTTACGTTAATAATCGATCACAAGGTGCATGTATTTAACATTATCATAGTGTTAGGTAATAATTACGTCGTTTATTTATGAACTAATCAAAATAAACTTTATGTTATAGTTATTTATTTGACAGCTGACGTTTTTGAGTAATCTTTGACGTTTCAAATGTTAAATGTGGCGTTTGGTAGAATGATTATAATCGCGTTACATCAAAATTTCTTCGGTAACATAAAGTAAAGTAACAAATTAATGATATAAATAACGATAATAAATTCATATAAAAAATGTTTTGATATATATAATCGGGTTTGGTGGAGAATCCTAATTCTGTTAGATTTAGAACATCCATTGAGGAATTTTTGAAATCTGGAAAAAAATATGTTTAATAATTTATTTTAAACGCTTATTATTAATACCCATTTCGTTTATGTTGGTCCAAAATATTATCGACAAAGACTCATAAGTGTAATAAAAAGGTGATAAATATTTAATCCAATTTAAATATTTCAAAGAAGGTAATTTGATTAAAATGCCGGCTGCTAACATTGTAATTAATTCGAACGGGGCTGTAAATAAATCCATGTAATCCAAAGAAGTGAATATAGCTGATATGCAAAGACCTAAATTAATAAAAAATTATTTTTAATTATCATCATTTTTTTTAATTACCTAAAATAGAAGCTGAAATACAAGCAAAAAATAAAACTAAAAGCATTTGAGAAAACACCCAGATATCGTTAAAGAAATCTATAAGCAAAAAATTTATTATTAAAAACATTAGAGGTTGCAAAATACATCTGGGGATCTAAAAATATTTTTTTAATATAATTATTTAAATTTTGAGATTAAAAAGTTATTACCACTGATACCAACTTCGATAAAAAATAAGATTTTGTTGAATACAAATTTTTTTCTCTCATCATAACATTTTCTTCGCTTGGAAATGTGTTTATAACATTATATGTGTGAGTAAAAATTAATTCCGAAGTGAAAAAGAAAATTATTCCTTTCACATTTTGTACAAAATCAACATTTTTAGATGATACAAAAGAATATGTTGATGCTAAAATCAACGCGGTGATCTAAAATTTATTCAATTAAAACAAAATTTTTTAATTAATTTTAGATTACCATTAATAATAAGAATTGATAAAGATGATACAAAAAATTTCTTCTTGTATCGATTAAATTTCTCCATAAAAGCCAATAAATTTCTTGGAAAATATTATTATTAATTTTTAATAAATCGAAATTTTCCAACCTTTTAGGTGATTTAATCGAAATTTGATGAATTACATTTTGATCGAAACTAATTAATTCATTTGATATTGATTTTAAATAAAAATCGGCTGGGTTGTAGTTTTTTGGGCAAAATAAATGAAATTTCGTTTCAAAAAATTCTTTGATGAGCGATTTTTCGCCTTGATAAAAAACTTTGTTTGGCGCTATAAGAATAATGTGGGTGAAATAACTGAATATTTCAAACGATGGTTGGTGAATGGTTACGAAAATTAATTTTTCGTTTTTTTGAGTTAAAGAATATAACTTTTTTATTATGCTATTTGCGTTGTAACTATCCAATCCCGTTGTTGGTTCATCGCAAAATAATATTTGATTGTTATTTAATAGCTAAAAAAAATTATTTTAATTAAAAATAATAAAATTAAAAATTGGGTTACTTCAACTCCTAAAGTTAAACGTTTTCGTTCCCCGCCCGATAAGTTTTTAATTTCGGTGTTTTTATCCAAATTAAAATCCGCGATGATTTTGTTAACGGCGTTTTTATCTTTTTTCGATTTTAAGGCGTTCATAAATCGGAAATGTTCGAAAACCGTTAAAGTTTCGACATAAATATCTTCTTGAAATAAATAACTAGAAATGTGTTTGAGATTTTGAACCGATAAAAGAGTTTCGTTTAGTTTTAAAGAACCTGTTACTCCTAAAAAAATTTTTGAAACACGTGCTTAAACATTATTTGGTGGTTTTACCTCGGTGTTTTCCTGCTAAACTCGCTAAAAACGTCGTTTTTCCCACTCCACTATCAAAAAACATTAATTATTAATAATTTAAGTAAGTTAATTTTTTACCTTGGGCCCATTATTCCTATTAGAGATTTCGAATGAAATTTTCCCGACTCTAAAATTGCTTAGTAATAAAAAAAATTAATTATTGTGGTGATTTACCGTTTGTGAAAAGGATTTTTTTGGTTTTATTAGAGCTCCAAAAGCTGGGTTTTGATTCTTCGAAAAATACGGTTAATTTATCCCAAGAAAACGAAAATGGATTATTATTCTAGGAGTTACTCAGTGAGTGTTAAATAATTATTAAATTAATTAATTTCTTACCATTTTCTTTGGATTTAAGGAAGATTCTTTGACGAGTTTGGAATCGAGTTGTGACGTAACGCCGAAATCGCGAAAAGTAAGTAAATCGAGTTTTTTTTAAATAAAATAATTTAAATTTGAAAAAATTAATTAAACGGAATTTATGCAACTGTAATAGATTTATTGATCGCTCGTTTCCTCGGTAATTCAGCTCATCTGTATTTCTCGGGTTCAAAACGTGGATGTTCGTTATCAGAACGGCGATAATATGAGATCATCGTTTTTCAACGGCCCTTATCAGCCAACAATGTTAAGGTGATGTTTGTCCGAGAAAACGTAACAAATCTTCCATCAAAAACCATGATTCCATCAAAAACAAATAATTAATTTCATTTAGAAATAAATTAAAAAATTGGGAATTAAAAAAATGGTACGTATTTTGGAAATATTAATTAATTTTTTTATTTCGAATGAATGGTTTGTTGTTATTTTTAATTTGATTTGAAGAAAAAAACGACGTTAAGTTCAAAAAGGTCAAGTTGTCTTTTAAGATAAAGCCGAGTTTAGGTCGGCGACATTTGCTCTTGTTTCGTTTTCCCGCGATCTGTTTTTAGTCGAACAAGAACTGTTGCGATAACTGGGCGAGCGTTTAAGAAATGATCGAAGAGGAGGTCCTCCAGGCGAGGACCGCAAGCAGAAGGACCAGGAGCGAACGAAACAAACGCAGGGAACGTTACATGAACTCCAACGGAAATCAAAACGGAAAACTACATAATAAGGAAAAGGTACTTCTTGAAACCGGGTTAACGACATCCCCAATTTATTCACCACCCTATCCGATCGATAATAACAATTGCTCGAGATGCGGAAGACCTATCGAAAGGAAAACTAACGATGATTTACAGCTCATGGTAAGAAAACTTTAATAGTTTCTCTACCAAAGAAAAATTCTATAACACTACTTAAATTGTATGCAAAGGTGAAAGAAAGGCGCTTTCGTATTTGCGTCAAGCGCAGCGTTTACTATTTCAAAATAAGAAGCGAAGCCACATAAATGAGTATTCGATGTAACAAGAGTAGACCTCGCGATGTCGAAGCCGTAGAAAAATAAATTGTTAATGGCGTATAACGTTATCAAAAGACTTATTTTACTATACAGTGTGTTAATTAATTATCGTACCCGACGTCATCACAGCAAATATGCAACCAATATCACAATATAGGTATTGCCATACGCAAATCGCGTATTATAAAATAAATATTGTGATATTGGTTGCATATTTGCAATGATGACATCGGGTACGATAATTAATTAATATATATTAATATATATATATGTACTAAGAAGCGACAAAAATATATACTTTGTCTAAATTATTAAAAAAATTAACTACTACTACGAATGGTACTTGTATAAGAAGGGGGGAAATAAAAGAGGGCAAAATAATATATATATCAGCCCCCCACTTCTTGTGACTACCCAAGAACGGAAAATCGCGTCGAACAAAATCGCAGTCCCCGCGAAATGTCGGTAAAGTAAAGATGACCGTCGATTTAACATAGCCAAAGATGAAAGAAAATCCAGAAAGCGTCGATAACAGCAAAAACGCGAAAAAGAAATTAAAACCGAAAAAAACGTCGCTGATAAAACGTTTAAAATTAAAAACGAAACATAGTTCGCAAAGTGATATTTCGATAGAGCCGCAGCCGTCGACGTCTTCGGAATCATCGGCGCTGGAAAGACGGACGCCGGAAGGCGACGACACGGATATCACGTTGGGAAAATCCGTCTCCGACACGAACCTTTCGGATTCGTCTTGGAAAAGTGCCGAAAATCTTACCGCCGATAAACGAAAAGGGTCGAGCAAAAGCGTTATTAACGTGGAAACCACTCAAGTTGAAGTTACGGTTGAGGAAAAAGATAAAGAGAAGGAATTTAAATCGTCGGTGGATTTAAAGGATATGCCCGCCTTTGGTGAACTTATTTTTGACACAACTATGGTAAAATTAAAAAAAAAAAATTGTAATATAATATTCTTTTATGAAATATAATATTACGCACAAGGTTGATTAAAAGAAAACAAAAATACTATTGATCGTATGACATGACTTTCATATTTATTATAAATATATAATAAGTTCACTCTAACTACAAAAAAAAAAAAAAATATGTCACATCGAGTAAGGATTTTTTTATTAGATTAGATTAAAACAAGGTTACTCCACAAACTCAATATACATAAATACATTTTAATATTAATACATTATTATTAAATCATTTTTTGTTTCAGACTTCGTCGAATACAATAGCCAGATCGAAAGATCATTTGTACAAAATTTTAGTTATCGGCGATTTGGGGACCGGAAAAACTTCGATTATCAAACGTTACGTTCATCAATTCTTTTCTCAACATTATCGAGCAACAATTGGCGTTGATTTTGCTTTAAAAGTTATCAATTGGGATCAAAATACTTTAGTAAGACTTCAATTATGGGACATAGCGGGTAAAAATAAATAAAAAAAATCACCTCAAAAAGCATAAATTTTTTTTTATTAGGTCAAGAACGTTATGGTAATATGACACGAGTTTATTACAAAGAAGCTGTTGGGGCTTTTATAGTATTTGATGTAACACGATCGAATACGTTTGATTCGGTTTCAAATTGGAAAGCCGATTTGGATTCAAAAGTACAACTTTCCGATGGTTCTCCAATTCCGTGCGTTTTGTTGGCGAATAAATGCGATCAACCGAAAGAAGGTTTAGTTGCGAGTCCGTCGAGAATGGACGATTATTGTCGCGAAAAAGGATTTACCGCTTGGTTTGAAACTTCGGCTAAAGAAAATATTAATATTGATGATGCAGCTAGAGCTTTAGTAAGCAAGGTAAAATAAAAAAATATTTAAATGAATAAAATAAATTTAAAAAGTAATTTTTTTTTAGATTTTGGATAATGATGCCTTACTTAGTAATAATAAAGGGGATCAATTTACACTTCACGATGAAACTCCAGCCGAGAAAAGTAGTTGTACATGCAAATTATTTTAAATTTCTCTTTTTAAGGATTTATTTTGAGATTTTTTCTAAGAAAATTGTAGACACCATATTTATTTCGAATTCCTAATACTATTTTTTATGTTTTTTTACGTTTACAGAGCACCGAAAATACGACGTTAATTTGATAGATCATAAGATTTGTTTTTTTTTAGACAAAATGTGACGAGGTATGTTGTACATATGTATTAAAAAGAAGAGATCATTTTTTCTATGTATATTTGTACTTAATCATATCGTGTAACAGTAGATCACCGAGATTTTATACTAAGAAGATTAGATTTTCACCTATTTTTCCACGTATTTTGAGATTAAATAGTATATTTTATTGTATTTCGTATTTTTGATTTTCCTTTAAGAGTCCTAACATTTATTAAAACGTTACAAACACTTCTTTTATCTTTACGTTAACATGATAAACATTCCCTTCTATTTATAAACGACTATTAATAAAATGTAAACACTTTACTTTTGATAATAAGTTTAAAGATTAAATTATTTTTTTAAAGAAACAAATTCATATTAAATAACGTAAAAAATATATTTTATAACAATTATTTAACATAACAATCGTATTATTTACAGTACGTCATCATCATACTTGTTCTAATAAATATTAAATAATTTTACAAGTTACTTTTTAATAAAGGTTTGAGGTACTTTGCAAACGACTCGTTAACTGGAACTTTATTTAAAGGACTCTTTTGAGCCTCTTCAAAAAGTCGCTCGTAAACGTTGCCGTCAAAAGCACCTAAAGGCGATGATAAAATATCGTCATGAATATCAAATCCATCGACTATTCCAACAGCATTTGGACGGATAGTTTTTAATAGTTCTTCCAACCAAGTTTGAATTACTTCTAAATCACTGCTAGACATACCAGCAAACTAAAATAAAAAAATTTTTAATTTTAATAAAAAAGTTGAAACATTTTTATTTTTACCCGAAGTAAATCTCCATAATTTCTTAAAAGTGTATTAACAGCGTATAAATCACAAAGGTCCAAAAGAACTTTTCCTAACTGTGGGGAAGTGTTTTTAACGGCCTCAACAACTAAATTATAGAAAGTTTCAACAATAAACGCTCTACAATGTGCTTCTGAAGCGACGGTAAGTTCAAGTGACGTTTCATTCCAAGCGTAATCATATTCCATGCCTTTTTTGGTTCTTTCGTTCAAATGACGTATTGCTAAGTCAATTTTGCCATAAGCCACCTTTTTCAAAGCTTGGATCGCCCATGGTACATTTTTTTCAAACCGAATATTTCCGTTTTTCATTAAATCACGAAGATATTGAACGGTTGGTTGTAATTGGCCACCATTATGAGCACTCTGCCAAGATTTGACTAAAAACCTAGCTGTTTGGAGGTATAATACAGTGTTTTCGCCTTCGTAAGTTTCCATGGCAGTCACCAAACCATAAGTAATCGGTAAATTTGAACAGGCCATATATCCATGACCTCCGCAAGCTAATCTCAAAATTTCAATTCCTTTTGCGGCATCCGCAGAACTGACAGCTTTTAAACAACAAGCGATTGCATGTAATTCGGGGAGTCTATCTAATTTTCCCGTTTCTAATTCGGAGGTGACATTATTATACATATCCCAAAGCCAAGATCCGGCAAAATGAAAAGCAAAAGCCGACGCTAATTGCGGGAATATTTTGAATTGTTGCGTCACGAAATCGATAATTTGAGGCTCAGGGGCGCCTTCTTTAATTTGGGATTGATGTCGAACGGCGCTGTAACGAGTCGCAATCGTTGCGGCTTTTCTTAAATACCTTCCCGCATCTTGCACAATAGCTACTCTCACAAAAATCATTGTGCCATAAGTTAATTTGCTGCTAGGCGCTTTTATGTAAGAACCATCAGGCATAACTTTATTATTTTTCATTAACATTTGTTCGCGAGGAACTCTCACATTTTTAAACCCTAAATAACCGTTATTCGTCGCATTCATACCCAATTTACAACCAATTTCGCCGATTATTATACCGGGAAGTGGCTGATGGGTTTCTTCGTCGCGTAATTGAACAACGAAGGGGTGAATTCCGTGGCATTTTCCGTTTGTGTAAAGTTGAGCTACCACTATAGCATAATTTGCGGAATGACCCACTAAAAAATAATTATTTTAGGATTCTAAGTATGTATTTATTTATTTATTTATTTATTTACATCCTCCAGGCCACCATTTGTATGATGTTAAAGTTGGACTATTTAAAACAAATTCTTCTGTTTTTGGGTCATAAGTTGCTGTTGTTTCTAATCCACGAATAAAAGTACCATGTCCTAATTCAGTCTACAACAATTTTTTTTTTATTCATTTTATGCATATATTTATTAAAAAAGAATTAAAAGAACCTGGTCCCAAAACAATAAATATCAAGGTTCTATTAATAAAAAAATTTTATATACCTGGGCGTAAGTACCGATAATTTCTAAATTCCACGCTCTAGAAATCCAATGAGCTTGTTGTTCGATGGTTCCTTGTCCCATTAATGTAGGGATAAACATAACGTAATGTAAAGTTAGGGGATTTCCATCTTTTAAAACAGCAGATCCAAGTTGTCCCCCAAGGATTTCCCTGTAATAACGCAATAAATAAATTTGAAGCAATTAAAAACTGGTTTTGTAATAAACGAACCTGAAGTTTTCCATTCCGCCTTTACCTTCAGCTTGTAACTCTTGGACCTTTTTAAAAATGATGCAAGCCTTCTTAAGACCCTCCTCATACTTCTCTTTATGGGAGAGATATTCAGGTGGAGTGGTGTATTTTAGCTCTGGATCCTCGAGGAAGAATTTCTCTACAACAAATTCGTAACAATAACCCTTGACACGGTTATTCATTTGATACTTACCCCTCTGTTTCCTTTCTTCCGTTTTCTCTTTCCCCCCATCCAAAAGATGCGTCAATTCTTGCGGGTTAAAAGTGCATCGTTCCCGCTCCCTTCGAAGATCCTCATTCATTTTTGCACCGGGCATATTTTTTTAAAAAATCACAAACACTGAGTAACTTATTCAACACTAGTGACGGATTCATTGGAGAAACTTGACATACATATGCTTTTTACCCCACCACGTCGCAATGTTCTTCAAGATAACGTAGTCTTATCTTAAATTTCTAAATTCTATACAATTCAAATGTACTTCATACAATGATTTTGCACAATTTTAAACTCGATTTAATAAATTTTTGATAAGATAAAAAATTTTTTGAGGTTATGTTTTTAAGGAATTTTTAGAAAGTAAAAACTAATTGCTTTTAAATTATCTTAAATGATATAACCTCGAGCCCTTTGGGGTGATTTATTTCTTAAGTAACTCAATACTGTCTTGGTTTCGATTAATAAAATTATTAATAAAAATTTTATCTTTATTTTTTAATAAATAAGCATCAACGCCAAAGTTCAAAAAATTTACGTCACTTTGTGCGTTTCATCACAATGAACTACGCTCTCATCATAATCAGATACTCAACAGAAGAATCGTAGATAAACACGCTTCGATTGAATGATAATCATTGGGTTGTAAAAATTTAATAAAAAAATTTTTATGTAATTATTATAAAAATAAATATACACCTCGTTATTATTAACGATGCGTATAAAACTTGATAATAAATGTGTTGACTCATTCTGTATGATTATTAACAATTTATTTTTTTTTGTTTTTGTGTAGACAACCATGTTTTCAAAGAATTCGTTTTTGAGTTTTAATTTTTAATAATATGTTCTATCTTATCGACTTTTCTTTAATAAATCATATCTGAAAATCAGATATAATTTTTTAGGAAAACAAATAGAATACAATAAGACGTAGTTACTTTTTTTTTCTTTATTTACAACCGGATTGTACACATTTTGTCTAGTTTTTTAATACTATACAATTTAAATCGAAAAATCTTCTATAGTTATATAATAATAATAATTAATAAAAAGTTTGTTATTGAATGTAAGTATGATTAATTTGTTTTTTTTTGTCATCGTATATTTATATATATATATTAATAAAAAATATTTCCCAAAAAATATTAAAAAAAAAACTAAAACAAATACAATAAAAAATAAAATGAATAAATATTGTAAAGTGGAATATTAAAAACGCTACCGGTAAAATTCTTAGTGAATTCTCGTTAGTTAATACAGAAAAAAACAGCGCAAACGCGGCTTATATTCACTTAGAATTCGACGCAGGGCGAGTTCTTATGGCATACAAAGTTTTTATCGAGGAAAATTGTAGGGGTGGTCGAAATCCCTTCAACATTCCCAAAAAATTAAAAATAACGTTTCTCATCGCCGGATTTTTGCAACAGTTCACAACCGCCTCGGTTAAAAAAAAAAATTAAAATAAATAATCTGGAAAAATATAGTTATAAGCGGAATGTAGACGATTAATTAAGAAAATAGAATGTAATTGCTAAAAAATATATTATCCTGCCCAAAAATTATTATTAAAGCTGCCGACATTTAAAAAATTTTTTTTGGTGAACAAATGCAAAAAACCGATATCTAACTAACATACAATTAGTATCCTAAACGTTTCACGTAAACACGCATTTGGTCACGGCCCCCGTTATGCGGTTTATTATTGTAATTATTTTTTGTATTTAAGGACCAGGAACAAAGGACGTCGACAATTTTTTTTTAAATAGTGAATATTATCTGTCGCTTAACCCTTAAACGGTGAGTGTCGCGCGTAATAAATTACTGTCACTTATTGATCAAAATCGATTAAAACCGATCGTAATTTATTGATGCGAAAATTTCTTTACTATAACGTAGGTACCTTTTTTAAGTAATATTGAGCATATAGTACTTGGATATAAACTGTATTTGATTTGTTAATTAATGAATTCAATCTTATAGAGTATTACAGGCAACTAATTTTTTTATATTTTTGTTAAAAAAGTATATAGAAAAAATGTTTAAAAAAGAGTCGTGTACTATATACCCAAAAAAGGTAAATGGACGAAAAACACTCAGTTAATCTTCATGATATATATTATATACATATAAATGGGTATTTTTTTTTGTTATGTTTACAGTGTTTTAAACGTGCCATGACATTTCTTTTATTGCGATCGTCACGCAGTCAAGTTTTAAAACCAGAGGATGTTTTATTATTATTATTTTTTCACAATTCCAATTTTTTTATTATTTATTTAGTCACACCGTTTTGGCAGTTTTTGGAGTTAGACCGGATTATTCTTTTTAATACGAATTGCGCCGCGTTTTTTTTAATTATTATTTTTATTGAGGCAAAGAAAAAAGATTTTCGCTCTTTACGTATTATTATTAATTAAAATTTCCGCTTAAGGAAGAGTGTGCGTTTCCATTTCATTTTAAAATCCATTTTTTTTTATTTCTTAAAAATCAATTATTATCGGATCGAAAGAATTCTTATTTTTTTTTTGTTTTTGACATAAAAGCAGCACTACAAGCTGGTGGGAGATTCGGTAGCTACTCCGCCTTACTAGAAAAACTGCTGACCACTGATTTTTTTAATTAAATAGTCCTTATTTGGTTGTTTGTTTTAAAACCGCACTAACTTCTTCAAGCGTAGAACTCCTTGTTGCCTCGATTAAACGAAGTCGATGTTGGCGATCTTTTCGGCTCATCTAACGCGTACGATCCTTCATCTTTCTTACGCATTCTGTATACGATGAACATTACCACAAGTATCGCACAGAGAAGTCCCACTACAGCACCTCCAATTACAGCTAAAAATTTTTTTTAATTAAATATTAATTTTTAATAAAATATTTTAGTATTTACCCGCTAAAATTCCCGGCTGAGCAAAGAAAGAAGCTGGAGGTTCTTCTTGTTTCGGGTTCATTATTACGTCAGGATTTTCTCCTAAATCAGGTATCTTCCTATTTATAATAGGAGCCTGAGTAGTCGTCGTCGATGTTATCACCTTGGGAGGTGGATCTACAGGTCCTATTTAAAAGATGGTATTTAATAGATTGAAAAAATATTTATTAATAAAATTGGTATGCAAGGAATTTTGAATAAAAAAATAAATCCTTGCTATTTTAAATTTAAATCAAGATGCAAATTTCATGCTATTTCAAGTCTTCTTCTTGTTGATCTAATAATCAACAACCTACAGATGGTATTTTAAAGTGGGCAATTTTCTTTGTGACGTTCGAAATGCATTATGACTCAAGCTGTTTCAACGAAAGGATTTGTTTTTGTGTTACATTTATGGGAACACTTTGAGAAATTACCCAATAAAATTTTTTGCTTTAAAATTCCTTGCAATAGAAATACAAAATGGGAGTTTTTTCTACCTTCAAAGTCTTCATCATCTGTGTCCTGCCTGTCTCCTGATCCGCTGTAATTTTTAAAATCACCTCCACTGCCCTCTACATCAATGTCAATTGCATCTCCCGTCAAGCCATAAGCATTCTTAAAAAAAAAAAGAAAGAAACATTGAAAATAACTATGTAGGATAACAGGATGTTTATTTTTTTAATAAAATAATCAATAAAATGGGTTGGAGCGCATATAAATATTTGTAAATTTGTACAAATAATGTTAGAATTTAAAAAAAATTTTTTATCGTACAATCACGTTATCTTATCGTTCCTCTACGTACTTACTTAGAACGTTTATAAGTTCGCGTTGACTTTAACGATGTTTTCGAGGCATAATCTGAGAGACCTAAATAAAAATCCTAGAATAATTCCGTTTAGAACCGAGAGAAACGGTAAAAACGGTTTATTATCCATTAATTGTACACAAAAAAACAAGGCTTATCGAATGCAATTTCGTTTATTCCATTAAACAAAATATATGTATATAGAAAAAAAAATAAATATAAAAAAGCGACGAAACGAATCTGTTTTCTTGATAGCGAATATCGTAAACTTCGACTTACCGACCTCTACTTATCTTAATTACTGTAAATATTCTAAACGCGACCGATAGAAATTCGCCACAGAACCGGATTTAATTATTTATTCGCGAAACTCTTGGGAGCGTTACGGAACGAATTTTGACGTTCCGTATCCTGGGGCTCGACTAAAGGATAAAGGTGTGGAAATGGCGACCAGCCAAAGAAATAATCAATAACCTGGGCTCCTGCTGCTGCTGCTGGTAGCCGCCCCCAATACGATGGCTACGGCCACCTAAACCCGAACAATACAGCTTCCGCCCTACACCATAAATCTATTATACCCAATTTGTTATTGAAATTATGACGTAATTGGATTTTCCAATACAATAAATGATTCTGATAACGAATTAATACCATCTTTTTTAAAACTTACATTTATCAATTTAACTCCTTCATACATATATAAATTTATTTAATATAAGCAAATCGATAAAATTTAATTATTATTCCATTTCGATATCTCATTCGAGATAGAATTCGAATACGAATAGGCCCCAATGGGATTTTATACAATTCTAATTCGAATCATAAAATTTTTTTTTTTAATAAAATTTTTGTATGTAGCTTGTACATTTTTATATTATGAAGCAGAGACCTTGGAAACTGAAATTATAACCGCCACTTATCATCTCACAATAGTAATGGTCCGTAATTCGCACTTTTTTCTTAATGCAGAAGAGACAAAAAATACGTAAAATCAAGGAATATCAGAATACCCACAAAAATAAATGTAAGTGATGAGGAACTAGGTTAGGAGCGGATTTTTCGCTTGAGATGTTTGACGAGCGCTTTGCAAGCCTAAATCAATACGCATCATGGTATGTGTTAGAACTTTTCTATAAAGCCTCTCCTACTCTTATGCTCAATGTTGCTAAATACACCAAACTTATTTATAACATCTACAAGAATACTACAATGACGGTAAAATTCCATGAAAGTACTGAAAAGAGTATAAATAGTAAAGTATTGATTGTGAGTAAAACAATGTTGAACCCAAATTGTTGATCACAGTCCTATAGAGTGCATTTAAACAACTGGATTAAACTTGGAGAGATGAAACTAACAAATATGATGAGATAATATAATGAGATTGAAATAATTAAGACAATTTTTACAAAGTTTTTTTGAAAACGACCGAAATAGTGCTTACAAAAGGTTGCAGAAAACACATACTACTTACAAAACACTAAATATTGCTTGAAAAAGACCAGATACTGCTTACAGAAAACTAAAATAGGTTGCAGAAGAATATATACTGCTTACAAAACACTAAATATTACTTGAAAAAGACCAGATACTGTTTGGAAAAAACTAAATATTGCTTTCAGATGATTGGATAAACACATATAGAGTGCAGAACGTTATCTACATTACCTCCAAAATCCAGTTTGTCATTAAAGAAAACAATTTTTACAAAAAATTTTTGAAAAAGACCAAATACTGCTTAGAAAAGATTAGAAAAGGTTGCAGAAAACACATACTACATTCAAAACACTAAATATTGCTTGAAAAAGACCAGATACTGCTTACAGAAGACTAAAATTGGTTGCAGAAGAATACATACTGCTTACAAAACACTAAATATTACTTGAAAAAGACTAGATAGTGTTTGGAAAAAACTAAATATTGCTTTCAGATGATTGGATAAACACATATAGAGTGCAGAACGTTATCTACATTGCCTCTAAAATCCAGTTTGTCATTAAAAAAGAAAATTTTTACAAAATTTTTTTGAAAAAGACCAAATACTGCTTACAAAAGATTAGAAAAGGTTGCAGAAAACACATACTACATACAAAACACTAAATATTGCTTGAAAAAGACCAGATACTGCTTACAGAAGACTAAAATTGGTTGCAGAAGAATACATATTGCTTACAAAACACTAAATATTACTTGAAAAAGACCAGATACTGTTTGGAAAAAACTAAATATTGCTTTTAGATGATTGGATAAAGGTTACAGATGAAGATACTCCTGGAAGAAAACTACACCTTGATTGAGGCTTGACAAAGACCACATATAGCGTGCAGAACGTTATCTACATTGTAAAAATAGGAAAAAGTAAAAACTTTTTGTGAGAAATATTAAAAATACTTAATTTATTTCAAAAAGTAAACATGTTTCGAAACAAATGTTTCATCTTCAGTACTTGAAATAATTACAAATTGATGGAAAAATTTAAAATATGTTGGAAATAGGAATGAGTTTTGGTTTTTGTTTCTTAAAATACAAAATATTTCTAAAAAAATTTTTATACAAAGTCAAAATAAATAAAATCCTTTAAATTGCTTGGAAATTAACTTCTACAGAAGTTAGTTAATTAGAAGAAGTTAATTTCCAAGAAATTTAAAGGATTTTATTAATTTTGATTTTGTATAAAAAAAAAATTTTGTTAGAAATATTTTGTATTTTAAGAAAGAAAACCAAAACTCATTCCTATTTCCATCATATTTTAAAATTTTCCATCAATTTGTAACTACTTAATTTGTACTACTCAATTTGTAAGTACTTTTTGAAATAAATTAAGTATTTTTAATATTTCTCACAAAAAGTTTTTACTTTTTCCTATTTTTATTATTTAATTTTTGAGAAATATGGAGAATTTCATCCCTGTTATCTACATTGCCTCCAAAATCCAGTTTGTCATTAAAGAAGACAATTTTTACAAACATTTTTTTGAAAAAGACCAAATACTGCTTACAAAAGATCAGAAAACGTGGCAGAAAACACATATTACTTACAAAACCAGATACTGCTTACAGAAGACTAAAATAGGTTGCAGAAGAATATATACTGCTTACAAAACATTTAATATTACTTGAAAAAGACCAGATACTGCTTACAGAAGACTAAAATTGGTTGCAGAAGAATATATAATATAATAAATATTACTTGAAAAAGACTAGATACTGTTTGGAAAAAACTAAATATTGCTTTTAGATGATTGGATAAAGGTTACAGATAAAGATACTGCTGGAAGAAAACTACACCCAGATTGTGGCTTGACAAAGACCACATATAGCGTGCAGAACGTTATCTACATTGCCTCCAAAATCCAGTTTGTCATTAAAAAAGACAATTTTTACAAAAACTTTTTGAAAAAGACCAAATACTGCTTACAAAAGATTAGAGAACACATACTACTTACAAAACACTAAATATTGCTTGAAAAAGACCAGATACTGCTTACAGAAGACTAAATATTACTTGAAAAAGACCAAATACATGATACAGATCAATAGACCCAGAAGGCTGCTTGATGATAATAATCATAATATCTTGATCGTTGACAATTCCTCGTATTCAACGTCCATTTCATCATCTTCCTCTTCATTTTTTTCGGAATCTCATATATTTTTGCTAGTGTTGGTCAAGCGCTTTGGAAGTCTAATATTTACAGCATTTATATCAGAGCTCTCTTTTTTCTAGATGTCTTGCATCATCATTACTCAGGGAATGAAAGAAACGGCTTAGAATTTCAAGAGAATATTGAAAAAGTGAGCCTTAACAACTTTGAAAGAAGAATCAATACAATTTTTTTAGTCATTGAACCAAAGTAAACTTGCTTGAACATCTTTTTAGTGTTTAGAGATTAATTGTATTGTAGTTTTATAGCCACTTTATACACTTTGTACTCTCTACAGCAGATTTTACTATTGTTTTACTATACAATTTAAATCTTTTTATTTTATGTGGGTTCATATCTTGTTGAAATCATTTTCAATAAGCAGTAATATAACTCCTCTGCTACTGTTGATTTTATACATTTATTGATTATTCCATTCAGTCTTCTTATTAGTGGGTGTGTGGTTGATTATTTTTGTATTTAAGGTTATTTTATATAGGGTAATTGAAAAACTTTCCTCCATATATTAACACCTTGACCCCTTAGCGCATATTTGTTGTAGTTGCAGCTCAATTCTCTATCAGCATATTAATTACAGTACTTTTTCTGTCACAACATAGAATAGTTATAATAATTAAAAAAATTTGTGTTAATATTTTAGTTAATGAGTGTTTGAGATTCTTAAACAAAGGAAGTGAACCTCTTAGATAATATTCGCTTCTTAATTTTTTGTTTAAGAATTGCTGTCATATTCTAAACTACTTAAATCTATTTGCATCCGTATAGTTTCCGCTTACGTTTAGTTCTTTGGGTTCCATAATTCATTCATTGACAGTCAAATCACGTTAAATTTTGCGTTAATAGGTTTACAGTCGCCTTCTGATTCACTCTCCCCCTATGTTCTCATTACACTTACAACCAATAACTTGGTACTGAAAACAATTTTCTTCTAAATCTAAATCCTATTAATACATTTTATTGCGTCGTATTTCTCAAAATGGAAACAAATTAAGTTTAAGAAAATATTTAAAATGAGTAATTTTTGTTTCTATTAGTTTAATCGCGAAGTGAGTAATGGATCGAACATTCTATGCTATCAAATAACTAAAACAAACTTTTTTCCTTCTTATTATCTTGTAAAATAATAACGTAATATGTAATATGACGCAAAGTTTACTTTTAATTTGGGAAACGGGTTTGCAAATTGATAGTAGTGTTATTTAGCTAGATTAGAAAGAATTTTGTTGGTTTTCTCAATAAAATAAACAAAATTTATTTTAGGCGTGACAGACGCAAAGTGAAACGTTCTATATTCAGCCATCGTGTATCGAAAGGAGTTTATAGATCGTTAGGATTTTCATTGCGTCTCACCTTTTCTGGTAAAAATAAACATCCCTTGATGGTGGAAGAAAAATAATATAAAAAACTTTCTTTAGATTTTTGTATATTATTCGTTATAAGAAAATAGAAAACCGTATAAACAATGACGTAAGCATTCACGTTAACTTATGAATTATGCCTAAGTTCAAACTTTGCAAAACAACCGGTTAAAAGGTATACGCTAAGAATTGATTAGAATTGCATAGTTTTCCTTCCATTGTTTTTAAAATTATTAAGGTTTTTAGATTCATAGCGAACTTCCGGGTCTTCAATAACATATTAATTACACAAGCTACTTTAAATCATACTTTTAGTCACTTAACTTGCGAAATATTTTTACGAAAGTATTTTTTGAATTCGCAGGTGTTAAAATACTTATGTCAGCAACTGTACAGTCGCCCTTCGATCGTTTTTGCGTCGAAACGCAAGAGATGCGCCCGTCAAGGCTGTCGAGACCCCGGGAACGAACGAACGACGATTTTCTTCTAATTTAACAGTAACTAGCGTAATTTCGTAATCTAAATCGCACCGAAACTAACCACAAGGAATCATCATCATACGAATTAAATTAAAGACCCTAATCTCGATTCTATTTTAATATTTCTATTAATACTCTTTTTGCATATTCATTTATTAAGTGGAGAATTTAAAAAAAAAAGTCAAAAAAAAAAGTGAGCAGGTAGAAATATCTTTTGAAGAACCGCGTGTGTGTTGAAAAGAAATAAAAGAAAAAAAAGAAAAAAAGATGTTAAAGATGTTAAAGAAGAGAGAGAAGTTTCCGGAGCCACCCGGAAAGGTCGTAAGAAAAAAAGGGATGGTGGGGGAAATGATTAGAAAAGCACGTTTTTGCGTTTTGATGAATAAATGTAAAATTTATCGTCGAACGCGGAGGATGATCTTTAAACTCTTTGTCAATAGCTCGGTTGTTTATAATAAAATATTCACGCCACCGCGGGGTCGATACTTTCCTTTAAACGGATTTGAAATTATCAAATCAATAACAACAATTATTTTATTATGAAAATATTTTTTACTAAATCGCTCGGTCTCTAAGAATTGATTAGCAATTCTAAACGATAACAAAAAAAATAGTGTATATATTAACATTGAATGAAACCCGGGAGGTTTAAAAAACGTTTTTTTTATCTGTGTCGTCAAAAAGCGATGACGATACGTTGACAAATGTAAATATGAGAAGGTAAAACGTAAAATAGTACAGCAAATGCTGGACAATGGCAACAAAAACATGGCGTAAACAGCGAGAAAATCTTTCTCGAGACGCCTCCAGTAGTGGAGCCTGGGGCCCGTAAGCTCCGAATTACGGCCCCACGTACGCCCACGGTTTCATTTGGAACCAATGGTTAAGCCCAACGTTGTAACACTAGACGAGAAACGTACATAACACGAACATTTGGTCAATCACAGTTTTTCTTACCTGATTTGCCACTGCTAACCGCAGCAGGATTGTACAACATAAAATAATTGATATCCTTAAATGCATTACCAAAAATAGTTCTTGCTAGTCGAACGAATTCGACTAACCCCCCTATACTATATATATATATGTATATATATATAAAAAAAAATCAACCTGACACAAATAACACCAGAGAACACAAATGCATGCAGCACACTGATCAATGGAATACAACTTTTAGACAACATACAGCGTTACCGAAGCGCATGCCTCGATACCACTCTAATCATGGCGTTCTCGAATCGCGCCAAGTTCAAATATTTCAAGGAAATACCCTCAACCAACAAATAAAACACTTAAAAATTCATTAAATAACGCAAATAAAAGTGTTATTATTGAATAAACTACTCCAACCTAATTACGATATTATGAAATTGAAGACCACAAATTGGGGGATATTAAAAATCAATTGGAGCTTCATCATCATGATCATAACTAAGTTAATAATTATATATTTTGAGAGCAAATTGAGCTTTCCAATAATCTCACTTTTAAATTATCGATGAAGTACCTCAGATAATGCAATTTTAATATAATTGTATTTGAAAAGTAAAAAATAAGTACTCAAAATAAAGGACATTTTTATAATAATAATCTTTATTGTTCCCAAAGCGGAATAATTAATGTTTTGAAAATGAAATGCACGTAGAAAAATTAAACTAATACAAAAACAGATAAAACAAAAAATAATACAGTTAAAACCTATGTTAGTATTCAGCGAGTATTATGCAACCGAAATACAGTCGATTGATGATCATGAGATATTAAGTGTTATCTTGGAGCTGAAACAGACAAACAGTGAAGACATATATGGACTTCTCCTATTATTAAAAAAAGTTGCAAGCAAAATTGCTCCAGCACTACCTATAATTTTCAATAAATGTCACTTCTATACAGTATGTCCCGTTAAGGATACATCAAAGTGCTAAACAAATTATTTTCAAGTTCGTAATTCGACCGCTAGGGTCAATATAAAATTCCCGCTATCTCAGAAAGTTAGACGATGAGCTATAACTTTGACAACATCATTTAATAGCTTGGATAATACCGCATCGCTTTTGTTTTGAGATATTTCTCATATCTGTCATAATGGGTGAGGGGCAGACTAAGGCGTTTTCAAATGTTTACATTTTAATATCTCCTGGATCATTCAACCGATTTGAATATTTTTGGGTTTGTTTGAAAGAGCATTTTATGATCGTTTGGTTTAAAACAAATTAGTTAGAGGGCGTTATCTACAGCGATTACATAGTTTTGTGATTTTTGAAAAAAAGTTAAATGGAACGGTACTATTTACTTCACAGATCCTTAAAAATTTGCTAAATATTAGTGAAAACCGCATCTTGATATCGCCATCCGTTCTCGAATTATAGAAGAAAATGTTAAAAACTCGAGTACCATCAATCGGAGCCAGTTACTTCATCGAGAAAAACAAATCACATAACCATGGTAACAGTAAACATGTCATTTACTAACGCAGAAGCGTATGATAATTTATTTTCAATGTTTCGAATATGATGCAACTGCATGGCAAAAATCTGCATTGCAATTACGACAAAGAAAGACATTTTTCTCTAGAAGTGTTTTTAAGATTGGCTTAGATTGACAAAACACTAAATGCCATTAGAAACGTGTTTGTATATAAAAAAGGGATGATCACAAATACGAAAACTACAGGCCCATAGCCCTGCTGCCAGTTTTTTGTAAAATTCTTCAGGAGAGGATTCTTTTCCTACTTAAGTAAAAATAATGTCTTGGTAGAAGATCAGCATGGTTATAGAGAGGGTAAATCAACCGCCACTGCAATTATTAGAATCGTCAAAGATCTCACGGATGCCCATGACAATCATGAGGAATCTAAAATAATTTGTTGTGAATCTGAGTCGTGCATCATTCCAGCTTGATGGCCAAACTTCATTATTATGGTATCAAAGGAAGCATATATAGTCTCCTAAGACTTCTGATTGATCCTACATTAAACTGGAATGATCATATTGATGCACCTAACCAGTGCGAAGACTGACTCTTTGTGCCACGATGGAGCTTGCGAAAATGGCCTATTTTTCCTGCATTCCATGATTATCGCGGTGTCAAGTTCTATAACAAGTTCCCTTCGAATGTCAGAACTTTAAATCACACCAAATTTAGTAAAACCGTTAAAGATACTCTACTAAAAAAATTCTATACGACTGATGGATATTTGAACTGTAGCAATATAATAATATAATAAGAAAGCCTAGGTCTAACTGAAGCGATAAACAGTCTTGTTCACTACAAATAGTGGTAAATAATTTGAGATTTTTATATGAAGATAAAAAATGTATAAAAAACAAAAATTATTCCACTTTTTATTAAATATTAAACATGCTTGAAAAGAGATCAATAATAAAAGGCTTTGTAACACACTACCATAAGCAAATTAGGCGATGGCAGAGAATTAATAATCTTAGGATTTAAACGCAAGATTTGGCAGAAAACAAAGAGCGAAACAGTAGGAAGGTTTGCAGAAGAACCAACTAATGATGAACATTATGAAAAAGAATTGGCAGAACAAAGATCACAGTTCTTAACACACCAGAAACGCAGAGTGGCAATCATAAACAACAAGTCAAGGCAAATTGAAACAGTCACAAATTTATTAAGCAGACTATATGACCAAATATTGAAAAACTTAATACAGGAAGAATTTGAAATGGAGGAACAAGTGATTCAGAGCAGGAAGAACCACAGAAAACAAAGTAGCTACAAAAAGAACAACACAATTTGTATATTTTTTTATTATTTTCAAAAAAAAACCGTTTTATTTTTCTTTAGTTTCCTATTTCTTCTCTATGTCTTGAACCCTTTGTTTGTGGCGATTAATCGCTTCTTGATGTCTCTTAATTTACTCCTCATGGAAATAAATCTCATCGTGTAAATCTTCTTTAAGTTTCGCGAGTTGTTTTCTTTGCTAAAAATAATAAAAAAAATTTATATGTTTGATATTTTAGATGTTGTAAACATGTTTACTTTTTTATAAAAGTTCCTCGTTGGCGGCCTCAGCTTTGCCAAATGCGCCACCCGCTTGTCTGATGGAACCGCCACCACCACCGCCTTTTCCAGCGCCACTTCCCAAGTCTCCCAATTGAGTCATAAATTGTAAACTATGAAACAAAAAAAATATAGAAATTAGCTTTTTATTTGTTAATTTTATATGGAAATATAGAAAACGACGACCATGTTGTTGATTCTTAATTCGCGTACGATTATATCATAACCCAAAAAAACCGAATTTTAAACATCTAAATAAATAAGAACTTACTTAGATATAGCAGCAAGTCTTGGTTTTAAAAGGAAAAGATTGTTCATTTTTTTAATATAAGAACTTAACACGCGTTAAGTAAGTATGGATATGGAGTTAACTCCTAAAAAGAATGACCTTTTTCGTTGCAGGAACTTCGCAAAAACTATTCCACTTTTTATTAAATATCGACGACAACACATGTTTGGAAAGAGATCAATAATAAAAGAACTCATGGACGCACTACCATAAATAAATTGGGCTCAATTGACTTAAAGAAAACTGTAGTGGCAAAAGCAAAGAGAGAAACAGTAGGCAGGTTTGGAGAAGAAATAACTAATGATGAACATTATGAAAAAAATTTGGCAGAACAAAGATTACAACTCCTAACACACCAGCAATGCAAAGTGGAAGGGTCCCTGGTGCAAAACAAGTAGACTTGGTAAAAAAAACACTGAAAGGAATGATAAACAACTTATTAAGCAGACTATATAAATATTGTAAAACTTAATACAGGAAGAATTTGAAATGGAGGAACAAGTAATTCAGAACTGGAAGAACCACAAAAAAGAAAGTATCTACAAAAAGATCACCACAATTTATATATTTTTTTTATTATTTTCAAAAAGAAAAAAGAAACAAAACAACTAAGAAATAAAAAGAAACATTACATTAATAAGACTATCTTATGCTCCAAGACCGTTTTATTTTTCTTAAACATCATGTTTCCTATTTCTTCTCTATGTCTTGAACCCTTTGTTTGTGGCGATTAATCGCTTCTTGATGTCTCTTAATTTGCTCCTCATGGAAATGAATCTCATCGTGTAAATCTTCTTTAAGTTTCGCGAGTTGTTTTCTTTGCTAAAAATAACAAAAAAAATGTTATATATTCGATATTGTAAACATGTTTACCTTTTTATAAAAGTACTCTTCCTCATGGGCGGCCTCAGCTTTGCCAAATGCGCCACCCGCTTGTCTGATGGAACCGCCACCACCACCGCCTTTTCCAGCGCCACTTCCTAAGTCGCCCAATTGAGTCATAAATCGTAAACTATGAAGCAAAAAAAATGTAGAAATTAGCTTTTTATTTGTTAATTTTATATCGAAATATAGAAAACGACGACCATGTTGTTGATTCTTAATTCGCGCATGATTATGTCATAATCCAAAAAAAGCCAAATTTTAAACATCTAAATAAATAAGAACTTACTTAGATATAGCAGCGAGTCTTGGTTTTAAAAGGCCAAGATTGTTCATTTTTTTAATATAAGAACTTAACACACGTTAAGTAAGTTAATTCGTAGAAAGAATGACCTATTTCGTTCGCAGAACTTCTCCGTGAGTGCCGGTGACAATTATTTTATCTCTGTTTTGTTGGCTATTCTTAGACATAGTACCACACCCTTAGTAACTTAAATAAAAAATTACCTAACATTTTCGGTTTCTGTATTATCGGCGAAATCACGTGAATTTGAGATTATTTTGTTTTGTAATAATATTTTTTGGTAGATTATATGTTTTAGAGGATATATTAAAAAAATATAACTTGATAATAAAATTTGATTGGGTAGGCAACCAATTAATCGTAACCTAAAAATTATGTATTTCTTAAACGTCACCTTTATGATATAAAAATAGATTTATTAAAAAATTCGTTTGGTTCAAGAATGGATGAGGAATATGTTTTTAAATTTTTAAACCAAAACTTACTCGGCTGTGATTTAGTATTTAGTTTTTTTACAAGCGCTGTGAATTCCCTCCGGTCTGATTCTAGTGTTAGACCATTTCCCCCTATGTATTTTAAAGAAGATGGTATTGAAAAGGATTTTAATTCTTTGGTAAATTATATTAATTATTTATATATTATATTATATTAATTTTTTTTTGCAGAGATCAATTTGTAATAGTATGCCCCCTTTAAGAGATCTTCCATTTTTACCAAATATGGAGAAACATATTCAACTTTTAACCTGGTTATACACCAAATGTGATCCAATTTCTTACACATTTTTTACACAAAAATTCAATGTAAGTTTATATTATATATAAACTACTATATATACTAATATATATATTATATTTATGTTTATACTAAAGTGTGAAATTATTATCTTTATTTTATAGGAAAATGAGTTTCCTTTAAATATCTCAGGATTTAACCCAAAATGTATATTTAAAATAAACCACAGTTCCTCCTCTGAACAGTCTTGGAATGCACGTAAAGGAACTTTTAATACATCTTTAGCATTTCATGGGAGCCAATTAGATAGATTCTATTCCATTTCAAGAGTGGGTCTTCAACAAATATTTAGTACAAAAACCAACCCTTTGTTTGGAGAAGGTATATACCTAAGCAAACATCTTTCCACAAGTATTATTTACGCCCCGTATGGAGCTGGGTGGATTAATAGTATTATAGGGGAGAATTTGAGTGTGGTTGCTGTTTGTGAGTATATTGATGATATTTCAAAGCAAAGAAAACTTAAAGATTCGAGAGGTTCCACTATTAAAGGAATGATTGTTGTTACTGATAGTGATTATATACGTGTGAATTACCTTTTAGTCTTTAGTAAAAAAATAAAAAGCATTTCTGGTAATGGAAATATCAAATTAATTATTATTTTACTTTTTGTATTTCTCGCAATTATTTTGTATAGCAATAAGTTTTTGAGGGAATTTAAAATGTTTAAATAAAATTATTATATTACTCCAATTTATTTTAATGCTGCCATCTATTAATAAACTAGATAAAAAAAAAATTAAGAATTCGTTGAGCGCCATCTTTGTATTAACTACGAAATATTCGGCAGTTATCTGTATAAAAAGTGTCTTCACTACCTAAAAGATATTTGACAGCTTATTTTATTCTGTTATAAGCAGTGAGGATACGAGGTTGTTTTGTGTCGAGATAGGGTTTAGTCAAAAAAAAATTCAAATACCGATTCGTAACAACGGTATTTAAACCACCCAGACGCACGCTCGTCAGGTAAGCCACATCGTTTCATTTAACACAATAATCTCAATAATATCACGTTAATCTCTCCCTTGAATTTATCTTCGACAGTGAAAGTCCTCCTGTTCGAGATTTTTTTACTCTCTATTGCACCATGTAACTCGTTAGGATTCGAAGATACCCCACCAATTATTACATACCGCGTTCTACTAATAAAATCAAATGGTCACTCAATTTATATAACCCAAAACGTATTACGTTTTGAGTTCGGGAGAGTGTGGGATATAATATTTTGTGATAGGAAATTGCGGGGGCAGATGTTCGCGAACTCCTCCTCTTGAAACAGGATGTAAGAGAAAAAAAGTTAATAACCTTTTGGTTTCTCAGCAATGATAATTGAATTTATCTGATAAATAGGTCATATTAACGTCTTTCAGAAGGGCATGTATACCCCCAACTGTGATCTAAATCATTTTCCCTTATAAAATAAAAAAATTATTTTATTACCGGTTTCGAATATAAACCATCTTCAGACTCGATCGTTAAGAATTAAAAAAAAATAAATTTATGCAACGTTTTCAGGATAATAATTGGATTAATCTTATAAATAGGTCATATGAATATGTTTCACTGTAAAGTAGGGTAGAAGAGGGTCAAGAAATGTTCATGGTTTTATGTCAAAAAGAATAAAAAGAAATAAAATCTTTTCGTTATTTTTTTTAGAAGGGTGGTTTTTCTTTTTTGTTAAATTTCGCGGTTTAAAAACAACCCTCTTTTTCGGTTGTAGTGGGTGGATATATAGGTATCGATATATGCGCAGAAAGAGGTGCGCGACAACAAACCTTTAGTAGTCGATAGAATTTTACGTTATTTCAAGTACGTGCTGTTTTAAAAAAAGATTATCGCAAGAATTATTAACAACCATTTGGTAGCCGCCCTTATCTACTAATTGTCGTAAGTTCTTATTATAAAAATTTTACAAATTCTTCTATTAATCATCCTTATTAACACGTATTTCATAATCATCCACTTTTTTTTAGTATAGTCCAATTTTTACTATCAAAAAACTTTTATTTTCATTAAATTTTATTTTTACTTCAATATTTAGTGGAAATCATGAGTAACTTAAAGCTGTTCGTATTGAATTCTTTTATAAGTTTTATATTTTTCTTCTAGTATCTTCCATAAAACTAAACATGGCTTTTGCTGGATTAAAGAAACAAATCAACAAATGCAACCAGGTAACAAACGCGTTTTCTAGATAACAATTTCTTTTAATTTTTTTTTTTAATAGTATGTTACAGAAAAAATGGGTGGCGCAGAGGGAACGAAATTGGATTTGGACTTTATGGATATGGAACGTAAGACGGACGTCACGCACGAGTTGGTTGAAGAACTTCAGGTGAAGACGAAAGAGTTCCTGCAGCCGAATCCGAACGCGCGCGCGAAAATGGCCGCGGTTAAAGGTATTAGTAAACTGAGCGGGCAGGCTAAGTCAAACACTTATCCGCAACCAGAGGGGGTCCTCGGTGACTGCATGCTGACCTATGGGAAGAAGCTCGGCGACGACAGCATGTTCGGACAGGCTCTCGTCGAGATGGGGGAGGCCCTCAAACAAATGGCAGATGTTAAGTATTCCCTTGATGATAATATCAAACAGAACTTCCTGGAACCATTACATCACTTACAAACTAAGGACCTTAAAGAAGTTATGGTAAGATATAAAAATCATAGCAACATTTTTGGAGGTACATTCAATTGATTTTTTTAGCATCTTGTAGAAAATTTGATTAGAAATCGAAAATAAAGAATGAACTTTTTTCCTATCATCTTTCATTCTTAAGATATTTACACTTAAATATTAATTTTTAAGTGTAAGTAGATTTTCGTAAATATCTCGATAACGATGCTCGTTGGGAAAAAACTTTATTCTTTATTTTCGTTTTAAAATAGATTTTTTAATAAGATTTCATCTTAATTTAGTTCATTTTTCGAACTCGATTCCATATAATAAATCCACATCCACTCAAAAATTAATTTCTTAAATTGTAAGTTTAAAACATCACATCTTATAGAAAATCTGATTATAAATCGAAAATAAAGAATGAACTTTTTTCCTATCATCTTTCATTCTTAAGATATTTACACTTAAATGTTAATTTTTAAGTGTAAGTAGATTTTCGTAAATATCTCGATAACGATGTTCGTTGGGAAAAAACTTTATTCTTTATTTTCGTTTTAAAATAGACTTTTTAATAAGATTTCATCTTAATTTTGTTAATTTTTCGAGCTTGATTCCCTATAATGAATCCACATCCACCTAAAAATTAATTTCTTAAATTGTAAGTTTAAAACATCACATCTTATAGAAAATCTGATTATAAATCGAAAATAAAGAATGAACTTTTTTCCTATCATCATTCATTCTTAAGATATTTACACTTAAATAGTAATTTTTAAGTGTAAGTAGATTTTCCGTAAATATCTCGATAACGATGCTCGTTGGGAAAAAACTTTATTCTTTATTTTCGTTTTAAAATAGATTTTTTAATAAGATTTCATCTTAATTTAGTTCATTTTTCTAACTCGATTCCATATAATAAATTCACGTCCACTCAAAAATTAATTTCTTAAATTGTAAGTTTAAAACATCACATCTTATAGAAAATCTGATTATAAATCGAAAATAAAGAATGAACTTTTTTCCTATCATCTTTCATTCTTAAGATATTTACACTTAAATATTAATTTTTAAATGTAAGTAGATTTTAGTAAATATCTCAATAGCAATGCTCGTTGGGAAAAACTTTATTCTTTATTTTCGTTTTAAAATAGATTTTTTAATAAGATTTCATCTTAGTTTGGTTAATTTTTCGAGCTTGATTCCATATAATGAATCCACATCCACTTAAAAATTAATTTCTTAAATTGTAAGTTTAAAACATCACATCTTATAGAAAATCTGATTATAAATCGAAAATAAAGAATGAACTTTTTTCCTATCATCTTTCATTCTTAAGATATTTACACTTAAATATTAATTTTTAAGTATAAGTAGATTTTTATAAATATCTCGATAACGATGCTCGTTTTGAAAAAACTTTATTCTTTATTTTCGTTTTAAAATAGATTTTTTAATAAGATTTCATCTTAATTTAGTTCCACTTAAAAATTCCTTTTTAATACATAAAAATTAAAACGTCACATCTTGTAAAAAATCTGATAGATTTTTCCCATCGTCTTTTTTAACTATAATAAATATTCATTATTAAAAAAAAGGTGATGAGAAAAAAACTTTCTTTATTTTCGTTTTATAATGAAATTTAATACATGATAGTTGTTACACATATCAAATTGTTCTTATTTCACTATCAAAAAAAAGTGATAAGTGAAATTTAGAACATTATGTGGGTAACAACGAGGTAATGCGAATAATTTAAACTTTAAATATATGTTAAATAATTATCGTTTCTTAATTTGTGATTTTTTTGTAGCATCACCGGAAAAAGTTACAAGGCCGAAGACTCGATTTCGATTGTAAACGTCGCCGTCAAGCCAAAGGTAAGCATTAAAAAAAATTAATTATGAAAAATATCGTCAAAGTTTTGCATGTATAGTGTCTAGGGGTAACACCCCTCACTCCAGTCCAGTGAAAAATCTAAAGGCTACTGGTATGTGGAGTAGATAGCCATAAAAATTTTAATTAGAAAGTAGAGTAGATTTAATTTAAGATTAAGCTTAATTTTTTTTGTGCTAGTTTATGTAAAAGTTCTTGTTTGTTAATATTATTATTAAAATATGATTTATTGTTTTAATATTTGTTTTCGTTTTAATTTCTTTATTTAGGCTATGCATGAGTTTATATTTTTTCTTTTTCTTTTCGTTTTTGACACGTCAGGTTCGCATATTACAGATGAGGAGATTAAAATGGCCGAAGATAAATTCGCGGAGTCTCTCCATTTGGCTCAAGTGGGGATGTTTAATCTCCTCGAAAACGATGTAAGTTTTCAAAAACGAAAAATTATTATATTAAAATTTTTATTTCTCAATGTGTTAGGTTGAACAAATATCTCAATTAGCAACGTTTGCTGATGGCTTAATAGACTATCATAGTCAATGTACGGAAATTTTGAAAGCTTTATCTGAAACGCTTCATGAAAAGTAAGTTAGTTGTTGTATTTAAATAATCTTGTTAATAATAATCTGTTTAGGAGGGATGAAGCTGCAAGTCGTCCAAAAGTAGATTTTAATCCGAAAACTTTAGCTGATCTTAATATAGAGGGCGTCGACGGAATGAATGGTACGAATTTTAACAATCCCGTTATAAGTACTCGCCCTACGCCTGTTTTTAGGTCCACATCCATAACACAACCTACCCAAAAATCCGACCCTTTTGAATGGAACAATTTTACAGGTATTTTTTGTTTTTTTTTTTCGTTTGGTTTTATTTTTAATTAATTTAATTCACGTTAAATAATTATTATTTAAAAAAAATTAAGTTTTTTAACACTTTTATTTTTAAACCCCCACCCATTTAAATCTAAACGCAACTTGGCAACGACTCAAAAGATCCTCTTATAAATAAGTTTCACTGCGTTTTCACGCACGCGGTGAAAACAAAAAGAAAGCTAAAAACATACAAAAAACGTTTTTTTTTTAAATTTATTTAACACGATGAATTGCATTGTTAAATTATTATCGCGATGTGGTTTCAAAAAAAGCGATTCTCATCAACCCCATTTATTAACTACAGGCTCTTCCCAATTGTCTTCGCCCCAACATAAACCGTACCAGCTTGAATTGACATCGGGACAACATTCGGCGAACGGTGAGTATTAATTAAGCGGAATTTCCTATGTTAAAGTTAACCCCACTTTTGTTTCGTTCTTTTTGTCGCTCGAATCGAATAATTAAATTAAGTTTTGTCAGCGTCGCCGTTACCATCTCCGATGAAATCCCCGGCGAGGACTCCAATGACTCGAGCTCCATGTTGTACGGCTCTTTATGACTTTGAAGCCGAAAATATGGGCGAACTCGGGTTTAAGGTAAGATTTATATTTAAATGAATTAAATTAACACATCTTGCGCATCTTTCCGCCAAAGTAGCGGGCATCGATACTATGCAAAACGAGTTTAGTCGTTTCCCGCGTAAGATGTGTTAAGTCTAAGTCGAGGTTATTTGATGTGATAATGTAAATGGGTCATTAAATATCGCGACTTGATTGTGGAGTTTTATGTTTAAATAAAATTATTTATTTGATTATGTTTTTAGGAGAATGATGTAATAACATTGATTAATAAAATCGATGAGAATTGGTTCGAAGGAAGCCTGAATGGTCGCACGGGATACTTTCCGGTATCGTATGTGAGAGTTGACATTCCATTGCCATAAATAAATTTGTAGCCATTTTCGCCAGTTTTTAACGATTACGATATTATTTCCGTGTTTTCCGTTCGTCTTTATCTACATTGTATTTGATTAGAATTAGTTGTATATATATAAATACGTTTAAAATTGTTTCATCTTAATTGGTTAATTATTTTTTTTATGAATATATAAATGCGCTTGCCTTTTTAAAAGTCGTTAAATTTTTTTATTAACTGATTGTACTAATTTTGAGATTAGAAAGAATAATAATAATAATAATAGACGATTTAAAAAACGATAACCATTTTACGGATATGTACAAATGTGATGTTATGAACGATGAGAAATGTTTAAAAAAACAAGCAACAAAAAAGATAATGAAAATAACAAAAAAATACATATATTGACATGTTATGATTTTTTATTTTTAGTGGTGTTTTGTCTATGGACATAATTATATATATATATTATACAACTATAAATATATATAAATACATGAATATTACTATTATAAAAATAAGAAGGAAAATAGTATGTTTATTAAAATAAAAATTCTAAAGGGTCAAAATTATTTTCCAACAAATTTGTTAAAGTTGGTAGAACCTCATCTAGTCAACTTCTAAAATTTAGCGCCCTAGATGATTTATTTTATTAAACACGCGATACAAAGAAAAACAAGTTTCGTCTTCGGTTGGTTTTTTCAAATGTCCATTAATATACAAAAACGGCTTTCCTCGGACGCTTTAAAAAAATTCACTGCGCACACAATTTGCTACGATTTCGTTTTAAAATTTTTACAAATTTCATTTACATGTAATTAAAATTATTCGATAGAAACGGCGTTGATCGCTTTTGCTCCTTTTATCTTTCATGCATGAAAACTTCAAAAAAGTTGTTTCAAATAAATGTTTGAAAAAATTTAAAAAAATATATATATATAAATAAAAGAATTTCGTTCCTCAATGTGTACTGATGTTGAAAGTGGGACCCGTTTCTTTAATCTCCAAAAAAGCAACAAAATTAAGATACGCGTCCCATTGAAAATGAGTATCGTTCGTTGTCATAAAAAAGAATTAAATTAGGATTAATGTAGATATATTAGTTATATTTGTCTGAATAAGAATATTACCAGATATAAAAATTATATATATACGTATGACTGTTTACTTTGCCCGTATACGTGTCATCAACTACGTAAACAAAAAAATAGAAACAAACAAAAAACGGTGTACTTATCTGGTTCTTGACAATACCTAGGTTAAAAGAAACTATAAAAGTAAGTAAATTAACCAGTAAGGCTATTGTTATAAAAAAAAGCGTGTTTTTAAGATTCGTTGAGAAAAAAACATAATTCCTCTTAATATTTAGATAGTTGCATTTTACATTTTATTAAGAAAAAACTCTTAAAACTAGTCTCTCAATATAAATTTATCATCAAATGCTCGTCCGTAATAACGGAATTTAAAAACCCTTAAACAAATATTATGATATTAAGAAACGGACGGGCGCGTTATTTAACTAAAAAAGAGTCACGTTAAAACAATTATTTTAGCAATAAAAAATGTGTAGCCTCAATTAAAACGGTTTTTGGGCTGCAAACAAACGAAACATAGTGAGATATGTACGATATATAATAACTATATACTTTACAGTCAATTAAGCAATTTAATTTTTAACTCTTTTTGTTTAAATTCGTAAATTAATTATTTTTTTTTCTTTTCTTCTAACGTAGATGTTACCAAAAACTTGTTATTATATACATGTATACAAATTAAATGTTACCGTATTTATGCATAAATAAAAAAATTGTCGCTAAATCAATTTTTTATTCTTCAACTTTTCAATCTAACAGGTTTTTAATTAATAACTTGTTGGGAGTCTAATTTCATGTATTGCAATAAAACAATAATATCAAAGTAAGATAGAATTATATTCGGAGTATTTATAGGTTGTATTATATACGAAATTAGTCTCCAATTAGATAGTATTTTGATTATAATGGCTGAGATTATTTCTTATATCACGAATAATACTTACCCGTGCTTTTTTTAGCCGATATCTTCCTTGTTATTAGAGATAGCGCAAAACTAAATGCACCATTTGAAAGCTTGATTCTTTCTCTATCTAAAACCATACTACCATTAATAGGTTACCGTTTAAAAAAATTAACTTTTCGACTTTTCGAGATAGGGAAATTTGACGCACATTTTTGACCACCCTGTATAAGCGAGTGTTATACACCATTAGAAAGAGCAGCAAATTTTCGATAAGATAGATATGGTTCTAGAGTTTTCTCCTGGTCATATAAGAAAGTTATCGACCCGAACAAAATTGAAATGTGGCTAAAACGTGGGAATGTAATAGTTTTTGGCCAAAAACGTACTTGTGCAAGCGCGTAATCGTCGCGTGTTATACACCATTAGAAAGAGCAGAAAATTTTCGATAAAAAAAATATGGTTCTAGAGTTTTCTCCTGGTCATATAAGAAAATTATCGACCCGAAGAAGATAAAAGTAGCTAAAACGTGTGAATTTAGTAGTTTTTGACCAATAATGTACTTGTACAAACGAGCTATCGTCGCGTGTTGTGCACCATTAGAAAGAGCAGAAAATTTTCGATAAAAAAAATATGGTTCTAGAGTTTTCTCCTGGTCATATAAGAAAATTATCTCGAACAAGTTTTAAAAGTGGCTAAAATGTGGGAATTTAGTAGTTTTTGGCCTAAAACGTACTTGCGCAAATGAGCGATCGCCGCGTGTTATGCACCATTAGAAAGAGCAGAAAATTTTCGATAAAAATAATATGGTTCTAGAGTTTTCTCCTGGTCATATAAGAAAATTAGCGACCCGAACTAGATAAAAGTAGCTAAAATGTGTGAATTTAGTACCAATAATGTACTTGTACAAACAAGCTATCGTCGCGTGTTATGCACCATTAGAAAGAGCAGAAAATTTTCGATAAAATAAATATGGTTCTTGAGTTTTCTCCTGGTCATATAAGAAAGCTATCGACCCGAACAAGGTTTAAAAGTGGCTAAAACGTAGGAATTTAGTAGTTTTTGGCCAAAAACGTACTTGTGCGAATGAGTGATCGCCGCGTGTTATACACCATTAGAAAGAGCAGAAAATTTTCGATAAAAAAAATATGGTTCTAGAGTTTTCTCCTGGTCATATAAGAAAGTTATCGACCTGAACAAACTTGAAAAGTGGCTAAAACGTGAGAATTTAATAGTTTTTGACCAAAAACGTACTTCTGCAAGCGCATGATTGGCGCGTATTATACACTATTAGAAAGAGCAGAAAATTTTCGATAAAATAAATATGGTTCTAGAGTTTTCTCCTGGTCATATAAGGAAGTTATTGACCCGAACAAGATAAAAGTAGCTAAAATGTGTGAATTTAGTACCAATAATGTACTTGTACAAACGAGCTATCGTCGCGTGTTATGCACCATTAGAAAGAGCAGAAAATTTTCGATAAAAAAAATATGGTTCTAGAGTTTTCTCCTGGTCATATAAGAAAGTTACCCCGAACAAGGTTTAAAAGTGGCTAAAACGTGTGAATTTAGTAGTTTTTGAATTTTTTATTCTTCAACTTTTCAATCTACCAAGTTTTTAATTAATAACTTGTTTGGAGTCTCATTTCATGTATTCTTTGAACATGTCCATTATTTTATCCTATAGGTACCATAAGATGGCCGAAGAGAGCAAAGAAGGAAAGGCAATAATATCAAAGTAAGAAATTTCTTTTATTTTTCCTTGCCAAAATTAAAGTAATAATTTTATTAAATTAAAAGTTATTTATTTCCTCGTATATTTTGCGACTTTAGCAGGGCTTCCTCACACTTCAACGAGTCTATCGGTATCACATTTCTTCGAGAAAATCGATCGCCATCGAGTTCTTAGTTTAGTTCTACGTCGTACTTTGCAAAATGAAAACTGAAAGAACCGCTTTGCTTGTAAGCGAAACCCCAAATTATGCCTTCGAGAGTAGCATCACGAGAAAACGAAAACAACAACTTCGTATTTTCCAAATTTGTTTTTGCAGTGCGCTCATGTAAGTAATAAAAAAGTTTTGATTAAATTTCATTTGATGCTTTATAGATTTATATTTATAATTGCATTGATAATATCGACAACGTTAAGTTTGGATTCAAATGAAACAACTTCTTTAATAAACGATACTGTTCCGATAGATTTATTTTTTTTAACAACTGGAATTTTAAGTAATAATAACTCAAAAAGTTATAATTTAAATTCAACAGATTATAAAAGCGCGATTAATTCGACGTTGAAAGATTTGGAGATGTTAAAGATGATAGAAAATCAGCAACCGATTTTAGAATCAACTTCGCCGAGTTACAAGCATCAAATGGTGACCTCTTTTTCGAATAAAAGTAAAGAGTTAGCTTTTATTGGTTATATGGAAGAAATAGCAACGAGAAATTATGCGTTAAAAAATGGGATTATTCCAAATTTATGCGTTAAAAGTGATGTTATTAAAAATTGCAGCGAGTTTTTAAAATATAGGTCGTACGACGGGGTTTGCAATAATTTATTATCGCCGAATTCTGGATCGGGTTATTCTCCGTTTAGAAGAGTGATACCACCTATATATTCAGACGGAATCGGTTCACCACGAAACGGAATTAATAACTCGTTGCCGTCGCCAAGAACGGTTAGCAATGTAGTCCACAGACCTTATTTTCGAAATGACCCAAAATTCACTGTAATGCTCGCCGTTTTTGGACAATTTTTAGACCACGACATCACAGCGACCGTTTCGAGTAAAGGAAAAAATTTAACGGCGATTTCATGTTGTGAAAAATCCGATTTTATCGCGCATCCGGAATGTTTTCCGGTCATCATAGACCCAGATGATCCTTATTATTCCAACTACAACATTACTTGTATGAACTTTGTGCGATCAGCTCGAGTTAACACATCGTGTTTAGGTGTTAGAGAGCAAATGAATCAGGTTTCGTCATACATTGATGGATCAGTTATTTACGGACCAACCCAAGAAGTTTCATCCAAATTAAGAACCTTCCAAAACGGCTTATTCAATGTTTTAATCACACAAGATAATCGAACATTATTACCAATTTCTCATGACTTATCGGACGGTTGCAATCGTAAAGAAAAAATCAAAGATGGAAAATATTGTTTTATGTCCGGTGACGCCAGGGCGAACGAAAACGTTCACTTGACGACGATGCACTTAATTTGGACGAGACATCACAACAATTTGGCGAAGAGGATGCATTCCATAAACCCACATTGGAGTGATGAACGGATATTCCAAGAGACAAGGAAGATATTAATAGCGCAATTGCAACACATTACTTATAACGAGTTTTTAAATATCATCTTAGGTTAGTATACACAAATAGTGTATTTTTGATACATTTTATAACCTTGAAATTCTTAATATATACAACTTGGTATTATTAAGATTAGTTAGCTAAAACATTTTTTGTTGACATATTAGATTTAAATGTTTTTGCAAAGATAAAAATGTAAATTGAGATAACGCTAAAAAAAATCTTTTTTATTTTTTTTTAACCGTGACCTAATTGTATCTATTAAAAGATTGAAATAAATTTTAGGTAATAAACTGTTAAAAAAATACGAGTTATCGCCAAGAAAACGAGGATTCTACAAAAATTATAACAATTCAATAGACGCGACGATTTCTAATAATTTCGCCACAGCATCATTTCGATTCGGGCATTCATTAATCCCGACATTAGTCAGTTTGATCGACAATGACAAATCGACCGTGGAGTATTTAAAATTACACGAAATCCTTTTCGATCCGTTTTTATTATACAAACCTGGCGAAATGGATCGAATTTTAAAAGGAACCGTTCGAAGCAGCGTTCAAGCCCATGACCCATTTTTTACTCCGGAGGTAAACATTTCTTTTAAATAATCCAAGAAAATTTAATCAATTTTTTTAGTTAAAAGAACATTTATTCGAGAATAAAAATCAAATTTGTGGATTAGATTTGGTATCTTTGAACATACAAAGAGGGCGAGATCATGGTTTACCTGGTTACACAAAATTTCGGGAGATTTGCCAACTAAAAAAAGTTAATAATTTCGATGATATCGAAGATATTAATCAAGAAACTGTTAATTATATTCGGAGTATTTATAGGTTGTATTATATGCGAAATTAGCCCCCAATTAGATAATAATACCTACCCGTGAGACAAACTTTTACCCATAATTTTCTATCTGCTTTCTTAGCTGATATCTTCCTTATTATTAAAGATAGCGAAAAATTAAATGCACCGTTTGAAACCTTGATTCCTTCTCTATCTAAAACCATACTACCATTAATAGGTTACCGTTTAAAAAAATTAACTTTTCGACTTTTCGAGATAGGGAAATTTTACGCACATTTCTGACCACCCTCTGTATAACCGCGTGTTATACACCATTAGAAAGAGCAGAAAATTTTCGATAAGATAGATATATTTCTAGAGTTTTCTCCTGGTCATATAAGAAAGTTATCCCGAACAAGGTGTAAAACGTGGGAATTTTGTAGTTTTTGGCCAAAAACGTACTTGTACAAATCAGTGATCGCCGCGTGTTATACACCATTAGAAAGAGCAGAAAATTTTCGATAAAAAAAATATGGTTCTAGAGTTTTCTCCCGGTCATATAAGAAAGTTATCCCGAAAAAGATTTAAAAGTGGCTAAAATGTGGGAATTTAGTAGTTTTTGGCCAAAAACGTACTTGTGCAAATGAGCGATCGCCGCGTGTTATACACCATTAGAAAGAGCAGAAAATTTTCGATAAAATAAATATGGTTCTAGAGTTTTTTCTTGGTCATATAAGGAAGTTATTGACCCGAACAAGATAAAAGTAGGTAAAACGTGTGAATTTAGTAGTTTTTGGCCAAAAACATACTTGTACAAACGAGTTATCGTCGCGTATTATACACCATTAGAAAGAGCAGAAAATTTTCGATAAAAAAAATATGGTTCTAGAGTTTTCTCCTGGTCATATAAGAAAGTTATTGACCCGAACAAGATAAAAGTAGCTAAAATGTGTGAATTTAGTACCAATAATGTACTTGTACAAACGAGCTATAGTCGCGTGTTATGCACCATTAGAAGGAGCAGAAAATTTTCGATAAAAAAAATATGGTTCTAGAGTTTTCTCCTGGTCATATAAGAAAATTATCGACCCGAACAAGATAAAAGTAGCTAAAATGTGTGAATTTAGTACCAATAATGTACTTGTACAAACGAGCTATAGTCGCGTGTTATGCACCATTAGAAGGAGCAGAAAATTTTCGATAAAAAAAATATGGTTCTAGAGTTTTCTCCTGGTCATATAAGAAAATTATCGACCCGAACAAGATAAAAGTAGCTAAAATGTGTGAATTTAGTACCAATAATGTACTTGTACAAACGAGCTATAGTCGCGTGTTATGCACCATTAGAAGGAGCAGAAAATTTTCGATAAAAAAAATATGGTTCTAGAGTTTTCTCCTGGTCATATAAGAAAATTATCGACCCGAACAAGATAAAAGTAGCTAAAATGTGTGAATTTAGTACCAATAATGTACTTGTACAAACGAGCTATAGTCGCGTGTTATGCACCATTAGAAGGAGCAGAAAATTTTCGATAAAAAAAATATGGTTCTAGAGTTTTCTCCTGGTCATATAAGAAAATTATCGACCCGAACAAGATAAAAGTAGCTAAAATGTGTGAATTTAGTACCAATAATGTACTTGTACAAACGAGCTATAGTCGCGTGTTATGCACCATTAGAAGGAGCAGAAAATTTTCGATAAAAAAAATATGGTTCTAGAGTTTTCTCCTGGTCATATAAGAAAATTATCGACCCGAACAAGATAAAAGTAGCTAAAATGTGTGAATTTAGTACCAATAATGTACTTGTACAAACGAGCTATAGTCGCGTGTTATGCACCATTAGAAGGAGCAGAAAATTTTCGATAAAAAAAATATGGTTCTAGAGTTTTCTCCTGGTCATATAAGAAAATTATCGACCCGAACAAGATAAAAGTAGCTAAAATGTGTGAATTTAGTACCAATAATGTACTTGTACAAACGAGCTATAGTCGCGTGTTATGCACCATTAGAAGGAGCAGAAAATTTTCGATAAAAAAAATATGGTTCTAGAGTTTTCTCCTGGTCATATAAGAAAGTTACCCCGAACAAGGTTTAAAAGTGGCTAAAACGTGGGAATACACCATTACAAAGAGCAGAAAATTTTTGATAAGATAGATATACTTCTATAGTTTTCTTTTTTTTTATTATTAAGCTTTTCGAGTCCTATGTCTAATATTCAATGGATTGTAAGGATTAGAATCTAATTCTAGTGCTTGCGAGGAATCGTCCGATAATATAATAAATATCTTTTCTATTTAAACTTAGCAACTCAATATTGCATGTCGGTAGTCGCACGCCACTATCCAGAAGATTTTGCAAAAAACTCTCTCTTTGGCTATGATGTCACCTACCTCATTACCACATGAACATCCAAGAGTGTCTACAATACCCAGTTTATAAAAATGACTAGGGAATTTACCATGGTCAAATTTCATCCTCGTAATAGAGGTGTATAGAAATTTCTTGGGTGGATTCGTGCATATTGGGTCATCCTAGCCCTCCAACAGTTGACCCAATATTTGTCCCACTCAGCTTCTAACATCTCTTGTCTCACCATGGTAATTAGATCCTTCACATATATTTTGCCCATGTTCTGCATACCACTCACTATCGCATCCTTCGCTAGACGATCCACTATTTCGTTCGGCTTTAAGTTTACATGACCTACTTTTATAGTTTTCCCCTTATCAAATAAGAAAGTGTAAGGATATATATTAAAGGTGATTTAAGCATGTGTTTTTAATTTTTTATTGATATTAGTATCAACTTATTGGCGGACGAATAGTTTTAGATAGAGAAAGAATCAAGTATTCAAATGGTGCGTTTAATTTTTCGCTATCTCTAATAATAAGGAAGATATTAGGTAAGAAAATATTTATGGAAGAAATAATCTCGGCCGACTTTAGTTATTGTTCTTGTTAGGCTATCTAATTGGATGATAACTTTGTATAGGTAATTTTTGATAATAATTTAAAAATTTTTTTTAGAAATGTGGATGATATAGATTTATATACAGATGCATTAAGTGAAAATCCTGAAAGTGGTAGTATGTTGGGTCCAACATTAAATTGTTTAGTAATCGATCAATTCGCACGGTTAAAACGAGGAGATAGACATTATTATGAGAATACCGGTGAATTTGATGAAACGCAGCTGGCCGAGATACGAAAAACGATGCTTGCGAAGATATTGTGCGAGAATTCGGATGGCGTGAAGTTTATACAACGGTACGCGATGGAAAATATCGGTGACGACAATCGGGAGGAGCCATGCGAAGATCTACCACAGGTCGATCTGAAATACTGGAAGGAAAACGCCGGTCGCGTTCACGTCCCAAATCGGGACATGGCCATCGTCGCCGAGAACATCTGGCACCGTACCGGATAAATCCCGCTACTAAAGGAGATCCCATGAGGTCAAAACACCAAGGTTACATAAAAAAATCGATTCACATTTTTTTTAAATCGACCTTTTTATACTTTTTTATATATACATTTGACACGAATAAATAAAAATATATATAAATATGTACAAAAATTTGTGTGTATTTTTTTCTTGATAAAATTGCTAATGTTGGGATCAGTATACGGGTTACGTTGGCGAGTGTCTAATACGATGACGTCAGCATTCACTTCTGGCACTCTATTTTAGGAGTGCGCCAAGTTGAACTGGCGTTGGATAACTATGAATACAATTTCATATTATAATATACCGCCCCGGTTCTTTTTTTCTAACTCCGCCGAGTTAAACTTCTGTTTTTTAACTGTAGTCATAAATAAAACCCACTCTTGAGACTGATTTTTTTTATTGAAAATGTTACTGATTACAAAATAAGAAACCTTTAAAACTATAACAAACAGCGCTTGTTGCTTAGATAATTTACAAAAAAAAAACGATTTCTAAATGAGACGATAAAAATAATAATAATAAGTGCTTATTAGTGAAAAAAAATTAAATTAAATAAGTGAATAAGTTTTAAATATATTTACAAAAAATAATTATTAATATATCCATTTTATTTCCTCTTTTAATATATTAATAACATATTTTTTTTCTTTAATTTATTTACAAATAGCGTCCTCAGAAAAATAAAAATTAATATTATAACGCAACACCTTATATTTATAAATACAGTATTAACAGATTCATTTTAGGACTCCCCCTAAAATAAACCGTATATTATCTTATATTTCATACGTTCCCTGAAAACAATTAAATTAATTTTTATCTTCAATTTCTTTTAATGTAATAACAAAGACTGTACACGTTTAAAGGACTCTATCAATCAATTCTCCTTTAAAGTTTACTGTCCTTGATGTTATTGTACTAAAACGTACAGAGATTTATCCATCAACACACACGACATTCACTACTTCAAAAACAGTCTCTAATTGTAAAAAAAATGAAAGAACTTAAGGTAAAGTGTCATAAATAATATCCCTGGCTGATTCAGAAAGCTGCTCTGGGAAGCGAATATCAAAATTAACTATTAAATCTCCTTTTCTAGACGATTCTTTTGGTAATGGCAATCCATGCCCTTGTAAACGTCGAACGGTGTTTGGCGTAACAATTTCGTTGGTGAAATGTAATGGGATGACTTTATCAGCAATCATTGTTGGTACTCGAATAGTACAGCCGCATAAAGCTTCTTTAAGCGAAATTTTTGCCGTAAAGCGAATATCACTGCCTTCTCGTTTAAAATGCGGATGTGGCTTATCCCTGATTATAAATACTATATCAGCAGGAATCTTATTCCTTCCTTGATCACCTTCTTTTTGGAACGTTATTTTAGTTCCCGCCTTCCATCCTGGTTTAACGTTAATCGTCAAAACTTTATCTTCTTTTTTCGCCGTCCCATCCGACTGCAACACTTTCCTGCTAATTTTCATCTTCTTGGTACAACCTTTCATGATATCTTCTAATGATACATAGAGGTCGTGTTCGATTGGCGGATCTTGCAGCTTATCTTTATTCCCTCGATTTGGACTGTTATGGAAATTGAAGGATTGGCTTCGAAATGCTCCTCCTGGTCCGCCTGGTCTTGGTTGACCAACATTTCCTATTCCAAATGGATCGTCTACATCCATGCTGTCATCATTGAACCCAAACATTCTATTACCGCCGCCGCCAAGATCAAAGAAAGCTTGGAACGGACTTGCGTTGCCGAAAAATTGGGCGAAGGTAGCTCGTGGATCACCATGGAAAGTGTAACTGAACGATGGTCCACCAGGTGTCCCAGTTCCACCAGGAATTCCACTTTTTAGACCTTCCTCACCATGTTGATCGTAAATATCGCGCTTTTTCTTATCGGATAAAACTTCGTAGGCTTCCGCAACTTCTTTGAAATGTTCCTCAGCTCCCGGTGCTTTGTTTTTATCCGGATGATATTTCAGAGCTAATTTACGGTACGCCTTTTTGATGTCGTCATCAGTCGCGTTCTTGCTGATTCCTAGGATTTTATAATAATCTTTTCCCATGATGATTTCGAATTAACGTGCTCGAATTTACGAACGTAAAACTAAATCGCGTTCAAGACACTTAAAAATAAAATAACTGATCTTTAAAGTACGCTATTCGATGTCACACTACGTAATGGAGCTCGCCGACATATATATGCGTGTATATATCCAATCATATGATTCCAGAACCAACTAGAATCGAATGTACCAGAACAATTTTACGTTCCAGTGACGTACCAGCAATTATCTAACGAATTTTCGAGAACACTTCAATTTTTTTGTAAACACAAACGATGAGATTACTTTATTAAGATGTTTATAAACGCTTATCAATTAAATAAACGTTTATTTATTGGATAAAAATGAAATTTTTGGTTCGAATAATACAGAAAACGAGTCGCTTATGAACGTGGCCTTCGCGTAACCTTTAATTCAAGGACATTCACAGAGATGGCGCTAAAGTATTAATTATATTTCACTTTGATTATATAATACATTGATGTAGTGGCTATTTAATAATTAATAATTACGATATAAATAAATATAATTTATTAACTTCAATACATTTTTAACGTTCTTTAAACTTCAAGTTTTAATGCGAGGATATTCAAACAGATGGCGCTGGTTTCAAATAATAATAATTAACAAATGAATTTATAAATATATTGTTATTGACTCAGTTTTACGTTGTCTTTTAGGTTACATAACCTCTAATTACAAAAAAAATATGTAAAATTTTACCCTTAACACATTACTGTGTAACACTTTTGTTCTTAGATGCACCCATATAGAGAAATATTCGAAAATATGAAAATTAGAAAAATTTGCATTATCACAAGTTGCTAATGGAAAAAAAATCGGTGTTCTGAGCATAGAACAAAAGCTGTGGCAAAATTTAACCTTAACATATTGCTCTTAGATGCATCAATGTACAGTGGTGGTCAAAGAAACGAAAATAATGTACTCATAATAACTTAAAAATAAAATAAATAAATATTGATTATTTTAGCTTGGACGGCTAATTAAGGACACTTCGAATTTTTAAACACACAAATTAGTAACACTATGGAACACCACATTTGATTGCACAAGCAGAAGAAATTGAAGAGTTAGCGCGTACGCACAAGGAACGATGGGAAAGGTAGGATTGAAACCAAGAAACACAGGGGGGAGTGAATCCGTAGGCAGAAAGAGACGCTAAAAGAAGGCTGTGGTCGACAGAATCAAAAGCCTTGCTGAAATCGAGCAGTAACACATCTGTTGTCGCAGGCATACCTAATATCATCAGTAACTTTAATGAGGGCAGTAGTTGTACTATGCCCACTGCGAAAACCCGATTGCAACTCATTGTGTAAATTAAACCTCTCTAGAAATCCTTGGACTTGCAAATAAACTAAGCGTTCAAGAGCTTTTGATAGTACGGATAAAATTGAAATCGGACGGAAATCAGTGTTACATGAAGAGGACTTGGATTTGGGTATGGGAACGACATGAGCTACCTTCCAGACAGAGGGAAATAAAGACCGCTCACAAGAAAAGTTAAAGATATGAGTTAAGAGAGGAAGCACTATATCAAGGATAGGAAGAAGAAGGTTGAGACCGATACCATCAGAACCCACGCAAGGGGACTTCGAATAAGTCAAAGCATCACCTACTTCGATCGCGGTCACAAGCGTAAGAGAGATTTAAGAGAAGCAAGAATTTCATTAATTGTAGCCGCCGCAGTTTACATTTTATACATAAATTTTCCTGGCTCGTGTCATCACGCCTCTTTCATGGCGCATAACGGAAATCCAGGCCCAAGAAAACTACTCCAGCAGAAGATCGCTTAATTTTTTTTTTTTGGCAATCCTTTTTTGAGTTCTAAGCAAAGTCACTTCTCAATTAAGTATGGAAATATGAACGCGAACCATAAGACGTCGACTATTGGAAAATGGACTCCGTGGATGCATTGCAAGGAAAAAGCATTCAGTTTGCAAAGGAACACATGGAAAAACCCTTAGAATTTTGAAAAAACATACTGTGGAGCGATGAATCAAAGTTCAACTTGTTTGACCAACATTTATACAAAGCCATCATGGCGAATACAATGAAGCCATTTGCGAACGAATATATTCCTGTGCATTCATTTTTATGCAGGATAACGATCCAAAGCAAACTGCTAGAAGCCTTAAAGCATGATCTTCTGCCGAAAACGTTAATGTTTTGGATTGGCCTGTAGCAAATTTTACCCTTAACACATTACTCTGTAACATTTTTGCTCTCAGATGCATCAATGTAGAGAATTATTCAAAAATATGAAAATTGAAAGAATTCGTAGTTGCACAAGTTGCTACTTAATGGAAGAAATCGGTATTCCGAGCATGATACAGAAAAACTTTTATAACAAAAGTTGTTGCAAATTTTCCCCTTAACACATTACTCTGTAACATTTTTGCTCTCAGATGCATCAATATAGAGAAATATTCGAAAATATGAAATTTTGAAGAATTCGTAGTTTCACAAGTTGCTAATGGAAAAAATCGGTATTCCAAGCATGATACAGAAAAACTTTTAGAACAAAAGTTGTGGCAAATTCTACCCTTAACACATTACTGTATAACACTTTTGCTCGTAGATGCATCAATGTAGAGAAATATTCGAAAATATGAAAATTAGAAAAATTCGTAGTTTCACAAGTTGCTAATAGAAAAAATATAAATTCTGAGCATGATACAGAAAAACTTTTATAACAAAAGTTGTGGCAAATTTTACCCTTAACACACTACTCCCTAAAATTTTTGCTCTCAGATGCGTGAATATAGAGAAATATTCGAAAATATTGCTACTTAATGGAAAAAAATCGGTATTCCGAGCATGATACAGAATAACAACACTAATGTGGTGAACAATACTTTTAAATCATTTTTGAAACATTGCTTAATCAGGTTATCCAATATGATGAACTACAATAACGAGGATAACACTCCATCTTCATCATTCTGAAGTATCTTGTGGATACTTCCTTAGTATTTTTGCTAAAGTCAAAGCTACATCTATGCTGTACAAAAATTTTTATCAAAAACACCTTCTGGTAAGAGAAAACCGTAATGTAATAAGAATGAGGAAGAGTAATTGGTTGAAATGAGTTCGGAAGGAAGTATTTTCTTTTCTAAATTTAGTATTGAAAGCGAAGCATTAGATGTAATTGAAGTAAGCTTTTCAGGTGAGAAAGAGTTTATGGATCCCGTAAATGTCTTTGTAATAAGACATGATCCCTCTGGTTCTGAAGTGTTATTCGGTGAAAATATAGAGGTTATTCCGTCCAGATCAATCAATGTGTAAATTAATCACATCACTTTTCATAGAGTTCATAGAGTGTTAATAGTTGCAAAACTAAATCCATAAACAAAATCAGTTTGACACGTCGTGCCATAATTAACAACCAATTTTGGGATATGGAATTCCTTGGAAAATGAGTATCAACCCTAGAACTAACAACATTAATGATGAACTATAGTTTTAAATACATTTTCAATGTTTGGCGTTCTAGGTAGTCTGGTTGTGAAACGTTTTTCCTCTTGTCTTTGATATTCTATCTAAAATTCTATACAAAAGTATTTACAAATTTAAGTTGGCAAAAGATGTAAGTAGTCTGCAGGTAATAAGCTATATTGTCATACCGATTCAATGATGTGGCCCTAACGTAAGATACATATATAATACATTATTCCGAAATACATTCACATAATGTAGCTACAACTTGTAGAACAAAAGTTGTAGCAAATTTTACCCATAACACATTGTTGTGTAACACTTTTGCTCTCAGATGCATCAATGTAGATAAATATTTGAAAATTAGAAAAATTCGTAGTTTCACAAATTGCTAATGGAAAAAGTCGGTATTCCGAGCATGATACAGAAAAGCTGTTATAACAAAAGTTGTGGCAAATTTTACCCTTAACACATTGCTGTGTAACACTTTTGCTCTTAGATGTATCAATATAGAGAAATATTCGAAAATATGAAAATTAGAAGAATTCGTAGTTTCACAAGTTGCCAATGGAAAAAATCAGTATTCCGAGCATGATACAGAAAAACTTTTAGAACAAAAGTTGTAGCAAATTTTATCCTTAACACATTACTGTATAACACTTTTGCTCGTAGATGCATCAATGTAAAGAAATATTCGAAAATATGAAAATTAGAAGAATTCGTAGTTTCACAAGTTGCTACTTAATGGAAAAAATCGGTATTCCAAGCATGATACAGAAAAACTTTTAGAACAAAAGTTGTGGCAAATTTTACCCTTAACACATTGCTGTGTAACACTTTTGCTCGTAGATGCATCAATGTAAAGAAATATTCGAAAATATGAAAATTAGAAGAATTCGTAGTTTCACAAGTTGCTACTTAATGGAAAAAATCGGTATTCCAAGCATGATACAGAAAAACTTTTAGAACAAAAGTTGTAGCAAATTTTATCCTTAACACATTACTGTATAACACTTTTGCTCGTAGATGCATCAATTTAGAGAATTATTCAAAAATATGAAAATTAGAAAATTTCCTTCTTCTCCAGAAAATTCTCCAGTTATTTCTTGTACCTACATTTACAAAAGAAATTGTAATGAGCTTTGCATTGAAAATTTGAAGTTGTAGATTAAGTGATTAAACTGAAATACTTTAATATCCCAGCAAAACTGATACTGCTTCCTCATCAAACTCCAGGGTTTAAAATGGGCTAGTCATGTGATTGGAATAGGAGAAGAGAGAATGCCTAAGCGACTAATCGGTAAAAGGATGCAAGAAGTGTGGTCAAGGAGACTCCTTTTCTTCTAATATGCTCGTAGAATTCTCCTTTCCAGCTAAAATACTTTGATGATAAAGTTCTTCTACTAGCCCTGGAATATACTTTAGTAAAACAAACTTAATTATTGTTCTGCTACATTATTTCTTACTCCTAAAAAGTAATTAAGGATTTTATTATTTCTCAAAAGAAATAAATTTTTAATTCACAACACCCGTTTTAATTTGTTGTAAATAAGCATTCAAATCGATTTTGGACCTCCGTGACGTCACTCTCCATCTCCCTCCACTCTCCATATTTGATAGGATACAACTTAAAGTTATTCAAAAAATAAAACATAACCTCAACTTTTTTACTCCACTAACTGTCTATGTTACAAAAGTTTCATAGCCACTACGTATTAAATGGTATGTAATTTTATAAAATTTAACTATTTTAATTCTAACATTTACAATTATTACAGATGATACATCATTATTAGGACGTAAATCAACCTGTTTCATATAATCAGTATTATTTAATTGCTTTACGAACAATGCCATTACCTCAGGAAAACACATCTGAGGTATTTTATCCCATGGAATTAATTATATATAATTCTTATTCATTCATATATAAAAAACACTTCTTCTCAGTATCAAATCAAAATGTTTCAACAAGAATTTCTGTATTAATAATTCTTATTATTTTTTTTAAGCACTGCCATGCTTCTTCAATTATTGTAATTCATCCAGGATCATTAAACTTAAGAATTGGACGTGCGTCTGATTTACATCCTTTAGTAACTCTTCATTCGATAGCCAGGCGTTGTTACCCAAATGGGCAACGATATCAAGATTCATTTTTGCCTCAAAGAAGCGATACGTACTCAACTCCAGAATTGGAAGAAACTCGTTTATCCGTATCTCATACTTTACAGTCTTGCTTACAATCGGATGGTCGGCGAAGGTATGCGACACCACCCCAACAAATAGCAGCGTTTAATCGCCGCACAACGCCGCAAATTTTAGGGGCAAGTGGGGGAGATTGGTTAATACCTGATGGCGACGTGGTAATCGGGAATGATGTGTTAAGATTACCACCGAAATCCGATTTTAATATTCATTTTCCATTTCGGAGGGGCGATTTTAATGTACATTCGGGTTTAGGAGGATCAATAACATCGATTTTAGCCGATTTAGAAACGATTTGGTTACATATTTTAGAAACAAATTTTAATATTCCTCAACAAAACTTAAAAATGTATAAAGCAGTGTTGATCATACCAGATATTTATAATAGGACGTATTTAAAAGAGTTAACGACGTTGTTACTTAATCGAATGGAATTTGGAAGCTGCTTTTTGGTACAAGACCACGTTGCTGCTACATTTGGTTCTGGATTAAGTTATGCATGCGTTGTCGATGTAGGCGACCAAAAAACATCGGTTTCTTGCGTTGAAGATGGGATATGCCACTCAAACACCCGAGTTAGAATGGATTATGGAGGAGCAGATATAACTCAAACGTTTTTTTGGCTACTACAAAAATGCGCGTTTCCATACAAATCTTGTAGCGAATTGAATCGATTAGATGCGATGTTGTTACGGAAATTAAAAGAAGATTTTTGCCACGTTAATTTGGATATTTGTGGGTCGCAAGAAAAAACGTTTTTAGTAAGACAGCCAAACATGAATCTTTTGCAGTACACCATACAAGTTGGGGATGAATGTATTGTTGCTCCTTTAAGCTTATTTAGTCCAGAACTTTTTGGTATCACTGGACCGAAATGTGTACATACTCAAAAAAGATCGACGGGTGATCCTGAGGATCCCCATGATGAAAATTATTTAAGAGAAATTCGAGTAAGATGATTTTTTTCTAAGTTAAAGTAGGGTAAACCATACAATTATTGGACAGTCCAGGTTTATGTGGTTTATATTACCGAAATCTGACGTTGTAGTCATTTTGTTAAAGGTTTTGACAAGTTTTGTGTTTTTGGTGAGGTTGATTGTGAAACATTAAGGTAAGTTATGATTATTATCGAACTTCAAAATGTAGTTTATGGTTTGTGGAATGGTGCAACATAGTTTAGCGTTTCTAATCTAAAAGTGCAAAGTGTTCCAATAACTGTATCATAATCAGTGTGGATTTTAATCATTGGACACTGTGTCTTAAATAATTATAAAATTGTAACATTTAATAACATTTCTACTTTGGCTTATATGCCTTATTATTCCTTAAAGGTTACCAAAAATGGTCCAAAGGCGATCATATGATCCCAGACACATCATAAATCATCTCTAAGAGATATTGCCAACCAATATAATGTGCCCAAATTCACACCTGGTTGAATCAAAAATGTTCTGTTACTTGTTGAAATGTTTTGTTTGCGGAAAAACGTGTCAAATTAAGACCAAGTTGAAGTGTGAGGAATGCGTTCCAAAATTACATCGATGTAGCATCAATGTAGAGAAATATTCGAAAATATGAAAATTGGAAGAATTCGTAGTTTCGCAAGTTGCTAATGGAAAAAAATCGGTATTCCAAGCATGATACAGAAAAACTTTTAGAACAAAAGTTGTGGCAAATTTTACCCTTAACACTTTACTGTATAACACTTTTGCTCGTAGATGCATCAATGTAGAGAAATATTCGAAAATATGAAAATTAGAAGAATTCGGAGTTTCACAAGGTGCTAATGGAAAAAATCGGTATTCCGAGCATGATACAGAAAAACTTTTAGAACAAAAGTTGTGGCAAATTTTACCCTTAACACATTACTGTATAACACTTTTGCTCGTAGATGCATCAATGTAGAGAAATATTCGAAAATATGAAAATTAGAAGAATTCGGAGTTTCACAAGGTGCTAATGGAAAAAATCGGTATTCCAAGGATGATACAGAAAAACTTTTGGAACAAAAGTTGTGGCAAATTTTACCCTTAACACATTACTGTATAACACTTTTGTTCGTAGATGCATCAATGTAGAGAAATATTCGAAAATATGAAAATTAGAAGAATTCGGAGTTTCACAAGCAGTTAATGTACAAAATCAGTATACCGAGCATGATACAGAAAAACTTTTAGAACAAAAGTTGTAGCAAATTTTACCCTTAACACATTACTATATAACACTTTTGCTCGTAGATGCATCAATGTAGAGAAATATTCGAAAATATGAAAATTAGAAGAATTCGGAGTTTCACAAGGTGCTAATGGAAAAAATCGGTATTCCAAGCATGATACAGAAAAACTTTTAGAACAAAAGTTGTAGCAAATTTTATCCTTAACACATTACTTAACATTTTTGCTCGTAGATGCATGAATGTAGAGAAATATTCGAAAATATGAAAATTAAACGAATTCGTAGTTTCAAGAATTTAAAAATGGTAAAATTGCATTCGTTCGATATGTTCAGGTTAAGTAAATTAATTTCAATTCTCCAGTTATTTCTTGTACCTACATTTACAAAAGAAATTGCAATGAGGTTTGCATTAATCTTGTCAAAATAAGACCAAGCTGAAGTGTAAGGAATATAAATATAATTTCCATAAGAAATGCGTTCCGAAATTTCATCGAATTCATATTCCTGATGACGACGATACTTATCTATGCCATAATTGTTACAGCAAAGAGACAACGAACTCAGGAAATGTACTTTATAAGAACTCCTGTGATGAAGACTTATTAAATACAGTCGAGTTTGAACAACTTCAAAATGGCCAGAATACGAACATTAATCATGATCCTTGCAATATCAGTAAGCCAAGAAATATCCTAAATAAGCGCTTTGTGTGTATAATCATATTACAATTAACTGTCCAATAACTGTAACATTACCGTCCAATGACTGTACTTTTTTTGCAATAAATAATTAAAAATGTAATTGATGTTTTCAGTATTACCTACGAAATTTGCGTTTTCGTTACATCACTATTTTTTAAGAAAATCCCTTAACTGTCCAATAACTGTATGGTTCAATTCACAAATTCATCTAAAACATTTTTTAGCGTAAAGGAATAAAAGAAAATATGGAGCCGACATCTGATTTATTAAACGAAGCTTATTTCGAACAAACTAACAATCAAAATAACACAAACGATGACGATATCGTCGTCGATACCATTGAGGTAGCCGTACCAAAGGAATTTGTGATAAATCCAGGACAAATTTTAGGATTAGATCAAGCTGTACTTCAAAGTATTGATAGATGTCGTACGTAACTTAAATTTTATTTAATTTAAACTAAAATTAGACCTAGAACTAGAAATTTTTTTAGAAAAAATGTTTGACGTTTTGGTTTTGTCAAACTCTATGGTGTGTCCTCCTTTGTGGCAGTGCTCTTCGACTGCAAATTGTTGGATTTTAATCAGTCGGACATCTTTATCGTGGTCCTTGATGCGTCATTCGATGTTACGTCCAGTTTGGCCAACTAATATGTATTAGATAGACTTCCACTATCGGAAGAGCGTTTTCTATTTTGCTGACCGTACCCTGAAACATAAAGAAGGCAGATAAAACCGGCTGGTGTCGTACTTACCATCCATGGACTCTTCTTTAACGCTTATACGGCGATGGGCATAACTTCATTAGTCCTGGGACATACTTTGGCAAACCCTCCTAGATGAGTTTCTGGCGAAGACCATGAACGGCATCTTTAACTGGTACTCTGGTACCAGGATATCCTGAGTCCTCCATATGCTTCTCTGTTTTTGATTCCTGTGGATCTATCTTCTCGATTGGATCCTTTTTTATCTTCTTATAGGTGGCTGGGTCCAACATTTTTTCAAAAAACGCACTACTTAACTCGATAATTTCTAGTTCTAGTTTAATTAACACTGGCCGTGAAAGATTTCGTACTAATATTTAGTTAATTTATTTTATTTCAAGCTAACGAAGACTTAAAACGGAAAATGTACGGCTGTATTTTAATCGTTGGGGGTGGTATGCAGTTTGCTGGTATTGCTACATGGTTACAAAACCGAATTTCATTACAAATTCCTTATGTTTATCGCGGTGAACAATTAGACATAATTACAAATCCCCGCGATATGGATTCATCAATGGTCGCTTGGAAAGGAGCGTCCATAATGTCGTGTTTGGAGACTGCGCAAGAATTGTGGATAAATGGAGCGGAATGGGAAAAATACGGGGTTAGATTGTTGCGCGAACGAGCACCTTTTAGCTGGTAAATAAATGTAAACATAAACGAAATAAATGTTTATTCTCAAAATAGTGTCGTTTACAATTAACTAACAAAAAAATCTAACTAAATATAGGGATATATTTAAAACGTTCATTATTTATTCTAATACTAGTTTAGCATTTTTGCCATTAATTTTTCTAATGCTACCAAATCTCAATAAATACTCTTTTTTGCTATAAGCAAATGCCACATCAGTTAGTATAAAAATAAATGCTGTTACAAAAGCTAGAGTGGTACCAAAATAAAAATTAGCATTCGCTGTTCCCATAAAAATCCATAAATCCCACAGAATCGGCCCTAAAGCTGTAGTTATAAATATCGCAACACCGCTTACAAAAATTTGTTGCATACCTAAATCACAAAAAAAAATAATTACCCACCAACATAGTAACACCCCCAAATTACTTACAATTATACATATATTTCCAACATGGCAAAACAGCCAAAGTAAAAGCAAAATCGCCGATTCCTGGATAAGACTTGAATATAGCAGTCAATGTGATGAAGGTAAACGCCAAAAGAACCGGATCCTTGCGAAATTTGATAGTCAACGGTACGCAATACAATAAAGAGACATTAATTTGGTACGAATACAAAAATAATTGACGAAAATGCTCAAACATTTCCATAAAAAAGTACCAATAAACCCCAATATTCGGTTGTTGGTCGGTTACGCCCAAACTAAAAATAAAAGCATCACTAAAATCCATCAAAAAAAATTTTTCCAACTTACATAAACCCATAAGATTTATCAATAAACTCCCATCCATCATTAATAATATTACAAACCCCAAAGAATGTAGCAAGGCATATCAAAAACGACACCAACGAAATAAAAGCTAATTTGGAACCGTTAAATTTCGCGATTGAAAGGTAAAGGGGTGAAATCAAAACGATGGGATACAACGCTTGGGTTGAACACAAAACCAAAGCGACAACAGGAAATAAAATTGAACCATAAGAAATTCCAAACAAAAATATCGCGTAAGATAAATTCAAAAACGTTTTACACCTTTTAGTTGGTAAATAAATGTAAACATAAACGTAATAAATAATTGTTTATTCTCAAAATAGCGTCGTTTATAATCAACTAACAAAAAAATCTAACTAAATATAGGGATATATTTAAAACGTTCATTATTTATTCTAATACTAGTTTAGCATTTTTGCCATTAATTTTTCTAATGCTACCAAACCTCAATAAATACTCTTTTTTGCTATAAGCAAATGCCACATCAGTTAGTATAAAAATAAATGCTGTTACAAAAGCTAGAGTGGTACCAAAATAAAAATTAGCATTCGCTGTTCCCATAAAAATCCATAAATCCCACAGAATCGGCCCTAAAGCTGTAGTTATAAATATCGCAACACCGCTTACAAAAATTTGTTGCATACCTAAATCACAAAAAAAAATAATTACCCACCAACATAGTAACACCCCCAAATTACTTACAATTATACATATATTTCCAACATGGCAAAACAGCCAAAGTAAAAGCAAAATCGCCGATTCCTGGATAAGACTTGAATATGGCAGTCAATGTGATGAAGGTAAACGCCAAAAGAACCGGGTCCTTACGAAATTTGATAGTCAATGGTACGCAATACAATAAAGAAACATTAATTTGGTACGAATACAAAAATAATTGCCGGAAATGCTCAAACATTTCCATAAAAAAGTACCAATAAACCCCAATATTCGGTTGTTGATCGGTTACGCCCAAACTAAAAATAAAAGCATCACTAAAATCCATAAAAAAAAAATTTTCAACTTACATAAACCCATAAGATTTATCAATAAACTCCCATCCATCATTAATAATATTACAAACCCCAAAGAATGTAGCAAGGCATATCAAAAACGAAACCAACGAAATAAAAGCTAATTTGGAACCGTTAAATTTCGCAATTGAAAGGTAAAGAGGTGAAATCAAAACGATGGGATACAACGCTTGGGTTGAACACAAAACCAAAGCGACAACAGGAAATAAAATTGAACCATAAGAAATTCCAAACAAAAATATCGCGTAAGATAAATTCAAAAACGTTGCTGTGGTGCATCCCACACAATTAGCAATAACATAGGGATTAAATAAATAGGCGATTAGAACATATTTTGGTGTTGAAATGTAATCATAACCATTCAAAACTAATTCTTTATCGGTATACATGTATTCATCACCTTTTAATTCTTGTTCAATATATAAAAAGAAAATGTAATTTTTTGCCATATTGAACAGAAGAAGAGCGATTAATAAATCGACGAAAATGAACACAAACGGAAGATAATCACCGAAATTAGTAATTAAGAACTGATAGAAAACTAAATGTAAAGGTGATTCGTGAAATATATCGCTGGAGTAAGGATCAACTCCTAAGTCGGCTCTATAACAGCTTTCAATCACTGAAAATTATACAAAAAAAATTAATGTTAATAAATTAATAAATTTGGGGTTATGGGTGATCCTAACCTCTATGAATCGAATTTACCGGCGTCGATACTTCAATTCTTAACGAAATCTGTTCTTTGTAACTCGATGTGATGATCCAACACCGTATTATTGCCGCAGCCAGGAATATTAACACTAAAGCTTTCATTTTTGAATGTTTTAATTAGCGATTTATGTTTGAAAAAGTGTAACACAACCATAACACCAGCAAAGTGGGTAATGCCAACATAAAATATCAAAAACAAAACTCGGAATTGGTTTGTTGAAAATTAAAATGCAATATAATTTATAATAATATTATTATTAAATGGTCTATATAATTTAGATTCCCTTAATTGTTTGCTGTAAAACATAAAATTTATTAAATTATATTAAAAAAATTAAAATTTATTTTTTAGCAGTGTTCGATTAACTCGATTAATTTATTTATATCATTATCATTACAAAATCATGTTTTGTGACGTCACAAGCAATTAATCATGCATTTTCTTATTAAACCGGTCAACACCAGCCATAACAACCATAGCCACGCACAAAATCAATCTGATAAACTTAAAAGTAAAATTATTTTCACTAAGCTAGGTGAGATTACAATGTATATTTTCGGATGAAACACACGTTATGTTATTTCGTTAGATAGACTGTGTGTCAATAGAGTCTATGTTAATACTAGAACTAACACAAGACCTAGAACTAGAATCATTCGGGTTTAGCCGTCTTGAGAGACGTGCGGCTAAATCCGAATGATTCTAGTTCTAGGTCTTGTGTTAGTTCTAGGTCTTGTGTTAGTTCTAGTGATAGTGTTAGTATAAAACTAGAACTAACACTATGCCTAGTACTAGAATCATTTGGGTTTAGCCGTCTTTAGAGACGTGCGGCTAAACCCAAATGATTCTAGTTCTAGGTATAGTGTTAGTTCTACATAGTAACAGTGTTAATGTAAAACTAGAACTAACAGTAGACCTAGAACTTGAAATATTCGAGTTAATATCGCGCATAACTCCTAAGTATTTAATTCCATTTTATATTATGATCTATTCTCTATTTATGGCATAGTAGGATCTCTTATCATTCTTAGTGTGAAAATTTTAGCTTCGCATTTATTCGTATTTAATTCTATATTCCACCTGGACAGCCATTTACTAATTTGATTGAGTGAGTTCTGAACTTGTTTCTTATGCTTATACCTGTCGTTAGATAGACTGTGTGTCAATAGAGTCTGTGTTAATACTAGAACTAACACTAGACCTAGAACTAGAATCATTCCGATTTAGCCGCACGTCTCTCAAGACGGCTAAACCCGAATGATTCTAATTCTAGTACGTGTGTTAGTTCTAGCATTGATTATACTACTCCAGATTACTAACCATATGTATAATTAATCTTAATAGTCTTCCGTATCAGAGCATTATACGGTTGTAGGATACATTATTCTGAAGCGATTTTTCTAATAAAATTTTTTCGAAATGAAGGAGTATGTTTGGTCACTTTACTATGGCATATTGACTTTTCAAAATTTGGAGGTACCATAACTTAATTTTTTTAAATGGCACCCCCCATATTTTATTACTTAGTCGTCTTCTGCGTCTCATTTTACATCTTTTATACTCCATATGTCCAAACACACCTCTTCTGAATCAAATCAAACATTACTTCCTAAATGACATACTCCCAACTTTTATTATTATTATTATTGCTGCCGGGCTGAGGGGAGTAACAATTGTAACTTTAGCCCTCCAAAGGTTTAGGGCAAATGTAGGTCCTTGATGAACCTTAGTATTGCCGCAATTGCACAGTATACAGGGTGTCTCAGCGAGACCGGTCATTAAACGTTTCTGGCCAAAAATTATGTTCTCTTCGTCTAAAATATTTTCAGATTTCTAGCACTTCCGGTTAAGTGTTTGGGCAGGCGAGTTAAAGTTTAAAGTGATTTTTCGGTAAGATTTACACTTTTCCGCAAATTGTCGATTTTTAAGCGACTTGATGATTTTTGAATTATACCCAAGTAGTTACTTATCAACTAATTTATCATTTAATTATTATAATTAATATTATGGGAGTATTCGAGTGTTTTGTTAAATTATTAATACAAAAATTAATTATTTTTTTATATTAATATACAGGATGTCTCAGCGAGACCGTTTCAAGGTTTATAAATAACTTTACTTTTTGCAATTTGATTCGGCCGTTCTCGAGTTGTTCGAATTTTTCCAGAAAAATCTGCTCCAGCAGACATTTGTTCAAAAAATCATAAAACACTCGATTTTTGAGATATCAATTAGGATTCAGAACATGCTTAAGCAACATGGTGGAGTATGTTTGGTCACTTTAGTATGTTACTTTTCAAAATTCGAGTGTTTTGTTAAATTATTAATAAAAAATTAATTATTTTTATATTAATATACAGGATGTCTCAGTACGTTCTCTTCGTCTAATATATTTTCAGATTTCTAGCACTTCCGGTTAAGTGTTTGGGCAGGCGAGTTAAAGTTTAAAGTGATTTTTGGGTAAGATTTACACTAAAATTGTCGATTTTTAAGCGACTTGATGATTTTTTAATTATACCCAAATAGTTACTTATCAAGTAATTTATCATTTAATTACTATAATTAATATTATAGGAGTGTTTTGTTAAATTATTAATAAAAAATGGATTATTTTTTCTAAATTAATTTATTATATCCCTCTAGTGAATAATAGTAAAACTACTAAGTGTGTCTTATAACCTGAATTATAGGTTATGATTTTTATTAACCCTCAAAAAAAATAAGTGACAAAAAGGTAAAATTATAATCTAATTAATCATCCCCTTGTATTATTGGCAATCGGTTTGAAATGAATTAAAAAAAAAGACAATTGTCAGTATAGATTGTGATAAATTATCGAAAAATTGATCGAACGTTCTCATTGGATATCGGCTTTAGAATACACAGAGTTCGTCTCACTCCGACTTTAGCAATAAAACGGTAAAGAATCAATTTGAGTCACATAAAATTTACACGTAAAATAATATTGGTCGTGTTGTCAGCACTGGAGACTACAGTAGATTGTTACTTGGCCCGCTGATAATGACCATTTAGATAACGTTCTCGTTTTGTGATTTCGCATTTAATCAACATTTTTTTCAATTTATTATAGTTTTCATTAGGAAAAAATGTCCGGCTTTGATGAAAACCCATTTGGTGAACCAACAACAGATAATCCTTTTGCTGTAAGTAATACACACATACCCATATCAACCCTTAAAATATTAAGTATTATAACCTACGACGTATAAACCCTTATCTATCTTTTGTCATTGTTTCGCCTTAATCTAGAATTAATGTTATTTTGTATTCTTGACTTTGAATCTATTCTTACTCATAACTTGTATTTACTTATTTATATTTGTGTATATTTTAGGATCCATCTGTTCAACAAGTTGCTCGAAATGCAACAGCACAAATTCGAGTCGAAGATTACAGGCCATTTGACAATAATCAAAGTGCAGATCCTAGAACGTATAATCAACCAAACAACGAACCTGCCATAATGCAACCTACACAAGATCCACCCATGTATACCAGAAGTGGACAACAGGCTCAAGTTAGACCTGTTTTAGATACAGCTGAATTACAAGTAAATAAATAAAATGGTCTTTATTTTATATAATTTGTATTACAATCATTTTTGTAGAGAAAACAAGAAGAATTAGAGAGAAAAGAAGAAGAATTGGTCCGTCGAGAAGAAGAAATGCGTCAAAGCGTTTATAACGTTAGACGCAATAATTGGCCACCATTGCCTGAACAATGTTGTTTCCAACCTTGTTTTTATCAGGATATACAAGTTGACATCCCTATGGAGTTCCAAAAAATCGTTAGGAACTTATATTATATGTGGATTTGTAAGTTTTTGATATTTTATAGATAATTTTTTAATAATTTTCTTTTATTTAGTTCACGGAATTCTGCTAATAGTGAATGTAATAGGTGGAATAATTGTAACCGACCCTACAATAATAGGTTTAGGGATCTTGTATGTAATCTTATTTACCCCTTTTTCGTACTTATGCTGGTTTAGGCCCGCGTATAAAGCGTTCCGTTCCGACTCCTCTTTCAATTTTATGGTTTTCTTTTTCGTCTTTTTCTTTCAATTTATGGTTACCGTCATTCAAGCAATTGGAATTCCAGATTCGGGAACTTTGTAAGTTATAATAATAATATACAGGATGATTCACATGCAGAGGACAATAAATTAAGATGATTTAACCCAACTTACCTCTATACTAAGTTGTACCCCTAAGGAGTTATAGGCCTTCAAAGTTGCGTCTTAAATTTTTAAAACATTGAATATCTTTGTAATCCATTAAGTTAGAAAAACCAAATTTGATATACATTATTAATGTACCAAGGGTATTAATTGATTAATTAATTAATTGGTATTAAGGGTGATGGTCCCAGAAATTTGATACACTTTTTTAACCTTTTGGTGGATTTAATACATTATTGCCTCATTTCATGTAGAATTTAATTCTAAAACTTTTATTACTCTTATTATTTTTTAAAAAACTTTGTCGTTTTCATAAAAAACTCAAATAACTAAAGAGATGTATTTGGCTATGAAATTGTACTTTAAACTTTATATACAGGGTGTATCTGAATGACTGCAACAAACTTCAAGGGGTGATTCTTTAGTGAATTTTAAGGGTACTTTGATATATGAACCATGGGCGACTTCGGCCCCCCTAAGGAGCTACACCCCTCCAAAAATGGCGGAAAATTTTGGTTTAATTTCTTTTTCTCAAAAACCATAAATGCTAGGAAAATGAAATTTGGGGAATATGTTTAACTCATAATAGGGCACGTTTTGACCCTATTTGTACTTTCAACCTACCCTTCTAAACTACTAAACGTAACCACCCCCGTTCAATTTATGCCTAGATTTTTTTTATGAAGATGATAAATACATTGGAAAAATTTCAGTTAGATAGATAAAACTATTCTAAAACTTTTTTGTCTCTCTGATGTTCTTCTAAAAATTAATAATTTCTGAGAAAAAAAATAATTAAGCAAACACTAACTGTTAAGCTGTAGGGTTGTTAATCGAAAGTTGGAATGAATTTTTAATGAAAAAATCTTAGTAGGCTTTGCAATCTTTGTCAGAAATATTTTTGACGTTTAAATATCAGTGGTTTTCTTACTTTATTGTTGTTTTATTTAAAATTTTAAAAAGTCGAGTGAACGAGCGTAAATGCGATAGAACTTTATTCAAAAATTAATTTGAAAAACAATAATAATAGTAAGAAAAACTGACATTTAAACGTCAAAAATATTTCTGGCAAAGATTGCAAAGTCTACTAAGATTTTTTCATTCAAAATTCATTCCAACTTTTGATCGACAACCCCGTTGTTTAACGGGCAGTGTTTGCTTTATTATTTTTTTTCTCAAAAATTAGTCGTTTTTGGAAAAATTTTAAAGAGACAAAAAAGTTTTAGGATACTTCCATCTACCTAGATAAAATTTTTTTAATGTATTTATCATCTGCATAAAAAAAATATTAGCAAAAATGTAAAGGGGGTGGTTACGTTTAGTAGTTTAGAAGGGTAGGTTGAAAGTACAAATAGGGTCAAAACATGCCCTATTATGAGTTAAACATATTCTCCAAATTTCATTTTCCTGGCGTTTATGGTTTTTGAGAAAAAAAAATTAAACCAAAAATTTCCGCCATTTTTGGATTTTTGGGGTGTAGCTCCTTAGGAGAGCCGAAGTCGCCCATGGTTCATATATCAAAGTACTCTTAAAATTCACTAAAGAATCACCCCATGAAGTTTGTTGCAGTCATTCAGATACACCCTGTATAATACCCTTGGTACATTTATAATGGTTTTTCGAAGTCGGCCGCCCCAGACATTATTTCTCTTAACCTGCTTAACCTACAACATTTAGGGCGGCCGACGTTTTCGAAGTCGGCTGAGATTATTAAAACTATTGTTGACAATATCACTTATAATACTTAGGGCGGCCGACATCTTGGAAATCGGCCGAGATTTTTAAAATAAAAAATAATTTTTGGCTCCCCCACGACTGCCCAAGCATTGTACGTGATATAAGTAATAATCTCGGCCGACTTCAAAGACGTCGGCCGCCCTAAATATTATAAGTGATATTTGAGATTATTAAAATAAGAAATTATTTATGGCTACCCACGACTGCCCAAGTATTGTTATGACATAAGAAATAATCTCGGCCGACTTCGAAGACGTTGGCTGCCCCTAATATCGCTTATAACTAGTGATGGGACGGTATTTGAGGAACGGGATTTTGGAACGGTATTTTTGAGGAGCGTACTGCTTCCACGCGATTTTAAAATACCTGTTACAGAACGTTACTAATATACTTACATATTTTTTATAGTTATAGTTCGGTATTTGGGGAACGATATATGGGAACATTATTCTAATGGAACGTACCATTCTGGCGCGATTTCTAAAATACCCGATTCTGGGGTACGGAATATATAATTTTTTCTAACTTGCTACGAAACCAGCTATGTTTTTGCTCAAGGTCGCGGTATTTTGGAACGGTATTTTTGTGTAGCGACCGTTCCTGGAGCGCGACACGGTTATGAGCGGTATTCCCATCACTACTTATAACACTTAGAGCGGCCAACTTCGAAGACTTCGGCCGCCCTAAGTGTTGTAGGTTAAGCAGGTTAAGAGAAATAATCCCAACGTTTGTTGAACCAAATTTCTCAGAAAACTACTACGTCAGATTCTTGGAATCTATAACATCGGACACCCCGAAAGTCATTGGTGGCGGCATAGCAAGTGCCTGTTTATACTCGCAATGAGCGTTTATTTATCGTGAATGGTTTAAAGGTACGCCACTGCTTGTAAATATCAGGCCGAGATTTTGAAAATAAGAAATTATTTATGGTCCAACCCAACCCAAGTATCACCTACAACACTTAGGGCGGCCGACGTCTTCGAAGTCGGCCGGGATTTTTAAAATAATAAATTATGGTCCAACCCAACCCAAGTATCACCTACAATACTTAGGGCGGCCGACGTCTTCGAAGTCGGCCGAGATTTTTAAAATAAGAAATTATTAATGGTCCAACCCAACCCAAGTATTACCTGCAACACTTAGGGTGGCCGACGTCTTCGAAGTCGGCCGAAATTTTTAAAATAAAAAATTATTTATAACCCAATCCAACCCAAGTATCACCTACAACACTTAGGGCGGCCGACGTCTTCGAAGTCGGCCAAGATTTTTAAAATAAGAAATTATTTATGGCACCCCACGACCGCCCCAAGCATTGTTATAATATAAAAAATAATCTCGGCCGATTTCGAAGACATCGGCCGCCCTAAGTACCCTGAACGATACTTTGGGCTTTGGCGTAGGGCGGCCGACATCTTCAAAGTCGGTTTAAGGTCTTTGCCCACTACACCGTTCCATACTAGGACCGTAACAGGAATGTGTCAAGCACGTAAAAAAACGTTCCGAACACTACTATGCCCACTGCAACTGCGTTCTATTCTCGTATGAAACGCGTATTATGCCCGTATGCAACGCGTATTATGCCCGTGTATGCAAACTGTAGATGCCCCGTTCGGATCCCGTTTAGTGCAGCACCAGATCTATTAGCTGTTGTAGGTTTTTGCTGTTGCGCATACCTGCGGATTATCTATCAGACAATTGGCAATGATTGCCATTATTTTGGACGAGGAAGAAGAAGTAACGCAAAAACAGCGACGACGGTATTGGATTCACGATGCTCTAAAAGAACGAAAAGCTGAGGACATTATTTAGACACTTAATTGATGATTAAGAAAAATTTTTCAATACTTTCAAATGTCATCATTTCAAATTTCCTTCCAGGCTCTCTCTTTCCTTTAAGTATCCATATATTTTGGATGTTGAAGGTTCACACCTGCTGCAGTGTTCTAACGCGAAAGGAATAGTAAAACAGATATTTAATTAATCATTGCGTCTAACACATATGATCTCACTTGCTTTTTTAAATACGCCAGATAATAGAATATTAAGTATTTATCAATTGTGTATTCAATCAGTGTTACGAAAATATTGAATGTTTTAAAAATTTAAGACCCAACTTTGCAGGTTTATAACTCCTCAGGGATACAACTTGATATAAAGATAATTAAATCATCTTAATTTATTGTCCTCTACATGTCCCTGCTCTGTGTCGGTTTTTATGTGAATCACCCTGTATAAAGATAATTTAATTTTTTTTTTCTAAGGGGATTTATCGTTGCTATGAAACAATTCGGTAATGGTGGAGCCTCTGGAATTGTTATTGGTATAATTGGGTTGTTAATAGCAATAGGGTTCTTATGTGCGGCTTTGGCTGATTTCTTTTTAATAACCAAGGTAATATTTTTTTGGAGATTTGAATCGAGGTGATTAATTGAGATTAATTTTAGATTCATCGTATGTATCGCAGTACCGGGGCCAGTTTCGCTAAAGCCCAACAGGAATTTACCACCGAATTCTTTAGGAATCAACACGTTAGAAACGCTGCTTCGAATATGGCAGCGGCCGCCGTTCAATCGCAATTTTCCAACAACCAAAACACTAACCGTTACTAATCGACTTATCACATCCACAGTATTTTTCATTTTTTATTATTTCTTTAAATAGTTCTGTTTTTGAGACCACTATTATGCACACGACTTTTAAAACGTAATCAGAGAAGTTATTTCAAAAAGTTTTAAATTATTTTAACACATATGTATGTGTATATAGAAGCGTACCAAAACAAATAAATATATTGAACCCAGACAAGAAAAAAAACAGTGAGTATTTGAGATTTGTTGACGACTTAAGTCGGATTAATTTATTTTAACGCAGGGCTGTGGTTTTTTTAACTTGTCGGTGAGAAACGAAACCCCACATAATTAAAAAAAAACGTTTTCCCACTTGTATATACATATGTGTATGTGTATATATTATTTTTTGTTTTTGGGTTTATTTAATTATTAACCAATTTTACGTTGTGCGCGGGTTCATATTTAAGATATGTCCGTTTATCAAAGACTAATTATATTTTTTAATGCAAAATTTGTTTCTCAACGGCCTCTAAAAAGTGGCGAAACAAATTTTTGTGTATGTATGTAATTCTTGAAGTATATAAAAAAATATAGTTATAAGTTATTTCATAATTATGAGTACTACTATTAGTAATATGAAAATTGTTCTATTATTCGCTGTTGTTTTTTTTTGTAATTACTTAAAAATCAGTAAATAAACTTGATAAACTAACAATATTTTTAGATTCTTATTAATATAGAGTCCAAAGTTGTTACACTTTCTACAAAGATCATAAGAAATATAGCGATTCAGGACAAATAGATCCTTCCAACTTATTATTTATTGAAGTATGCCTATTAAAACGTAGATGGGATGTATTTTTAGTCATTTAAGTTAAATAATGGAATTTTCCAAGTTCAACTGACGTTAGCTTGACGCTTGAATTCTCTAAAAAAAGATTGAGATAAGAAAAAAATTGTTTTTGTACATTTTTTTATTCGCACTGACCTAAGATGTTATTTGTAAATAGATTCAAGGTCGTTATGATACAAAGACTTAGCATGATGCAATGGAAATGTGAATTGCAGATCAAAAAGAGATTGTATTAATACATTTCTTTGGAGTTGAGAGATAACGGGTTATAAAAAAACATGTTTTGTACAGAAATAGCTTTTATTAGCTTAAAAACCCACAGTAATACATAATAACATAGAAATAGACGCGGATAATAACATTTAAAATGTATAAAATAGTTTATTTTAAGGCACAACAACTTTAGAAAATTTTTCTACACGCTACATTACTTTCATTTCCCCATTTTTTATCACACGTTAATGTTAATAAACAAAATAAAGGTTAATAAAGAAAGAAAACAATCCCAAACCATATATAAAAAATAACATCATAAAACGTTTAAAACTAAAGTTAAAATTAATAATAAAGTTAATAAAGATATAATCATTAAAACGTCAGCACGTTTAACAAATTATAAATGATATGATTAATTCTTGTGGAGTCAGCGACCCAAAAAAAAAACTTATTGATAAAATTAATAAAAGCAGATCTTAAAACGCAAAAATGGCTTTAATACAAGTTAAAATGACGTCATAACTTTTCTAACGCAATCGGAAACAAATTTATCCTCAGTTGAATCATTGGTGGATCCTCTTAAATAATACTCAAGGGAATTAATTGCGTCTTCAGAAAATTTCCTGCCTTTTAACGATGTCAAAACTTTCGCCTCCCCGGTAAATCCACTTTTACTCAAACCGGGCGGCACAAACATAGTTACACCTTTAATACGACCATTCTCCACCGACATATTTATGGTTAATTCGGAAGAAACTCCAGCGGTGTTTTTCAATATCGCGTTTGGTACGTGAAAAGAACGAGTGATTGTAAAATTTGGTGTTTTTCCATAGTTCCAATCCCATTTTGAGAGCTCATCACGAATCTCCATTAAACCTAAAAAATGCAATTGACGCATTTTATAACATTGCCAAAAAAATAAATGTTTTACGTAAAACCATTATAAAATGTAATAATAACTTTATGCGATAAAATGATAACGAATTTTATTAATACTGAAATGAATAGAGAGGGAAAATGAAAAAATGAAAAAAAGAAAAAAAGGGTGATGTTGAGACTTGAGAGAGCGAAAATAGTAGGATGAGGACTTTGCCCTGTCACCTTGGAGTGTACTTTGTGAAATATAAAGCGAGAACTGGTTGCCAGGAGAGACGTTACGTCACCCGCGATAAAAGTACAAAGTACATCCATGAGAATAACAAATGTTTTAAAACCACACATGATAATATAATTTCTTTTTACCGGGAAACCATTTCTCAGTGGGGTTAATCATGTTGAATCCTTTTTGTTGGTTTGCCAAATCTTTTCCACCATCTTTAAGGGTCAATGCTTCCGTTCGTAAAAATTCCCAACCAATTGCTGACAATAAACTTTCCACGTTAATCTTGTAATTTTCATCAGACAAATTCATATACTTCATCGTTGTTTTTGGCTGTAAAAATATATATAAAAAAAGTTGTTTACTTTTTGTGCGCCAAAGATAAGATAAGAAATATACAGTGTTTTAATAATAATATTGCGCGTTATCTTTCGAGTGTTAAGAAACAATATTTTAAGTTAAACCTTAAATTCTACGTTTGAACCCTAACTCAGTTTTAAAATTATTAAATCATCTTGCTGATACTTGCATATTTCGGGTTAATTTATGGATGTTGATTCTTTTGTAAAAACAATTTAAAGTTACAACTAGCAACAAGCTTTCAAAAAGTAATAAAACGACTTTAACGAGTAACGGTTTTATGATTTAGAAAGAGAAATATTTTTACTCATTTTGAGAAAATCATAAATTGAAATTTTTGTGAATCATTATAAAATAAGTTATAGTAAAATTATAAGCTTTCTAATGAAAGAAACCGATTTTGAAAATATCTTTTAGTTTTTGAGATATTAATTTTTACACATAATCTTGGAAAATTATTAAAAATGTTTTTGACTCCCTTGGTATTGATACAACTTTTAGGTTGGCTTGAAAATTCTTGTAGTTGTTTACATCTTTTTATATCTTATTAATTACATTCTTTTCTGATGATGTAATTAAATTTTAAAACCGGTGTTGATTCAAAATAACTTTTAATGTTAGTCTCTTTGCATAAAATGTAAAATCCTATTTTTAAAAATTGGCAATTCAAAATTGTCCGAAAATAGCGTTCCTTACCTCAGTTTTGCAAAGGGCATCAACAAGGTCAGGTTTGTTCACGTTCACAAGTAAGGAACAATGAAGATAAGAGCTATTATCGCCGATTTTTGACGCAGCATTTGACACCTAAATAATAAATAAAAAAATCTTTTTTTTAACTTTTTTGAAATACTTTTTACCTTATAATTTCGTATCATTAAATCGTTGTTGAGAGCTAAATTGGTTTTTAAGGTATATTCCCTAAAAAGAGCTCGACGAAGTATTTCCATGTTATATAAAGAGTCGTGGTCTTGGGTTGAAGTGAAAAAGGTTGCATTTAAATTGCCGTGATCCTGATAAGAGGCCGTTCCGTTAATAATTCTTCGAGCAAGTTTAACCCCATTTTCGGCCAAATGTTTATGATTTTTAATGTTAGTTTCAACCCATGGGTTTTGGGTATGTCCTATGACGATGCTTGGATCATTTTTCGTTAATAACATAACGTGGTGATCTTTAAAATCGAAATTTTGGTACAACCATTGCTCTAAAGCGAGATTGGTGTAGACGTCGTTCGATTGAGATATAAATACTGATTTTTTGATCGAACGAGACTTTAAAACGGCAGTGATTTTGTTTACTTTAGATCGTGCTAAAGCCATTTTCGCGATAAATTTTTCTTTATCACTGTTTTTTAATCAACAAGGAAAAAGGAATAAGTCTTTTTATTACTTAAAAAAATGTCTTAACTAAAACAGTCTTAGCACCAAGAAAATTCTCCGTAGCTGTTATGCCTTAAATGTATTTTTTTGAATTTTTTGGTGGTTTGATTTATTCAGCGTCCGTGTGCGAGGCAGCTAAAGAAATCAAATAATCGTGGACGGTGATGGTTTGATGGAGCCACTTCCACGTTTGGTGTAGCCCGTTAATACGGCAACGTATACCGACGCAATCTCCACAGCTATTGAGCATCACTCCCTTAGGTTCCAGGGTGCGGTTAAAAAACTTATTCGAGTCCCGTAAAAACGAAAAACGAACTCACAGGAAAACACAAACGTGCTAAAACTATTCAAATTCAGGTCGATTCGAACACGATTAAACCTTTTCTTCTTCCCTCGCGCGAACTTTCGTTTCGTTTCGTTTCGACAGCAAACACACGACTGATACTAAATTTAGATATTTACCGTTTTATATAAGCGTTAACGCGACAAAAATAAAACCCAACTGGCGCTTATCGTTTGATAAAAACTTGCAAACTCCACCTACTTGAATCTCTCACTTCTATCTGGTTACTGTTTATTTATTCAATGTCTAGATGACAGATCACAAATATTTCTAAACATACACAACCAGTTTATCCCACTTCCTTTCACAACATTACATTTCTTTCATCTTTTTTAATTATATTCGGTTTCACTTAAACTAATTTTATTACAATTCCTTATATTTATTTTATTTATCATTTAATTCAACCATTTTTGTATTTCTTATTTTTAAATAAATTCCTCAAATAATCATTAATCTTTGGTGTTTACTAAGTTTCCTATCTTTTTAGGGGTCACCTTCTATAAGTTTTAATGGCACATAGATGGCGTTTTCGCATTATCTTGGATTATTCTAGAGCCCTGTAATTCCTGATTCATCCCTACAACATATCTGGGTATATTGTTATGCTGGAGAACCTATTATATAGAATACGAATTTAGGTATTCTATATAATGCCTAGGTAATGTATAAAATACCTGAGGTGTCTAGGCAATGTATGAAATATTAAGTAATGTATATGTTACCGTTAATCTGTATAATTCAGGTACTCTATACAATGCCTAGGTAATAATAATAATAATAATAATAATACTTTATTGAGCTTCTCAATTACAATAATAAAGTAACAGTATCCTTATATGTGCTCAATATGAGTTAGTTCGGTTTTCACCGTTCTTCCACCAACCCATCACAACGAAAAGAAAAACAAAACAATAATTTCAATTACATAACCGTAATCGCAGTGTAACATACATACATTATAACCTAATAAATCTAATCAAAATTCATGCCACAAAAGACCGATGCAAACAAAAGAAAAATATGAAATATGTCGCTCACTCCCACTTCTACAGATTCCCGTGTCCCTGTATTAACACTGTCCTCTTAAACTGCCACTCAGACGAGCACACTCCAACATTCATAATAATATCATTAAATATGTTACTAATTTGATAGGTAAAACTGTTTTTAAAGAATTCAGTTCTGTGTATGGGCGGCGTTATCGTACCTTTAAATCTTATATTAAGATTGTGCACGTCCGAGCGGAAGGTAATTTTATCATACAAATATGCAGGTTTCTCCTTGGTGACCACATTGCGAAACAACAATGCCGAGTGCGCCAAACGTCGCGACTGCATGTCCATCCAGCCGATTTCCGACAGTTTACTACTTACATGGTCCCTTCGCCTCAACCCAAACAATAGTCTTATACAGGAGTTTTGAACTTTTTGAATTTTAGACTTAAGTACACAAGACAAAAACGGATAATACAAGCAATCCGCAAAATTAAAGTGCGATAACACTATGCTGTCACATAGTAATCGTTTAGTTGTTCTATTGATGTACTCTCGGTTGCAATAAATCAATTTCAATGACGCATATGCTTTTTGTACACACTTATTAACATGAGAATCAAACTTTAAATTTTCGTCAAGAATTACTCCTAAGTCTTTTGCTGATTTACTAATTATCAATTGCTTATTGTTGATTTCAATTTTGATTTTATTTTGTAATTTAATTTTAAGTTTTTTGGGACCAAACAGCATTAATTCTGTTTTTTGCGGGTTGATGCAAAGGCCATGCCCCTCGGAAACCCGTACCAACCTTTGCAAGTCTTCATTAATTTTTGCGCACGCCACATCCACCTCCGATTCAGTGAATGAATGGTATATTTGTGTGTCGTCAGCATACCAATGGGCACTGCAATACCGAATTCTGTCTTTGAATTGACTTGTGTATATACTATACAACAAGGGAGATATCATTGATCCCTGAGGACATCCGACCTTAACAAATGACGGCTTAGAGAAGCGACCATTTATTACGACTTGCTGTTCCCTATCAGACAAGTAACTCATCAAAAGACCTACTGCTGGTTGACTCACCCCAATATGATACAAAATTGAGGACAACATTTTATGATTCATCCTGTCAAATGCCTTCGAATAATCAAGCAAACACAGTACCGTTACTTTACCGCTATCGGACGCCCTCAGTACATCATCCACTATGTTAAGCAAAGCCGTAGCGCAGCCATAACCCGCTCTGAAACCAGATTGCGTTTCTGGCAACAATTTATGTTTGTAAACAAACGCCTGGAGCTGCTCACACATAATTTTCTCCAGCACCTTAGACAACACTGGTAGAATGCTAATCGGACGTAAATCAGCAAATGAATCTGGCTTTTTTTTCTTTGGTAATGGAACTATTTTCGCCTTTTTCCAAGCGTCTGGAAATCGACCGTCCGACAAACAGCAATTAACTATATCTTTAATTTGAGGTATTATGTGAGGGCAACAGTAATTAATCATTTTAATATTAAGTCCATCTAATCCTGTGGCGTTACTTCTTATGCAGTTAATAACTTCCTCTATTTTAGCATCACTGACACATTCAAAATTGAAAATATGTTTTGTGACTACATTATTCATATAAGATTGATATAGATCTCTGTCAATGTCCCCATTCAGAGGAGCTATATTTGTGAAATAGTTGTTAATTTGATCCGAGTCAGCAAGCTGCTCAGGAATACTGTCAGTTGTGCGAGTTAAAATTCTACACTTCCGCAACGCTATCCATGGATTAGTTTCCAATCCCATACAATGACTAACATACGCCTTTCTTTCTCTGTTTATGGCTCCCTTTACATAATTCCTCATATCTTTATAGTATTGCCCAGACTCATTTGTTTTTAATGATCTATATTTTTTATATGCTTTATCTCGAAGCTTTTGCATTCTCCTTATTGTGTCCGTTATCCAAGGTGTCGGGGCAGCACATTCTTTAAAAGTTCGCACTGGAGCGTGAGCATCAAAAAGTGTCAGAATATTTTCCGTCAAAAACCTTACTTTATCGTTAACATCAATCATATCAAAACTTAGAAAAAAAGGAATAGCATACAGATCCTGCAAAAACCTTTGATAAACAAAATTTGAAAAGATACGCCTAGTGACAGAAGCAGGCAATGTAGGCAATGTATAAAATACCTGGGGTGTCTAAGCAATGTATGAAATATTATGAAGATTATTATTATTTAGATACTTTACCTAGGTAATGTATACAATTCTTAGGGATTACATAGAGTACCTGTTGGTCGACCGGCAATGTGTAAAATAAATAGATTTCGGTCTGTATTTATCAATTTTTACTCATAATAAACTTTTATTACATTATTAAATTACATTAAACTTAAAATTTTTCTGGGTTAACTAACATAATGTCATTTGCTTATAAGTAATCAAGTAATAAGTATTAAAAACTTAAGAAACAAAATAATTTTGTAAACACAAGACGTAGATCCACTGACCTCTCAGAATTGAATAAGTAAAAAAATTCTCTCTCTTCTGTTCTTGCCTTTTACACATTGCCGGCTTCGCATTCGGTATTTCATGGAATACTTAGGCAAAGTATAAAATTAATAATATTTCATATATTACCTAAACGTTTTAGGTATTCTATAAATTAATAATTATTTGGTTATTTCTTTCCATCACAATTTTAATGTAAATGCAATAAAACTATGTGTATTTATAGATGGATTTTTTTATATTCAGCTCTACCGGTTTCGATCAATACATTTAATCATCTTCAGGAGCAACGTCAGTAAAAATATTTTTAAAAAACATAATAGTTAGTTAATTAAGCTGTTATTTTCTCAATCTTGATTATTTAACTCTTCTCTTCCTTGTTACCCAGTTATTAAATCAGAAATATCCAATAAGGCTACCATGCAACAATATGCACCAAATGATTAAATGTATTGATCGAAACCGGTAGATCTGAAAATAAAAAAATCCATCTATAAATACACACAGTTTTATTGCATTTACATTCTATAAATTGCCTAGGTATTGTATAGAATACCAAATTATACAGATTGCCGGTAACATATACAATTCTTAGGGATTATATAGAGTACCTGTTGGTCGACCGGCAATGTGTAAAATAAATATACAGGGTAATTCAAATTCGACCTCAGAAACCATAACAGATACAGAAATGATACATCTTAGAGCGTATCATTTTTCAACAAAGTTTTTGGAACTAGCCGTTTTAGTTTTTAAAACAAAAAAATTACTTTTGTTTTTTGCCTATAACTTCTTTATTTTTCGTTTTTTCGTGAATCTGAAAAAACATTGTTAAGACAACTTTTTATGAAAAATGTCACGACACTACTAGAAATTTTCTCCGACGTTTCGTTTTCGTGAAACTATCATCAGGTTAATTTATTTTTTTTAATAATTCAATGTTTTTTTAAATGAAATATACCGTATGACGTATTATTGAAATCAGAATTAATTAACCTATTTTTTGGTGTGAATCAAATAAATAAACCTGATGATAGTTTCACAAAAACGAAACGTCGGAGAGAATTTTTAGTACAAAAAAGGCACCTAGTACCTTTCTGTAACTATAGTAAAATCACAATTAACTAACATAATGTAAAACTTAGGAAACAAAATAATTCTACAAAAACAAGACCAATTTTCATGAGCAATTTTCGTCAACTAAGTTTTAAAAATTCGTATAAAATCCATTTCTTGGAATATGAGTTTGAAAATTTCCCAAAATGTTAATAAAAGTGTAAAAGTGTAAATAAAAGTCCTCTTTCCAATGAACCAACCCGTTTTGAAAAATAACTTTTAGTTTTTGAGAAAACAATATTTGAAGTTTTGATAAAATTTTCGATGTTGCGATAATTTTCAAAATTCGCTATAAAATTAATTTCTTAAAGGATCCTTGTGGAAATATCACCAAATATTAATTAAAGTATCCTCTTTTTAATGCAAAAAGCCATTTTGAAAAATCACTTTCAGTTCTTGAGAAATAAATTTTTTAAATGATCGACAAATTTTAGAAATTTGCAATTTTCGCTGACTAAGTTTTAAAAATTCGTATAAAATCCATTTCTTGTAATATGAGTGTGAAAATCCGGCTTTTCGCAAAATCACTATCCGTTCCATCACCTATACAGTGTATTTATGGAATCCTACAGTCTTTAGAACTGGAACAAATATTCAAAAATTTATTCTTCTGCCTGATTTGAAAAAGAACATCGTATCGTGTTACAAGAGAAATTATAAAATGAAAGTCTTTCAGTTATTCTCCAAGTGTTGTCACTTCGTTTTCACTTACTTGCAAACATCTCTTCTAATATCTCATCCAAAATGATAGAGTTCATACTAAGTTCCAAAGTATTTCTTATACAGTTCCTCATACAACTAAGTTCCAAAGAAATCTAAGCCGAAAGCGACCCAACTACATTGCAAGTCAACCTAAGCTGGAAACAACCCAACTCCAAACCAAACCAACGTTGAAGAATGCACCATAATCCCTCGCTTGCGGCTGAGGCATTATAATTGATACCATATCGATACAACATTAAATAACATATATTGCAACGCCTCAACAGCAAGGGACCTCAGCTTAATTTTACAACAATAAACACTTTTGTTAGTTTCCTATCAGTTTAGTATTGTAGCCTTTGATCCACCTCCTTTACATATTCAACCTTCATCTTAAATTTTTTTTTCTTAATATGTCAGGCTCAGCCTTGAGTATCAACTTTTCTTCATTTCCTGCGTACGGTAGCTCTCCCTGAAAGTGTGCTTCCCTTTCATCATCGAATTTTGAGCACCTTAATGTTAGTGAGAGTTGCTCTCTATGGCTTATATCAGGAGTACAGTCAGCTATGATTACAAATTGCTTTGAATTCCTTACGTGGCATAATATTGTGGATTTAACTTGCGATGACATTAATTCTATCAATTCATTTTGTTATATTTTTGCTACAATAATGGTCAGCCACTATCATTTAAAGTTTGAAGCAAAGCTACACGCTTTCAAAAAGCATGTTTTCAGTCCTCAGCAAGCAGGATTTAGTCTTCTACAAGTATTTAATATTTTCCAAGCAATATCAAGTTTTATGCAAATTGCATTCAGTCTGCTACGAGTAATATTTAGTGCTCAACAAGCAGTACCTAGTCCTTTACATGTATTTAGTCTTTTTTCTAGTAATATCCAGTCTTCTCCAAGCAATATCTAGTATTTTGCAAGCTGAATGATCTATTTGGTACTTAAATATTGTTTACGCTGACGGGAATATGGAAATATTAGCCTCATTTAACTTTCTCCACAGCCATACTGCCATTATGGCATTTTCAGCAAAAATGTAATTATGGCAAATTCAGCACTGCTTTTTAGTACTTATTTGGTGGAGGTTTGTAGGTCAATATGTTAGCTTGCCAGATGATAATGTTTTGCACGTTACTTGACGGACTGCTTGAAGAAGCTTTTTACTTTTGTAGTACCTACTTTCCTATTGGACATGTTTACTTTGTATGTCTATGCTGATAGATATTTCATAGATGATGCTCAGTGGATTGATGACAAACTGAAAAGTTTGAAAGCTCTCATTGCTAATTTGACATGCTCCTTTATGTCAGGGTCAAACCTTGCCATTAATTGTACGAGTCCTAAAAATTTCCCATTATTTGAGGTAAATAATTTATCAAAAGATCCTCTGAAAGCCAGATATAAAATCTGAATACATTAAAATTTAACTGAGCTACAGAGGAAAACAGCAAAAAACATCAAAGTATTGCATTTATTGTTGCTTTATGATTATTTTTATGATTTTTACGTTATTAGCTATTTAATACTTGATCCTAAAGCCACCACTGCTCTAGAGTACTGCAGATTTTGATGCTTGAGGAAAATAATTCTGCGATTACTACTAAAAATGTAATCAAAGTATTTGGCATGTTTCCAAGTTGCTGAAGTCACTGATTCTGGACATAATAAATCCAAAATTAATAAAATTCTCTTTATTGCATAAATTCTAAAATAAAATTTTCTGTATATTGGGTTGCATAAACTTTAGATCTAAATTTTACTTCACCTAAAATACCTAGATGGCGCAGAAGTTTGTTTAGAAACTTTTAGAAAGTATTCTAAATCGACTTGTATCATCATTCTCGGTTTATTTCGTTTTAAAATTGCGAGAGGATCGGTATTTCATCTATAATCTAGGTGAGTTCAAGTCTTTGTCATTATCAGCAACCGAGATTTACGTTTAATTTCGTTGTCATCCAGGTGTTCCATTTTATACGAATAATTTCTAATCCAGTAACCAGGAAAAATGTCAGGTTAGTGTAAAGAAGTAATAAATTTTTTCCCGTATTTGCTTATTTCACAATTCTCATTGACCTAATATGCTTATTTCATAATTAACATTCACTCCTAGAATGAAGATAGCAATTTCTCACTTAATTATTCATGTAACCTTGAGAAATAAACGTGATCTTTCAATGACACTTTAATCATATTCTCATTTTTTTAATGTTTTATAGCTGAGGTTCAACAAACTGAAGAATGTCTGGATTTGTACAGGAAATCTTTAAAAATCATCGAGACAGATCACGATGGGGCACAATTCGATATGGATCGTCCCCATGCTTTTGTTGTATTGGGAGCTTCAGTAATTATTAAATATGAAAATGTCCAATGAAATTTAAAACTTTGTTATTTTTTCTTAATTCAGGGTGATTTAGCCATGAAGAAAATTTATCCAACTCTTTGGTGGTTATTCAGAGATGGTCTCCTCCCAGTAGACACAACATTTTATGGCTTTGCAAGATCAGCAATGGATATTATAGCTCTACGTGGATTGTGCCACAACAATATGAAGGTAAAAACAACTTTTAGACAGATTGGGATTATCACTCAATTTAATCATTTTATTATTTAGGTAAAAGATAGTGAATCTTCAGTTTATGAAGCATTCTGGAAGCGGAACTTTTACATTAAAGGAAAATATGATGACTGTCATGATTTTGAAAGGTTGGATGCTGAAATTGTTGCCCGAGAAAAAATTATTGCCAATAGAATTTTTTATCTTGCCTTACCACCATCTGTTTATGAAAACGTCACTGTTAATATTAAAAATGCTTGTTTGTCTAAAAAGTAAGTTGTTCAAAATATCCTGGGTATTCCATTAAGGGCTGTATCTCAATAATGTGTAAATCCTTATAGCCAAAAAGTTAGATGATGAGCTATGACTTTAACAACATTATTTGATAGCTTGGATATTACCACATCATTTTTGTATTGCAACATTTTTTATATCTGTCATAATAAGAGAGCATGCATTTTCAAATGTTTACATATAAATATCTCCTGGACCATTCAGCCGATTTGAATATATTTGGTCTTGTTTGAAAGAGCATTTCATTCACTTTTAAAAGATATTTTCAGTAAGACCGTTTAATTTAAAACAAATAAGCTAGAGGGCGTTATCTGCAGCGATTACATATTTTTGTAATAAAAAAAAAAAAAAAATTGAACGGAACGGTACTATTTACTTCACAGACCTTTACTCACCATAAAATTTGCTAAATATTAGTGAAAACCGCGTCTCGATATCTCCATCCATTTTTGAATTAATACGAATTTTGAACATTTTCTTCTATAATTCGAGATGTTGCAATTTTCATAATAATAACTTTCAAAATTCGCTATAAAATTAATTAAAATATCCTCTCTTTAATACAAAAAGCCGTTTTGAAAAATTACTTGCAGTTCTTGAGAAATAAATTTTTGAAATGATCGACAATTTTTTCGAATTTTGCAATTTTCGCCGATTAAGTTTTAAAAATTCGTATAAAATCCAGTTCTTGGAATATGAGTTTAAAAATTTCCCAAAGTGTTAATAAGAGTGTCCTCTTTCCAATGAACCAACCCGTTTTGTAAAATAACTTTTAGTTTTTGAGAAAACAATATTTGAAGTTTTGATAAAATTTTCGATGTTGCAATTTTCATCGATAATTTTCAAAATTCGCTATAAAATTAATTTCTTGAAGGATCCTTGTGGAAATATCACCAATTATTAATTAAAGTATCCTCTTTTTAATGCAAAAAGCCGTTTTGAAAAATCACTTTTAGTTCTTGAGAAATAAATTTTTGAAATAATCAAAATTTTGCAATTTTCGCCGATTAAGTTTTAAAAATTCGTATAAAATCCAGTTCTTGGAATATGAGTTTGAAAATTTCCCAAAGTGTTAATAAAAGTGTCCTCTTTCTAATGAACCAACCCGTTTTGAAAAATAACTTTTAGGTTTTGAGAAAACAATATTTGAAGCAATAAGTTGACGTATCTTATCAAAATAATTTCCAGATATTTCTCTTGTCCACTTTGCCGATTACTATTTTTTCCCAAACCTCGGCCTTACAGTTGTCGAGATACTTACCCTTAATGGGACACCCGTTAAGAAATTTTAATCAGGAAATTTTACTACACGTTTATTTATTTTTTTTTATTTAGAGGTTGGACGAGAGTTATTATAGAAAAACCATTCGGTAGAGACTTGGCCAGCTCTCAAGTTCTTTCCGATCACATCGCACGATTATTTACAGAAAAGCAAGTTTATAGAATCGATCATTACTTAGGAAAAGAGATGGTCCAAAATCTGATGACTTTAAGGTATTAATTTAAATTTTTTTTCCGATTTCTAACATTTTTCAAATTTAAGATTTGGTAACCGAATTTTCTCACCGACTTGGAATCGCGATAACATCGCCTCAATTCAAATCTCGTTCAAAGAACCGTTTGGCACTCAAGGTCGCGGTGGTTATTTCGATAACTTCGGAATTATTCGCGATATAATGCAAAATCATCTTTTACAAATCCTCACGCTTGTTGCGATGGAAAAGCCGGCTTCGTGTCATCCCGACGATATTCGTAACGAAAAAGTTAAAGTTCTTCGCTGCATAAAACCACTTCAAATGGAAGACGTCGTTTTGGGGCAATATGTTGGGAACCCAGATGGTGAGGGTGAAGCGAAATTAGGTTACTTGGACGATCCAACCGTTCCTAATAATTCGAACACCCCGACTTATGCTCTGGGAGTCTTGCACATTAAGAATGAACGCTGGGATGGGGTTCCTTTCATTTTAAAATGTGGAAAAGCTTTAAATGAACGCAAAGCGGAAGTTCGCATTCAATATAAAGATGTTGCTGGGGACATTTTTGAAGGGCAACCAAAAAGAAATGAATTGGTTATTAAAGTTCAACCTGGCGAAGCTTTGTATGTTAAATTAATGGTAAAAACTCCAGGGATGACTTTTGATATGGAGGAAACTGAGTTGGATTTAACTTATGGGAGTCGATATTCTGTAAGATTTAATAGTTATTTATATATGAGTGTTATTTGTTTCTTTTTAGAACATAAAGTTGCCTGATGCTTATGAAAGATTAATTTTGGATGTATTTTGCGGCTCCCAAATGCATTTCGTTCGTGCCGACGAGTTGCGCGAAGCTTGGAGAATTTTTACCCCGATTCTTCACAAGATTGAAAAGGAAAATATCGCCCCGATTAAATACATGTACGTTTTTAAAACGATTTTTTAATAAATCTAAATAAATTAAAATTTTAGGTTTGGAAGTCGCGGCCCAAAAGAAGCCGATGACAAAGTATTCAGCAATAATTTCCAATACTCAGGCTCCTACAAGTGGAAATCCTCTTCTTTATAAAATAATAACATATATCATTTACAATTTTATTAGGTTAGTTCCAAAAAATAATTAATCCCAGTTTCTTGCAATGTTTCTTGTGATAAAACGCAAAGGCGTGTTATTTTTGTTATGATTAAAACGATTTTGTACGTTTGTAATATTTATTGAAACGCAATACATTCCATTTTCAATAACACTCTATTGTTTTACTTCAAAAATAACACCAAAAAATAAATCTCATTTAAAAAATCAACGTTTTGCGCATGCGTAATTTTTTAAATGTACACTAATATACATACATTAGTTATAAATAATATTAATAATAAATAATACTTAACATTCGTTCACCTGTAGCAGTAAACCCAAAATTTTCCTCTGAAAAGAAAAAAAAAGAAAAAGAACGTTCAAAAAAAATTTTACATTTCAATTTTTAAAGCTTTTAAGAGTCTCGGTGCGTAAAAGCAAGAAATGCGTGATCAGAAGCTTTGTACATAAATGGCCTGAAAAAAAAACCACAACCAAACTCAAAATAAAAATTAATTAACGAAGAAACGGCAAGCAAGACGTCAAGAATTGAAGAAACGTGCGGGCAAGCAGTGTTGTTAGTCAAAATCCACAACAAGAAGTGTGTTAATAGTTTTTGAGACAGAAAAACTTTGCTGGGTGATTATTATTACCAGGCGCGGATGTCTGCTTGCAAAATATGGTCAATTATGCTTTGAACCACATCTGTACTGCTGTTTGATCCTCCCAAATCTATAAAAAAATTAATCAAGAACTCATTAAACACCAAAATCATCACTAAATTACCTGGAGTACGAATATTATCCTCACAAATAGTTCTCAAAATAGCATTTTCAATTAATTCGGCATGGCGGGTGTGTCCCAAATGTTGTAACATAGCCACGGAAGCATTTAACATCGCAATGGGGTTGGCTATGTTTTTTCCGGCAATCGCAGTTCCGGTGTTACGAGTTCCAGGTTCGAAAATGGCGTACTAAAACATCGATTTTTATTGAATTGAAATTTTGTTCATCGAAAATTTACGTGATCCCCATAATTCTTTCCGCATAAAAGTCCAGCGCCTCCGATTAATCCGCAAACGACGTTCGAAACAATACTTCCGTAAAGATTTGTCATCATCATCACATCGAATTGGTGTGGGTTCGAAACGAGTTGCATGCAACAGTTATCGATGATCATATCGTTGTGTTCTATGTCTGGGTATTCTTTAGCGATGCGACGGGATGTTTCTAAGAATAATCCGTCGGATAATTTCCTTTAATTAAAAAAAAATTTAATTAAAAAAAATTAATTGTTTTTTTCTTATTTTACATAATATTTGCTTTGTGTATTGTTGTAACCTTTTTTCTTCCATTCCTTCTGGCGTATTCGAAAGCCCATCGTGCAACTCGTTCTGAATTTGACTTAGTTACCACTTTCATGCTTTCAACAACGCCATCAACGCTCTAAAAAATTAAAATATAAACCCAAAAAACAAAAATAAATAAAGATTTCTATTTAATAACACCTCATGTTCTAACATAGCATATTCCCCTTCCGTATTTTGACGAATAATCATAATATCAATATTTTTTTGTCTGGCTTGAACCCCGGGGAACGATTTGCAATGCAAAACATTAACATATAAGTCTAATTCGTTCCTAATCGCAACATTACGCGATTGAACCTCAGCGCTTTCGCTTTTCGTCTCGATGTTTCCTTTAATAGCAACGCCGTTTCGTTTAATTGACGTGATGGCGTAGTCTAGTTCTTGGTTATCATCACTTTTCGGGTCAATATTAACTACTTGGAAATCTACTGGTGCGCCGGCATATCGAAAAACATCTTTTACATAATTCATAAGTTCTGGGCCAATACCGCTACCAGGTAACATTGTTACTGCATGACGACCACCATATAATGCAATAGGAATTGGAGTCTAAAAAAATAATGTTTTTAATTTATTGGAATTATTGAACTAAAATTAACTATAAAACGAATTAACTAATAATACAAAAAATTAAATTTTAATCCTAAAAAATTTTTTAGAAAGATACTACTTTGGAAGCGAATTGGAAATTCCATTCCTCGAAATCAACTTATCCACATTTTCAAACAAAAAATCATTATCATGGTGAAGTAACGATCTCCATTCAGGCTTCATTTTTGAAGGAGTAAGGTCCAATGATGCCACCAGCGTGTGAACCACACCAAACGGTGCATTTTTCTGGTTGGAATGAAGTCTGTTGTAGATTGGTTTCACTCCATATGCGTCAATTTTGTTTATTAACAAACTCGTTAAGCCAAAAATTAGCCTCATTTTGCCAATTTCTCTAGAGCTTTGATGATGATGGTCTTATGGCTTTAATTCCTGCACCAGTTGGATCTTAAACGAGTGTAGCTCAAGATCCTTGCGCAAAATTTATGTGAATTGATGACTGATTTTCAAAATAAATCTGGATAATTTGGTAGCGTTGTTGAACCGTCAATTAATAACTTTTCATTAATTTTTTCTATATCAAGCATAGCACAATTGTATAACACCTAGTAAATACTAATTACTTATTTTTAACACCAAATTAAACGAGATAATGTTTTGCAGCTTTTCCCAATGGTTCCCAGTGCGGTTTTTGAATACAAGATTGGTCGTTGTGGGGCAAATAGTAAGGAGCTTTAAACGTTGTTAAGGGGAATCGCGCTAGCTCCGACCCTGATACCATAAATCAGTTCTTCATAAACTCGTTGCCCAATTTGCCACGCGACAATGAAATGTATAATTTTTAAATGGGTGCTTCTCTGTAGGTTATTTCCCCACTTGTTGGAAAAGGTCCATGGTTCTGCCTCTACCAAAGAAAGCGAATGTTGATCACCTCAAAGACCTTCGTCCAATTAGTATTTTACCGATATTGGCAAAAATAACAGAAAGAGTAATTTTACCGCCTGCACACTCAGGTTTTAGAAAGCATTATGGCTGTAATACAGCTCTATTGAATATTGTGGACGATGTCATACGAAGCACAGACCAAGGGAAATTGACTTTGATGTGTCTCTTAGATTATTCAAAGGATTTTGATACTATCAATCATGACTTGATGTATGCCATACTTCGCTACATTGGGTTTGATGATCTTGCATCGGGGTTTTTGTACAGTTACTTGTCGGGCAGAATGCAGTGCGTGAAGGTGAATGGTCGCGTTTCGACAACGTCCAGTGTTCAATTTTGTGTGAGAAACTTGGGAGTCTTATTGGACGAAAATCTCTCTTAAACTGATTTATGGCGGTCGATCGTTCCTCAAATCTTTTGCTGTTACCGCATTTTAATTATTGTGATACATTGTATGATCCGTGTATTTCGTATAGTAACACGAAAAAAAATCAGAAAATTCAAAATTCTTGCTGTTCCGCGCAAATTAAAGGATTTGAGTTGGCTCAACATGAAAAACAGGCGCATACTTCATTCGGCGATTTTGTTCTTTAATATAATTACTTTAAAGAAACCTCCATACTTGTTCAATAGAATAAAATTTCGTACCGATGTTCATACCTTGAATTATATCCATCATCACCAGTTATTTAAGAAATGATTTTCATACCAAATAACACATATTTTTAATGATTATGAATTATAAAATGTAGCACTTCTTTAAGTTGTTTCGTCACAGAATGAGGGGCCGCTTGTCTCAAATTCGCATTGTAGGGCGACAGGGATCGGGCAGTTTGCGTTTGGTAATTGATTATGATTTCAGTATCATCTTCTTCTTTTTCTCTCTTGTATATTTAGAATTAGTTTTATTAGGTTTGAGTGGAAGAGCAGGTGCTGTTACGGCTGCACCTGAACTCCGCCTAATTTGTCCTGGCTTAATTTATAATAATTTTATATATACTAAGTCAATGTACAGGTGTCTAAATTTCGATGGGTTTGCAGGGTATCTCAGTTACTATGAAACTTTTTATTCTGAACTACTTTTTTTGTGAAACTTACAATGGTGCAAACCAAATTTTCATAGCCCCCGTCGTTTTTACGATTTAAATTTCGAAATTTACAATTTTCAGACACCACCTGTATCTCGGCTATCCGGAAACTAAGTAAAAAAGTAAAAACGGCTTCTAATAGATTTTTTCACGTGGAATCCAATGGTGCACGCATTTTTCTAGTCATGACGGTTTTTGAGTTATGAACACAACTCAAATACTGAATATTCAACTTCTAAAATACTTAACTCTTTATAACTCAAAAACCGTGATGACTAGAAAAATTCTACGTGCACCATTGGATTCTACGTGAAAAAATCTTCGTTTTTACGTTTACGGATAGCCGAGATACAGGAGGTGTGAAATTTTGAAACACTCCCTGTATATCAAAAACAAAGAGGGCTATGAAAATTTGCTTTGCGCCATTGTAAGTTTCACAAAAAAAGTAGCTCAGGTTCATTCTATCTTTCATAATAACTGAAATATCCTGCAAACCCATCGAAATTTGGACACCCTGTACATCTAATGGGACAAATAAAGTCATATTATTATTATTATTTAGCATAGTTGTTGGACTGTCTGATGTAAAAGTTTCTTTCAGATGTTCAGCAAACAAATTAACTTTTTCTTGATTGCCACAGAGAATAATCAGTACTGAATAATTGAATATTATTTTCTTTGTGGCTATCTGTTAATGCTCTTAATTCGGCTGTTATTTTGTTTAATTTAGTTTTATCACTAGGAATTCTATTGGTTTGCCATTTCTTTCGTGCTTTCTGTTTTTCTGCAATTTTGTCTCTAATGAATTTAGGGTAAATATCAGATTTAGGTTTTAGTGTCAAAATTGGTGTTGAGGCCCAGGCTGCGTTTTGTATGTCTTTTAAGAACTTTTCTACTTCATTGTCAATGTTTTTGTCCGGAATTTTACTTCTATCTGTTGGCCAGTAAGTTGGCTTCCCAGTGGAGAGTACATCACAATTAAGATCTGTTATAACTTTAGCCCTTCAAAAGTTTAGGGCCTTAATGAACCTTAATATTGCTACAAGGTCTTGTTTCTTTATGTCGGTAGGTGTCAAAAGAGCTTTACCAAAAATTTGTTATGCAATTACACAGTATATGTTCAGCCATTTCTGACTTGTCGTTGCGAAGTCGACAACTTTGATCCTCAGCTTGTCCAATGTGGATGAGGCGGTTTTTAGGGGCGCGTGGCTGGTCAGAAAAGCTGAGAGCGTCCTTAGATCCCCTTTGCTGAAGCATAAAAGAGGTTATCATACTGGAAGTGGTTGGGGGGCGTTTTCACCGCCTCTTTGGCCAGCTTGTCTGCCTTCTCATTGCCCTCAATGTCTCTGTGTCCTGGAACCCACCATAAAGTAATCTAAATTACCTTTGCATCTATCCCTTTTATAAGTTTAAAGAGGTGCAGAAGTTTATTGCAAGTACTTCTGCTTGAAAAATGGTTATGTCTGAGCTGATGGGCAATTTAATGTGGATCTGCCTACTCTGGATCCAACTATCTTTGAAGCATCCATGTACCTAGGGCTCCTCTTTTTAGTAAAAAAAAAGTAGAAATAAAACTACATCACTAGGCTAAACCTGAATCCTTCTAATTCTTGTTATTTATTAATATTATTTTTAAACTTACTTGTTTTCGAACTAATGGTGTTTTATGTTGAAGTTCAAAAGCTGACATAGTAGATGCCTTAAAAAAAAATTATTACTCAATAAAAAAAAAATTATTAATTTTAATAATGTTACATTTCTGAGTGTTCTTCCCAAGTCGACAAAACGTTTTCCAAAAACTGTGGCGGCCATTGTGTTGCAGAATCACTTTTTAAAGTTAAATTTAGGGGAAAATTTTTTTAAAAAACACTGTTTATTTCGCCTAAATTTGGTGGAGAGCCTCTTATATCATCACATGAGTAATTTAGGTTATATTCGATATTTACGCCATCTGTGAATAGATAAGCGGGGTTTATTTGAGTAATTAGTTGTTAGATGGCGCCAAAAATGTATATTTTTTTAATCCAAATAGATATGGAAATGCAGTTGTCATGGTAATAAATCAAGAATCGGTTAAAATTTAAAATTTTTGCTCTCATATTTCATTATCTAATCTAATTTTGCAAAACCGGGAATTACAATCTTATTACTTAGGAATCAAATTGTATGCACAATACAGAAATTTGAGCACGTTCTTATTACAAAAACAAATACTTTTTTAAAGCTAAATTACATCCAATGCATTTTATGACTTTCAGAAATTCGATTTATAGTTTTTCATGTTCATTATAAACCAAAAATAGGAGATATCGCATAAATTACCATCTGGTTAATAGACACGTAAATGCACTTCAATTAGCGGTTAATTGTAATGACGGAAAAGCATGTAACAAAAATTGAAATGCGTTCGTAAACATTTAGACAATTAAAGTGATTTGTGTACGAACTATATGACGTCAAGTTAATGACCAGAAAAAGAAAGCATTTATAAGGGTTTAATGAAATAATGAACCATTTTTTAGGTTTCCATCGCTTCTAATTTTCGAATTACCTTATTGAACCCCTACGATAAGAAAATGTTGCAAAATGATCTTTTCGTTATCGGTTATAAAACCGTACTTATTAATTTTTGTTGCCAACCAGGAGTATATTTATATCGTTTTTTATAAATCTCCAATAATAAGGTGCAATGCGATAACCAGACGGGGTATCCTATTGTTATTCGCGTCAGGTTTTTGTATCCTTAAAACATTTTCAAATGCGTACGAAGGTCAATAATTAGAATATAATCGCGGAAGGAAAGATAAAGAAAATTAATTTAAAACAAAAATTTTAATGAAGGAACGAAATTTAAATGGAAAATTTAATATTCAATTTCCTTTAATCGCACTTTTTTTATTCAAAACATCCGAGTGTTAGGTATTTATTATATTTTAATGAGTTTCGATTATTTTAATTGCTTCGATATTGTGGCTGTAATTTTGAACTTTAAACAGCAAATTTTTAATTATATAAAAAAGGTCGATGTTGCATCATATACAAGGAAATAAGAATTCCGGGTTGTTTATTTTTGTTTGTTTATCTTTAATATTTTTTCGTTACAAACAGAGAAAGAGTGTAACCTTGAAGGAAACGAGGAGAGTTATTGATTTATGCACCTCGTGTAAACGGTCAAACACGGAGGAGGATTGATTGTTTATTTTTAATTTTTATCAATAAATTGCAAATGGACCTTAACCCCTACGAATTACCGCTAAATAAAGTGTCATTTTTTCCAGATGATACCAGATTTTTAAATGTAACGAGTTTAAACAATAACATTAAATTTACAAACGATAAACGATAATATAAATAAAACCGATAACAAAATTTAAAAAAAAATTGTGACCTTGATTCAAATCGATAGGTTCGATAATATTTTTTATAATGGTTACTTTTATATTTGCAATTCTGCAAATTTATGGACTCAACAAAATAGCAGTTAAAAAAAAATTTTTTTACATTTTTTATTATTATTAATATCTTTTTCTGTTATTTGATAAGTTTTATTACGAAAAAGTTATATTTTAGACAAAAACATGAAAAAGAAAATAAAAAAATAAAGAAATAAGAAAAATAAGATCTCAGCGATTCTTTTAAATCATCATAATTTTTGACATAATCTTCATTAGGGTTTGTTCCCTAAAGTTATACCGGGAATTTCATATAACTTGCAATATATTAATGCAGTAATAAAATGAAACATAGCTTAATAGTATAGGAATTGGGTTTCTAGTTCTAGGTATAGTGTTAGTTCTAGTTTTATACTAGCACTATCACTAGAACTAACACTATACCTAGAACTAGAATCATTCGGGTTTAGCCGCACGTCTCTCAAGACGGCTAAACCCGAATGATTCTAGTTCTAGGTATAGTGTTAGTTCTAGTGATAGTACTAGTCTAAAACTGTCTGAAGACGCACGGCTAAACAATAACATAAAATTTACAAACGATAAACGATAATATAAATAAAACCGATAACAAAATTTAAAAAAAAATTGTGACCTTGATTCAAATCGATAGGTTCGATAATATTTTTTATAATGGTTACTTTTATATTTGCAATTCTGCACATTTACGGACACTCAACAAAATAGCAGTAACAAAAATTTTTTTTTTTACATTTTTTATTATTATTAATATTTTTGTCTGTTATTTGATAAGTTTTATTACGAAAAAGTTATATTTTAGACAAAATCATGAAAAACAAAATAAAATAAAATGTTTCAGCTTTAATTTGAGATATAAATTGTGTCTTAAGTCTCAAAAATAAGATCTCAGCAATTTTTTTTAAATCATCGTAATTTTTGACATAATCTTTGTTAGGGTTTGTTCCCCAAACTTATACCGGGAATTTCATATAACGTGCAATATGTTAATGCAGTAATAAAATGCAACATAGCTTAATAGTACAGGAATTGGGTTTCTAGTTCTAGGTCTAGTGTTAATTCTAGTTTTGCACTAGCACTGTTATTAGAATTAACACTATACCTAGAACTAGAATCATTCGGGTTTAGCCGTCTTGAGAGACGTTCGGCTAAACCTGAATATTTCTAGTTCTAGGTCTAGTGGTAGTTCTAGTTTTACATTAGCACCATCACTAGAACTAACACTATACCTAGAACTAGAATCATTCGGGTTTAGCCGCACGTCTCAAGACGGCTAAACCTGAATGATTCTAGTTCTACGTATAGTGTTAGTTCTAGTGATAGTCTAAAACTAGAACTAACACTAGACCTAGAACCAGAATCATTCGGGTTTAGCCGCACGTCTCTAAAGACGGCTAAACCCGAATGATTCTAGTTCTAGGTATAGTGTTAGTTCTAGTGATAGTGCTAATCTAAAACTAGAACTAACACTATACCTAGAACTAGAAACATTCGGGTTTAGCCGCACGTCTCTAAAGACGGCTAAACCCGAATGATTCTAGTTCTAGGTATAGTGTTAGTTCTAGTAACAATGCTAGTGTGAAACTAGAACTAACCCTATACCTAGAACTAGAATCATTTGGGTTTAGCCGTCTTTAGAGACGTGCGGCTAAACCCGAATGTTTCTAGTTCTAGGTATCGTGTTAGTTCTAGTAACAATGCTAGTGTGAAACTAGAACTAACCCTATACCTAGAACTAGAATCATTCGGGTTTAGCCGCACGTCTCTCAAGACGGCTAAACCCGAATGATTCTAGTTCTAGGTATAGTGTTAGTTCTAGTTTTACACTAGCAGTGTTACTACCCGAATGATTCTAGTTCTAGGTATAGTGTTAGTTCTAGTGATAGTGTTAGTGTAAAACTAGAACTAATACTAGACCTTGAACTAGAAAATATCGGGTTTAGCCGTGCGTCAGATGCACGGTTCTAGTTTTAGTTTTAGTTTAATAAAGATATGCAACATAGTGAAATCTTATGTTAACTTGCACTGTCACTAGAACTAACATTAGACCTAGAACTAGAAACATTTATGTGGTATTGTTATTGTATTTATATATTGCATCTTAAGTAAAATTCACTACATGTTCTATATAAATCATACCGTAATAATTAATTATAATATAATAATTTGAGGTTGCCGGCATGTTTTTTGCCATATTAACACAAAACGGTGTAACACATTGTAGCCAATAAGTTATCAAACATGATAAATTAGTTAGACTACTGTCAAGTTAGTTTTGGAAGTGAAAGTATTATGATAGAAAAAGTCTCGGTAATTAGGAAATATAATTAAATATAATTTTATTAATTATAATTTTAATTTTAACTTATGACCCCGTTTCTACGACTTACTTTTCTTTTCTTCAACTATCCTCAACTATACATATAAAATGTTTTTTGGAATTCCGATAATATTTACTTTACTGCGCCAACTTTCCAGAATATTTTGATTTAATCGTCGCTAACGAATAGTAACTATTCCTTACGAGTTATTTCACAACATAGAATTACCAAAAAATATGTTAAACCACAACAAAGTTTACAAGGATTTTATGAAGTAAAGGTTGTGTTTTAATAGGTTGCCAAAACTTGAATCATGTCTCAATGTCAATTATTAACATAACAAAACGATTTAATCCGAAATAGAAATGTATTAGTAATTCTTCAGACCCAAGAGATCCACGTGGTAAAACGGAACTTGTTGTAGGTCAAAAGAGAACTCCGAAGGCAGAAGAGAAATTTCTTAATAGTGAAATATAACGGATTTTTTTTTTATTGAAAGGAAAATTTAAAAGATTATTTGAAATAATAACAAAAAAGTGTTGCAACACTTTTCTTTTGTTGTTTTTGTTACTTATATATTGTTATAGTAGGAAATCCCGACTCACAAAATATTTGCTTACGTCAATAATTAAAAATAGATAGAGAGACCGTCTTAATGTAGTCTACTAGAAAGTTCGGAAAACGTAGACATATTTAATGGTTAAATGTAAAACCGGAAAATGTTTTTCAATTTGGTGACCTTTTTTGCAAACAAATTCTTGATAAAAACTAATATTTATTTATTTTTTTTTAAATTCTCTTTAGGTGCTAAGTTTCTCGAGTGTGTACGAAAAGAAGGCGTAAAATAATACAAAATGTAGTGCGTCATGATTTTAAAAATATATAAAATCACACCACTACTTAAGCAATGATGAAACAAATTTTGTAAGCTTAACATCTGAACTATTAATGAACATTAAATCAAAAACAAGTAAAAATTTTCGAAATTGCAATTCAAACACTTTTTATTCTATTACCGTCCATTGTAGCTCCATCAAAGTGTTTAAAGCAATTTGTAAAACCGTTTTATTAATTGAGAAATGGTTGGTGTCGGGATCTTTAAGATAATATTTTTTGATGATATCGTTTTAAAACTGGCGCTTAAAATATTTAGGATGTCCAATAATCGTGCGCGTGAAATCGACCAATAGATGGTCGGTATTATGGTCTGACTTTAAGGATGTACCCAGCAAAATACAAACAAAAAAATTTTAAATCCGAAAAAACGTCAAAGAAGCGTCAAGAAAACGCAAAACAACATGAAAAAAGTGCCGCTTCGGGTCAATAATTAACATATAATGAAAAATTGAATGATAAACGATAAAATATTGAATAATATCGTTTTGGATATTGAGTAGTTGTGTTGGTGGGGAAATAGAAGGGGGTCCCCCACCTTCGGGCGGTATAAAATCATACCACTCCGTGATGGACCTCCGTAACAGTTAGTAACGATCTCCGTTTGCCCATCGTAATATTTTCAAATCCAATCGTAGTTCTTCTCCAAAAAATAAATAACAACAACATGAACGGCTACCCGGAATCATACACTTCCAGCATGGAAAATAGCAGGTCAGAAACCAACCCAAACCGTATTTTTTTGTTCCCTCCTTAAATCCATTTACGAAAATTCCCCATATCCAGGGCGTGTTTTACTCCGAAATATCCAAAACAGTTTTAACACTTTTACCCAATTAACTTCTAACGAACGATTTAAGTGAAAGCTTACAAAAAAAATTTCTCAACAATCGTTATTACACAATTTTTTTCATTTTTTTTTATTGTACAAGTGTGTCACCCATTTTTGTAATGCTCAGTGTCACTCTTTAATCATCAAAATTTATTTAATCCCTTTTGATTCATGTGTCATTAACACCCATTAATTAATTGAATACTAACATTTCAGAAATTGTTTGAAAAGAATTGCCAGAAATAACGACACTGAATTTTCAAATCAAAGCGTATTACATGCGATGGAAAAATTTGTAAAAACTGTAAATACTATGGATGAAACAATTTTGGTACCATGCCGTTTGATGGATTTGAAGGTGGGCGATGATCAAGATCCGAAAAAAGAAAACATAAATAGTACAATGAGTTCAGTTGATTTGTTTGGATTGTATAATATGTTGCATACAATTAAAGGAGATTTGTTGTGGGGGCAGGGAAATAATAATAAAGAAAAAGAGGAGGTCGTTGCTAATAATGGGGCTCAATTGACCGTAAAAGGGCATGTACGTAGGCCGTCGAGTATCAGCGTTACTTCGACGAATTCCACCTCCAGTATTAGTGATAGCGAATTGGATATTGGCAATGAAAACGATTCGGGAATTGAAGAGGTCGGGGAAAATCCTACGTTACAAGTTGCCCAGAATTTTAGGCGACATCTTTATGGGTTAACAAAGTCTTTGAAAGAACTCACGGAGGCAGCACAGTACCTCACAAACCGTTATCAACATGACATAGGGAGCCCTATTTGATCCCAAATAGAATTTTTTTGGTATGTGATATAAAAAAAAGGAAAAAATTTCAAAAAAAAATCAATGAAATCGTTTCGATTATTTACTTTATGTTAATTATATGCTCAGAAATAATTTTATTATAATTTATTTTGTAATATTATATACCTCCAGGTCAAATAAGGTTGAAATAAAATGTACATATTTATATCTTAACCCGTTTTTTATTTCAAAAAAATTACCAAACCCAATTAATATTAATTTATAAATTCCAAACCGCTCCGCTTACAATTTACAATTGTATTGTTCCTTACGCTTTTTGTACTTTCAAATTTTCGCATTCCACAGCAAATTTAATTAACAAAAATACTATCAGACTAGTATTTCCGGTTTACGTATTGTATTCATTAACAACACCACGTATTTGCAAGTACAATTTCAAAATAGAGGTCGAAGCAAAAAATACGAAAAATTAATCCAAATTGAATTATTATATGTATTCGTGTTTGCTTAGAAAATTTCCAACGCGCGTGTCCAATAGTTGTAATATATTACGTAAAAGAAGCACATTATTGTTATAAAACCCCACAAAATATCTATTGAATTGCAGATATAAATGGATATTCATAGCCCAGCTGTTGCTTCCTATCGAAAATTACAATCGCCTTTCTTCCATACAATAGTTTCGATTTTAAAACTAGTTCAACTCCGAAAGCAATTCTATTTTAACAAGGAAATTAACAAAAAAATTCTCATTATTTAGACATCTGAGAGCAAAAGTGTAAAAGAGCAATATTATTAAGAATAAATTTTATTTAAGTTATCTAATAGATAGCATATTTCGTAAAACCAAGTCTACCCTGCTTGAAGTTTGTTTATATAATAAATAAAATTATAAATAAAAACGAAACTTGGGATGATGAGATAATACTTTATAAATTAATTTGAAATATTAAATAAAATTAATTGGATTAAAGCGCCACCTTTGATAACTACCTAAACTAAATCAAATTTATTTGAGGTATTTACAACAATCTAATGTTAATATAGCTTTTAAATCAAAGATGTCCCAACAATATGTTTTATACCAACTAAACACTCTGATTATGAAAGTTATATATTTTTCTTTTTTTATTATTTAATTACATAATTTATATACTTTAGTAAAATACTTTTCTCTTAAAATCTGAAGAAAGAGTGAAACCTGAAAGAATCTTAATTAATAATTTATTATTATTATAATAATAATTTATAAAATTATTTATAAAAAAATTATCGATTAAAATTTTATTAAAAGTTCAAATATTATTTTCTCAAAAACTAAAAATTATTTTTCAAAACGGGTTGGTTCATTGGAAAGAGGACACTCTTATTAACACTTTGGGAAATTTTCACACTCACATTCCAAGAAATGGATTTTATACGAATTTTTAAAACTTAATCGGCGAAAATTGCAAAATTCGAAAAAATTGTCGATCATTTCAAAAGTTTATTTCTCAAGAATTAAAAGTGATTTTTCAAAACGGTTTTTTTGCATTAAAAAGAGGATACTTTAATTAATAATTAGTGATATTTCCACAAGGATTATTCAAGAAATTAATTTTATAGCGAATTTTGAAAATTATCGCAACATCGAAAATTTTATCAAAACTTCAAGTATTGTTTTCTCAAAAAGTAAAAGTTATTTTTCAAAACGAGATAGTTCATTGGAAAGAGGACACTTTGATTAACACTTTGGAAAATTTTCATAATCACATTCCAAAAACTGGATTTTATACGAATTTTTAAAACTTAATCCGCGAAAATTGTAAAATTCGAAAAAATTGTCGATCATTTCAAAAATTTATTTCTCAAGAATTAAAAGTAATTTTTCAAAACGGCTTTTTGCATAACAAAGAGGATACTTTAATTAATAATTGGTGATATTTCCACAAGAATTATTCAAGAAATTAATTTTATAGGGAATTTTGAAAATTATCGCAACATCGAAAATTTTATCAAAACTTCAAATATTGTTTTCTCAAAAACAAAGTTATTTTTCAAAACGGGTTGGTTTTTTCAAAACGACCAAGACGGTAATTATAACAAAGTGAAAAGACAAAAAGATACACCTGCAAAAATAAAATATGTAATGGTATTAACAAACTTTATTAACACAATTGGGTGTTGTATTTTAGATATTTACGAACGTATTCTACACACGCTGGTTATAATTGCTGATCTGATATATACCGCGTCTTCAAGACATTTATCTAAGAAGACTTTTCATTTCAAATCCAAAGATAAACACGCAAAACTACACAATAATTAAAACACAAATAAAAGATTGATGAGATTGATGAAAATTTAGACGGCTGAATACGCAAAGACAATTAGAAGGTACGAAAGTTTGTTAGTTCTGACGGAGTTGGAAAATTTTGAAAAATATGGCGCCATTTATTGCTTTCTTTAAACTCTACGAGGTTGTGACTTAAAAATTTTGAAGTACATTGCGCCATCTCTTGGTTTATTTAAATACTACTGTAATGACAAATGTGTGACGTACCTCGTGACGTACGCTTGTTTATAGATATTTGTTGTTTTGTCAGTCTGTCACTGTTGGTAATAGTGAGTGTTCATTTGGGTGTATATTCAGACAAGTAGCGGCGAGGGCTAAATAATCGATTATTTGAAAAAAGAAAATGATGTTTCCGCATATGCTGTTAGTGTTTCTAGTAATATTTCTGCTGTTAGATGATGTCTTCGCCTACGACATCCACAAATATTCGCTGCTGATGCCGGAGATTCATCCGGATAAGGTGAGAAATAACAAAATTATTGTTTTCTTTAAACAATATTGTCTCAAAAAATTTTATGATTATCGTATAAGATAGTAAACATTTCAAAATACTTATATTGATGCTAGTCGAAACAAAAGATTTAAAATTAACCAGTTTTAATTGCAGTTTTTTTAATAAGGTCAATAACTTGAGTAACCATTAATAATTATAATCTTTCATTAAATGTTAAGGACTTGTGCAAATATTATACATATGGCTTTTTGATTGTTGTTATCATTTCAGGATGAACTCTACTTATGCACACCTGTTCGAATAGTAAATAAGCAATATTATATTGGTAAATTTGTTAAGTTTATTTTTCTTTTATATAAAACAAAAAAATATTTTTAGTTGGCTTTGAACCTAATGCAACAATGCATGATGTTCATCATATGTTGTTATTTGGATGCTCAGTCCCTGGAACAACTGATGATGTATGGGATTGTGGAGAAATGGCTGCTTCAGATGGAAGCAAAAATATACGGCGAGCTATACCTTGTGCTGAAGGATCCCATGTAATAAAAATAAAATTTTTTTGAGACAAAATGCAACTCTATGTATTTTTTAAGGTTTTATATGCTTGGGCTAGAGATGCAACAAAATTGAATCTTCCAGAGGATGTTGGTTTTCAAGTTGGTTTAGGCACAAAAATCAAGTACTTGGTTCTCCAAGTACATTATTCAAAAAAATTCCCTGGAAATAAATTAGACAATTCTGGAATTTCTCTTCTATATACTGAGCAACCGTAAGAAAAATTACAGTTATTGATATCTTCTTCCATTTTTAAAGACTGCTCCTAGGATTGTTCGCCTCAAGTATCAAGCACAGTACATAAGGCGGCCGAGATTATTTCTCTTAACCTGCTTGAAATTTATAGAAGAAGTAATATCAAAATATTGTTCATAATATTTGAGGCGGCCGACGTCTTCGAAGTCGGCCAAGATTACTTCTTCCATAAATTTCGGAGAAACAATCTCGGCCGACTTCGAAAATGTCGGCCGCCTTAGGTATTATTTATGATACTTAGGGCGGCCGAGATTACTTCTTGCATAAATTTCAAGCAGGTTAACAAAAACAATCTCGGCCGACTTCGAAGATATTAAAATTATGCGTGATATGTGTTAACAGTTTAACAAACCTTTTATTATCTTTATATATTGACAATTAATAATAACAACATTAACTTGTTTTTTATTACACTGTTGGAAATAATTCACGAGCACACCCTATATAATCTGAACGCGTGAAGATAAATCCATAATATTTGCGGAGCACAAAGATTTGCTGTAGACGAGTTTATTCAGGGAGTTTCAAGTTGTTCCGTCGCGGCATTGTTGACTGAGCCGCCCTTCCAAGTCGTTATGGAGACCGAAGTGGATGGAAAATACCGGTCGTTTTTAGTGTGGTGTGAGGGACCACATTGTTATCGTACTCTGTGCGCAATGGATGGACGATCGCGTTACTTAAGCGAGTTTGAGTGNTTAGAAGTATTATTCGTGATATAAGAATTAATCTCGGTCGACTTCGAAGACGTTGGCCGCCCCAAGTGTCATGAATAATACTTTGGGCGGCCGACATCTTCGAAGTCGGCCGAGATTGTTTTTTTAACCTGCTTGAAATTTATGGAACAAATAATCTCGACCAACCTAAGTATTGTTCGTGATGTAAGAAATCATCTCGGCCGACTTGGAAGACGTCGACCGCCCAAAGTATTATTCATGATACTTGGGGCGGCCGAGATTACTTCAAACAGGGTAGATTTGGTTTTACGTGTAATATGCTATCTATTAGAAGTATTATTCGTGATATAAGAAACAATCTCGGCCGACTTCGAAGACGTCGGCCGCCCCAAGTATCATGAATAATAATTTGGGTGGCCGACATCTTCGAAGTCGGCCGAAATTGTTTTTTTAACCTGCTTGAAATTTATGGAACAAATAATATCGGCCAACCTAAGTATTGTTCGCAATGTAAGAAATCATCTCGGCCGACTTCGAAGACGTCGGCCGCCCAAAGTATTATTCATGATACTTGGGGGGGCCGAGATTACTTCAAACAGGGTAGATTTGGCTTCACGTGTAATATGTTATCTATTAGAAGTATTATTCGTGATATAAGAATTAATCTCGGCCGACTTCCAAGACGTCGGCCGCCCCAAGTATCATAAATAATACTTTGGGCGGCCGACATCTTCGAAATCGGCCGAGATTGTTTTTTTAACCTGCTCGAAATTTATGGAACAAATAATCTCGACCAACCTAAGTATTGTTCGCGATGTAAGAAATCATCTCGGCCGACTTCGAAGACGTCGGCCGCCCAAAGTATTATTCATGATACTTGGGGCGGCCGAGATTACTTCAAACAGGGTAAATTTGGTTTCACATGTAATATGCTATCTATTAGAAGTATTATTCGGGATATAAGAAATAATCTCGGCCGACTTCGAAGACGTCGGCTGCCTCAAGTATCATGAATAATACTTTGGGCGGCCGACATCTTCGAAGTCGGCCGAACTTGTTTTTTTAATCTGCTTGAAATTTATGTTACAAATAATCTCGACCAACCTAAGTATTGTTCGTAATGTAAGATATCATCTCGGCAGACTTCGAAGACGTCGGCCGCCCTAGGTATTATTCATGATACTTGGGGCGGCCGAGATTACTTCAAACAGGGTAGATTTGGTTTCACATGTAATATGCTATCTATTAGAAGTATTATTCGTGATATAAGAAATAATCTCGGCCGACTTCAAAGACGTCGGCCGCCCCAAGTGTCATGAATAATACTTTGGGCGGCCGACATCTTCGAAGTCGGCCGAGATTGTTTTTTTAACCTGCTTGAAATTTATGGAACAAATAATCTTGATCAACCTAAGTAATGTTCGCGATGTAAGAAATCATCTCGGCCGACTTCGAAGACGTCGGCCGAACAAAGTATTATTCATGATACTTGGGGCGGCCAAGATTACTTCAAACAGGGTAGATTTGGTTTCACGTGTAATATGCTATCTATTAGAAGTATTATTCGTGATATAAGAAATAATCTCGGCCGACTTCAAAGACGTCGGCCGCCCCAAGCATCATGAATAATACTTTGGGCGCCCGACATCTTCGAAGTCGGCCGAGATTGTTTTTTTAACATGCTTGAAATTTCTCGAGAAATCATCTCGTCTTCGAAATCGGCGGCTCCAAGTATTGTTCGCCTCAAGTTTCACTTCTGTATAGCTGATTAAATAATTTGATATTTCTTTCTGTCATTTAAATAGCTGTTTCATCTTAAATTTTTTTTTAGTCAAAGTAAATTAGCGGGAGTTATACTATTGGGTTCTGGCGGAACAATTCCAGCGAGATCAATATCCCACATGGAGATACAATGTGAAATTGAAGAAGAAAAAACGATCTATCCATTTGCTTATAGAACACACACTCACAGTTTAGGTAAAGTTGTTAGTGGATATCGAGTTAGAAAAGGCAAGGAAGGAGATGATTGGTTATTGTTGGGTAAAAGAGATCCGCTGACACCGCAAATGTTTTATCCAGTTTTTAATAAAGATCCTATTTATGGTGGAGATATTTTAGCGGCGAGATGTACTATGGAAAATTATAGGGATCGAGATACTTATGTGGGGTAATTAATAAGAAACACCTTACAATATCTAATTGAAGTAATTAATACAAACAATATTTTAGCCCTACTAATAATGATGAAATGTGTAATTTCTACTTGATGTATTATGTGGAAAATGGCAACCCATTAGATACAACATTGTGTTTATCAGACGGTCCGCCAAAAGAATATTGGTATAATTCAAAATACAATTTGAATAATATTCCCGATTTGGAAGCTTCTAAACTTTAAGATGGATTTTTTAACGACGGACGAAAATAACGATGCCAGTACTTCCTAAATAACTATATATGTGTGTTTTTAATGTTTTTAGTATATGTTTTTGCATTATGTAGCATAAATACGTCACAGTATTGATATAGCACAATCAGAATTAGGTAGCACAATGTTTTAAAAAGAATTTTTTAACTAACTCGAATATCTAGAACTAAATGGGGCCATGGAGCATGTCTATATCAATCTTAAATGTACTACAGATTGAAAAACAACAGAAAAGATCTTATTAATTTTAAATATTTTTTCTAATTCGCGCTCAGGGGAAATCTCATTTAATAATCTCAATTACAATTTTTTTTTGTATATTTTACTGCCTCTAATTTTTACTTCCAGTGTTCAAACGTTGATTTGCGTACCAATCAAAATTAAATACAAACATATCCTTTTATCGTTCAAATCAACGTTTGACAAACTTAAAAACATTCCTTCCGTTGGTTGTGATTATTTTCCATTATGCTTAAGTAGATTCTACTTATTTTTCAAATAAAAAAATGGAGTTATATGGCGGGGTAAATATTGTCAATTTATTTAAACTGAAAACATATTTAAGTTTATTCCAATAAGACATTCTATTCAAACGTCTTATTGGAATTAAACTTATTATCTATATTTAAAATATATTTATTTTTATGAACTGGTGTACTATCAATATATATCGTAATGTAAATTTGTACAGGTACAAAATATATATATATATACAATTGCAAGAGAATTTATCTTTGTTTTTTTTTAATTTTTTTAACCAATGTTCATTTATGGTGTTGTGGTTTGTTGGTCCAAGACTGCACAATTTACCGTAACCACGACTCTTAAAGACTCGTGTGTACTAATTACAAGTGCTACCACTCAATCTATAACTCCAGGAAATCACGATTGTTATCATATTCTAATTGTAACTTAATTTATTTAAAAAGGAAAAAATCTTAATAATAAATTAAACAACTTTCTATGAAGCAAATGATACTTGAGTTGTTTATTATTATCAAACATCATCTGTGGACATCTCAGGGTGGGAAAAAATCACGAATCCCCCATACAAGTGATTAATTAACAAAATTGCTTATGGAACAATTTGTAATTGTATTGTGACGGATATGCTGCGAATATGACAAGCATGAGAAGACATAGACCAGAAATTTAAGCTATAGTGATTCTCTTATAGCTGTCTAAATTTTCTTTGCAAAGACCTTGAAGTAACTAAAGTCAAAGAGCATGTGATCCAAATTGTGAAATATTTTAAAAACAATCACCAGGCTGGATCTAAGTATATGGCTTGTATATACTAATGGAAAAGTTTTAAACGATGTGAGTTGTAACAGTATGATGGATAGTCTACAAATACATGTAAGTCTTTGGGAAAAACTGTCAAAAGTATGTGAAGAAACGATTTGCAGAAGATTACTTAATTATCTTAAAGCCAATATCCCGGGGACTTGAGAAATTGCAAAAAAAGGTGCTTATCTATACGATGCGAAACTCATACTAAAACTGTCGAGTAATTTTGAACCGTGTGTTCCACCATTTCCATTTCAAATTTGCTTGCATGCAAATATGCTTCAGTTTTGCATCACTGTGTATGGGCCCCTTATATCTGTATATGCCTTCTTGTGCAGGCGTTTTTGCTGGATGGTGAGGTTTACCCTGATTCCATGTGGTTAAGGATTGAAACACTTCACTGCTTGCAGGAAATTGTCTAAATGAGTCTGAGTGTATCTGAACAACCCACACCTTGAATATATCTTGAAATATTGCCTCAATAAATCCAAGCGATTGAATCCTTCGTAGGAGTTATAGGACTATGGCATGAAAGCCGGCTAAATTTGGCATTGACATAATTTTGGATTAAACTAACACTAAACCTAGAGACTTTCGGGTTAAGCTGTGCGTCTTTTGAAAAAATGTTTGACGTTTCGGATGCCATGTTGCAATCTTCTTCAGAAATAAGTTCGAAGTGACGAAATCGGTTAAATTTGGCAATAAATACATGAAAGCACTTTGGTTTTGTCAAACTCTATGATGTGTCCTCCTTTGGTGCAATGCTCTATGACAGCGATTTTTCTCAGTCGGCGTTCGATGTTACGTCCAGTTTGGCCAACTCCCATGTAATAGGGTTAGTTTGTCTTTAGCTATCGGAAGAGCGTTTTGTATTTTGCTGACCTTACCGTATCATACCACCATATGATTCTTCTTCAGACATCTCGCAATTCGTTCGGTTACACCTCAAACATAAAGAAGGCAGATAAAGCCAGCACCAACACATCCAGGAATGGCAACTGTTTTGCAGTTTTTGTTTTCATATTAAATTTTATCATGGGGTGCTGTAAATTGAGGTTGTCTAGAAATTCCTGGAGCTATAACTTCGGTTTCCACGGACTCTTCTTCTAACGCTTCCTCTTCAAACATCTCCATGTAAAAATTGGTGATCACAAGTGACAGAGGTGATGCCATTGCACGTAGAACTCTCCCTTCCAGCTAAACCATCCACGGCATCTTTCACTGGTACTCTGGTGAATAGAAATTCCACGTCGAAACTTACCAGGATACCCTGAGGGTCTAGCTTCATACTCCTGATTGATTCTACAAAATGTGTGGAATCTTTGACATATGACACCGTTTTACCTGTAAAAGGAGACGAATTCTGGGCAAGGTGTTTTGCTAGCTGATCCGTGGGAGAATTTATGGCAACGACAATAGGGCGTAGTGGGAGCTCTGGTTTTTTAATTATCAACATATATCTATACTTGTTCTGAAAGTATTAAGATCGAAATTATATGTATAAAGATTTCGCGTCGAAACTTATCAGGATATCCTGAGGGTCTAGCATCATACTCCTGATTTCTATATCCTATTTTTTTTTTTTTTAATTCGGAGGCGTGTTTAAACAAAAATTACACTAGGAAAATTCAAGATGTTGCCCGTCGCTTAGAAACATTCGGATTCAGCTCAAGACGGCTAAATCCGAATGATTTATGTTAGTTCTAGTGATGGTGCTAGTGTAAAACTAGAATTAACACTAGACCGAGAACTAGAAACATTCGGGTTTAGCCGTCTATTTAGACGTACGGATAAACCCGAATGATTCTAGTTCTAGGTCTTGTGTTAGTTCTAGTGATAATGTTAGTGTAAAACTAGAACTAACACTACACAGAGAACTAGAAACATTCGGGTTTAGCCGTCTTTTTAGACGTACGGCTAAACCCGAATGATTCTAGTTCTAGGTCTTGTGTTAGTTTTAGTTTTACACTAGCACTATCACTAGAATTAACACTATACCTAGAACTAGAATCATTCGGGTTTAGCCGTCTTTAGAGACGTGCGGCTAAACCCGAATGTTTCTAGTTCTAGGTATAGTGTTAGTTCTAGTTTTTGATTAGCACTATCACTAGAACTAACACTATACCTACAACTAGAATCATTCGGGTTTAGCCGTCTTGAGAGACGTGCGGCTAAACCCGAATGTTTCTAGTTCTAGGTCTAGTGTTAGTTCTAGTTTTACACTAGCACTATCACTAGAACTAACACAAGACCTAGAACTAGAATCATTCGGGTTTAGCCGTCTTGAGAGACGTTCGGCTAAACCCGAATGTTTCTAGTTCTAGGTATAGTGTTAGTTGTACATAGTAACAGTTCCAGTGCAAAACTAGAACTAACACTAGACCTAGAACTAGAAACCCAGTTCCTGTACTAAGCTATGTTACATTTTATTACTACTTGGGGAACAAACCCTAAAGAAGATTAGGTATGTCAAAAATTACGATGATTTAAAAAAATCTAGGTTTAGTGTTACCACTTAGTAGTTTAGTGCCGCACTTACCAGGAAACTTACCAGGATATCCTGAGGGTTTAGCATCATACTCCTGATTTATTCTACAAAATGTGTGGTTTACCTGTAAAAGGAGACAGATTCTTGGCAAGGTGTTTTGCTGGGTGATTCGTGAGAGAATTTATGGCTCTGGTTTATGGGTTTCCTGCCAGGAAAAGATGAATGTATTTTAATTTCATTTTAGAATAAAAAGTTTTTGATAAAAAATGTATAGGCAACTGGTAATATAATACAAGAGTATGGTTGGTTGCGTTGTAAATTGGCGCGTTCGATCCAAGAGGTTATAATATACACTTGTTGATACGGTGATGGTGATTCCGTAAAGTGGCGACGATCTCGTTGTGGACGACGCGGCGCGTAACGACGATAAAGAAGGAACGAAGAAGTATCGAAAAAAGAAGGTAGAATAGCTACTGAAAAAAGGATTCCGAACGAACGTTGCTGGTCGTCTCGGAAGAGAAGAAGCCCCCCTCATCCTGGAGACGTCTAAACGAAACGCCAAGGTCTCCGAGCCCGCGGCGGGCGGTGTGATGTCATGATGACATCATCGGGAAGTGCTGCGGTTCATTTGAGACTTTAGCAAATGAATCCGGGGACGACAAAACGACACAACATAGAATAATTCGGTTGAAGTAATAATTGAAGGAATAATTGAATTCTTGGGAATAGGAGAAGTGTGGGTTTCGAAATAATAAAAAAAAGGAAAAGTGAAGAAGAAAAAGTAAAATAGTTTTGAGTTAAAAGTGAAGGTTTGAATACGGATGATAAGAGCAACGTTGCCGTTTCTCTGGTTGGTTCGTCGGTCTGATCGTTGGTTGGTTGAGTTGGTTGAGTGTTGGTCGGGGATTCAGTGCCTACATTCAGTGGTAGTAGTACATATACACAGAAAGTCTCCTAACCGCCATTTCTCTTTCGAATCAATAGCGCTGACGTCAAGTGGGTGACGGGGGGGAAGCTATCAGCGCCCACGGCGGGGAGGGGAGTGCACTTGTAACTTGGGTAGTAGTGTCATGTATCCGCGCAAGTGTCTCTACGAACTGTCCATGTTTTGTGAACCGCCGTTGCGTGCGGCGCGAGAATTTGCGTAAGTTTTCAGTTTTATTTACATTTTCAATTTTTCCCATTATCATTTTTCAACAAAGTTTTTTTTGCCAAGTGCGCCGTTTAAATATTTTGTCGCGTAACGATTCTCAATGTCGGCGGAAACCTCGGCGACGGCGATGATTCTCCTGGAACCGAGTTTTCGACTCTCCCGAGTCTGCGACGACGTCGTAACGTGGTAATGTGGCCTTCACCGGCATATTAGTGTTGACATTGAAGGTCTCTACGCAAAGACTGCAAAAGGCCAGTAGAGGTCAAGTGTCGAAGCGTTCCCGCTGACTACGAAGACCGATCAAAAATAAATACATAAATAATAATAATACTAAGAACTCAACCCCAAATAAAAATCGAAGTGATAAATAAATTTATTTGAATATAATCGGTGGGGGGAAAACGGGAAAGTGAACCCGGGAGAAGAGATTGGTCCCCCGACCTGTGACCCTAAACGAGATATCTTCGCATCACGGTATTATTTACTTTTTGAAGCCGTTTTATTTTGCGTCTATCTTCGCCGCGATAAACTCGGCGACAACGTTTAGATACGATGAGAGAATCTCTCCTTCTCTTTTTTCTTTTTTTTTCTCTTTCTTTCTCTTTCCAAGTTTTTTTTTTCTTTTTTATATTTTTCGTTTCCCGTCGTCCTCACGTTCTCGTCTCCTCGGTTCAAGCGAAAATTACACGTTTGTATTTTAATGCCGTGGAAAATGAGTTTCGTCCACCAAAGTGAGCGAGAGGGAGAGAGGCAGTAGCGAAACTGGTTGCGGCAGTCTCGCGGGAAAAGAAGAAAAAAAACCGGCGCGAGACGAGAAAAAGAAATTATAAAAAAAAATAATAAAATAAACGAACGACCCGTACCCGTTCGTAAAGACCAATAAAGAATAATTAGGTGGATAGTATTACTTATGACATCTTGTTCGTTTCTTGAGACGAGCAGAGATGGAGCCACCTACTCGTCAACCCCGATTAGTTACCCTGGTTGCCGTATCTCTCGGCGCGATATTTAAATTTCTTTCAAGTTCATCTTTTTTTACAGGCTTCCAGTACTTGCGGAATTATGGATACAAACGTCGTACAAACAGTCGTAACGCAGGTTAGTATCTCCAAAATTTTATTATTTCTTTTCACACAAATTTTTTTAAGCGCCCAGATAAGATAATAACCATTAAGTTAATTTGCACTTTATAATCACGTCATAGAATTTAATTATCAACATATATCTATACTTGTTCTGAAAGTATTAAGAACAAAATACATATATAAAATTGTTTTAAAAACGTGCAAAAAAAATGTGGGGACGTGGAGTGGTACCGCATTAGCATTTTTAGTGCGTTTTATCACCGTTGCCCGTTGAAGGACAATCCTTATGTCACTTACAACGGCTGCTTGAATATTTCGTTATCGCATTTCGCGAAATATTTATTTATTTTTTTTTTTTTCTCTACCACAATTCGCAAATTTAATGTAAAAGTATAATCTGATCGGGCGTTATCTCAAAGTGTATGACAGATTACTATCGAGTATTGTATTTGTAAACATATATTCGGGGGTCGTTGCGTAATATTCGAAATTTTTATCTTCCCACTATTCTTTAAAGATACGACTTGGATTTTCGCCATCAGGCGCCGGCTCGCGAAGAATACTAATTATACGCTTAATTTGCTGTTTAATATCGCCTCGCACGTCCTGACAGGGACGGATTAAGACGATTTGATCTGCGCGATAGAGTTACTAATTTTCTTCCTTTTCTTAACTACATCTCACACCCAATCAACTCTTATTTTTATTAAAAAAAAATTTCTACCTTCATTTAACTATTATAAACGTATTAAAAATATACAAAATTTAATCTACTCGCAGTATTTTCGCGATAACACTCATAGAGAAAAGTATGAAAACAAATCAAACAGGAAAATGTGGCGAATTCGACCGATTACTTCGTTTGATAATAGTTAAAACCGCCAAAATATACATACATCATTAAAAAATACCATTAATATATATTTTTTAACGAAAATATTGTATTATGACGCACTGATAATAAACGAACGTTGTTATATTTCCGTTGTATGCGGAATTTATGTAGGAGGGACTCAACGAAAATTTCGATTATGCAAAGAGATTTGAAATATGTATACTAAAGTATAACAATTTCTATATTCTATTTTTCTTTTTTAATTCGGAGGCGTGTTTAAATAAAAATTACACTAGGAAAATTCAAGATGTTGCCCGTCACTTAGAAACATTCGGATTCAGATCAAAACGGCTAAATCCGAATGATTTATGTTAGTTCTAGTGATAGCACTAGTATAAAATTAAAATTAACACTAAACCCAAAACTAGAAACATTCGGGTTTAGCCGCACGTCTCTCAAGACGGCTAAATCCGAATGATTCTAGTTCTAGGTCTTGTGTTAGTTCTAATGATAGTGCTAGTGTAAAACTAGAACTAACACTAGATCGAGAACTAGAAACATTCGGGTTTATCCGTCTTTTGAGACGTACAGCTAAACCCGAATGATTCTAGTTCTAGGTCTTGTGTTAGTTCTAGTGATAATGCTAGTATAAAACTAGAACTAACACTAGACCTAGAACTAGAATCATTCGGGTTTAGCCGTCTTGAGACGTGCGGCTAAACCCGAATGATTCTAGTTCTAGGTCTTGTATTAATTCTAGTGATAATGCTAGTCTAAAACTAAAACTAACACTAGATCTGGAACTAGAAACATTCAGAGATGTTGCAATTTATGTGGGACAAAGTAAGTAGGTACGCCACGGTTTCTATGGAAATATATTGTAGTATATTGCATTTTAAGTGAAATTCACTGTATGTTCTATATAAAACATACCGTAGAAATAAAAAAAGCTTCTAAGTCTAATGAAATGAGAACTCTTGTGTTTGAGCTTTCTACAAGCCCCTTTTTCGAAGCAACCTCAGTTAAATTAAGTAAAATGGATGAGGTTGCTCGAATAATTCGAGGTTGCCTTCGTGTTCTGTGCCATATTAATACAAAACGGTCTAACACATTATAGCCAATAAGGAAAATAAGATATCAAACATGATAAGTTGTTAAACTTCTGTCAAGCTAATTTAGTTAGTGATAGTGTAAAACTAGACCTAATACAAGACCTAGAACTAGAATCATTCGGGTTTAGCCGCACGTCTCTCAAGACGGCTAAACCCGAATGATTCTAGTTCTAGGTCTAGTGTTAGTTCTAGTGATAGTGCTAGTGTAAAACTAGAACTAACACTAGACCTAGAACTAGAAACATTCGGGTTTAGCCGCACGTCTCTTAAGACGGCTAAACCCGAATGATTCTAGTACTAGGTCTTGTGTTAGTTCTAGTGATAGTGCTAGTGTAAAACTAGAACTAATACTAGACCTAGAACTAGGAACATTCGGATTTAGCCGCACATCTCTCAAGATGGCTAAACCCGAATGATTCTAATTCTAGGTCTTGTGTTAGTTCTAGTGATAGTG